GCATCAAAGCGATGACACAGACTCTCTGTTCCTGTCCACTGCTATCACAGTGGGCAGGGTTTGGAGAGTATATCGTGGTTCCCAATCTGCCATGGAGGTAACTTCACTTCGTCCCTAGGAATGTGTTTTACAATCCCATGACGTCACACGTGTCACTGAGAAGACAACTGGTAACTCAACACCACTGTTTGCGACACGGGTCGCGTTATGTCACGTGATCGCATTCACGCGCAGAACAAGGGCACGTTGTTCAATCACTTCCGTCAACTAAAAAGCCTCTTCCCACAGTGCTCCATAACGTGGAGCGTGTCGATGTGTCGGTGTTGCTTGCACCGGCTACAGGTACGCCGTGGTAGAGACAGGTACACTCTCCTGTATCGCGTCCATTACGAAGCCCCCCCTGCGTTGTCTCAATCATTTCTCTTGTGCCCTCTGTGGTCTAGTGGTAGTGGTACTCCTGGAGAGCGGAAGGTCCGGGGTTCGATCCCCGGCAGCGTCATACCAAAATACGTTAAAAGATGATACTTGAATTGTTGTTACCCTGTCTGGCGCCCGGCATTAAGGGACTATATCAAGGACTGGTCAGCTCGGAGTCAGTGTACTGTGTCTGAGTGGAGTATTCATGTTAAACTGCGTGCAGTAACCTTAGACGCGACGTTAAACCCCATTACTCAATCACCTCTGGTGAAGATACGCACCGTCTCCTGGCATCGGGAACTGTCTCAACACACGGGGCACCTGCAACGTCTCGATCAGCTTCTGAGTGTCGTCATGTTTGGTCCCTTCCTTCATCTGGGATTCATCTGCAGCACACGAGCTTTTCTCCCACATCGGGCTGTCAAGCGTGCCAAAAACCTATGATCGTGGATTCGCCTTGATTATGGTTCTAGGTTTGTCAGCACCATACCCGTGCTAGTGGTTTCACCAAACAGGTAAATGTCCGAAACCTGCTCACTTCGGGCTTTCCTCCCACATTATACTGATATGCATTACTGTTCAGAGCGACTTTAAATCTAATTCACCCACTGTCATTCCTCCCGCAATAATTGCTGTGATGTGTGTTCTTCAAAATTCACTCACACACTCGTCCAGTATTCTTAATACTTTCTTCATCCTGTGTCCAACACACTCATTCACAACAATGAAATCGTCAAAGATAATATACGTGTTAAGGGCTGGTGATCTAAATTACCTCAGCCCGCAACCTGGTGATCGTTGATCCCTTTAAGCAGATAACCTGTACAGCTATTTGGTCGGATTGTTCTAGTTGATTACACATTGTTACCTGAGGCAGAAATTCCCTCAAATCTACACCTATCTACCCACCTTGTCAGATCGGCTAACATATTGATACATACTTTAATACACGCTTCTAGGATGTTACGAGATAGTTGCATGGGTGCCCAGTTGACCTCTTCCCGAGGCAAGGGAGTTAACTGACTGAAAAAAGTCAAGTTTCCTACCTTGACGATCTAGGTTGGAAAATATCAATCAATTTATGTTATAAACCACCGCTTCCTGGCTGCTGTGAACTATGGACCTGTGGCTTCACAAGTTTGTGTGCGTAAATTATCGTATGTTATCTCAGTGAGAATTAGGGAGATTTGGTTGGTGACGCCACATCGTGTACGAAACGTTTAGTAGCGAATGGGCCCTGGGTATGTGTCATAAGAGAATGGGAACATAATACCCTGGAACATCGAGGATGGGTATTTGAAATGATAATACTTTACAGTACAAGTAAATCATTAATGGTTGTTGCTGACTGTTGAATGTTTAGGAAATATCGAATCTGCTTTCTATACACCATATCACCTAAACATATAAACTGCAGAGCAAAGGAAAGTATAAATAGGTTTGATAGGCATTACTTGGAAGTTGACGGATGACCAAGTAGACGCTATTTTCAGATAACAACTTCCTTACTTGCGGTACAAATCCTTATACCGTTGTCAAGCAAAGGTGAGGTGAGATGAAATTGGGTTTAACGTCGCGTCCAAGATTATCGCACTTATATAGCGACGTGCATGCACGTGTATGTGTGTGTGGCTGCTTGTACTAGTCCGGACTGATGCCGATTTATAGTGCTAGCTCACTGAGATACCATGCCGCAGTTTAACATGAATACCCCACTCAGACACAGTATACTGACTCCGAGCCGACCAGTCCTTGTTTTAGCCCCTTAATGCCGAGCGCCAGACAGGGTAACAACAAGTATAAACTTTAAACGACTTTTTGTATGACGCGGCCGGTGATCGAACCCCGGACCTTCCGCTCTCCGGGCGGACGCTCTACCACAAGACCACGGAGGCGGTTGTCAAGCAAAGGAAAGTACACACTTGAAAACTGTATTACTAGGCTGAAAAAAGTCGCCGAAACACTGAAAACTCCAAAACACAACTTTGATACCCGTATCAAGTACATCACCATCAAATAGCCATTTCTAGTGGTAGAGCGTCTGCCAGACAATCCAGTGATTGGCATCATGGGCATCGATCTACGCAACTGGGATACGACGACATGCATCAACCAAACCAGCGAGCCTGACAACCGAATCCCTTTGGGTCTCTAACAAGCATAGTCGCCTTTTACACTGGCATATAAGGCGGTGCATTCGAGGTTATATATATATATGTGTGTTTCCCTCAATTTAACTGTTCTCTTATTCCTGTCCGCCAGTATATAGAGGCACTACAAATATGAAACTAATGACTTACCACGTCACCTTAAACTCAGCCCTCTCCATGTAGATCACGTTCACCCAGCGACTGCCGTCGAGGACGACGTCCCACAGAAACATAATGAAGAAACCCAACTTTGAGATGTTTGTTGCAATCTCCACTCAACGCTCCAACAATCACTGTGTGATCAGCGCTTGAGTCAACATAGGGAGTGACGTAACCGTTTACCCGGGCCTTCTCAGGTTCTTTATCTATTTAATAGCAATATACGTTATGGCGTGAGGAAAACTGTTTATTTGTACCGGTCATGTTTACCAAGTGTTTGCAAGACGTGAGACTGAGCAATACTTGTTTCACTTCGCTACAACAGAGGAAACTATGTTGAGAGTAATTTGTGTAGTTGTCACACTGGTTGGGCATGTTTGGTAAGTCTGATCCAGATGACAGTCTCCGTGGCCTAGTGGAAACAGCGTCTGCCCGGAGAGCGAAAGGTCGGTGGTTCGATCTCCGGCCGCGTTCTACTAAAAGATTACTAGTTCTAATACTACTTATACTACTACTACTACTACTACTTCTATAGTCGGACAATTACCCATTTTAAAGAGCTAGCCCACTGAGATACCATGCGGCAGTTCAGCATGAATACCTCACTCAGACAGAGTATACTGACCCCGAGCTGACCAGTCCTTGTTACTGGGATCGGGTGGTCAAACTCGCTGACTTTACATACAACAAAGGGGCGGTCGGGTAGCCTAGTGGTTAAAGCGTTAGCTCGTCACGCCGAAGACCCGGGTTCGATTCCCGACATGGGTACAATGTGTGAAGCCCATTTCTGGTGTCCCCCGCCGTGATATTGCTGGAATATTGCTAAAAGCGGCGTAAAACCATACTCACTCACTCACATACAACAAAAATGTTCAAACACCAACTCATTGTGTATAACGCGTTTTCGCAGTGTCCGGCAACGTTCTATAACAGGAACAGAGTGGGCCTGAGTAGAGTACACTAAACTACGTTTATAACGAACACGCTTATAACGAACTGACGGATATAGTGAACTAATTTTTAGTCCCGACCATTTGTTGTATATATGCTGTATGTATGCTTATAACGAACTATTATTACGAACTAAAATTAGTGGTCACCTCGAGTTCGTTATAACCGTAGTTTACTGTATTACAATTTTATTTTCTTGACTTAATGAGAAATAATAAAATGACAAGACAATCATGTAAGGGTGTTTATATCAGCGAGCTGTACACGGAGTTAAGATATCACAGTTCATCAGTACAGTAAGTACATCATATTGAAGAGATCAGTGTTCCTATGGACATGACAGATGAAGAAAGAGAAGAGCATGGATTAAACAACACAAGCATTATCTGAAACAACTGAAACTATGTGCATCCAAATGAAGACCTGACAGACACTCTGACTAACTGCAAAGCACAGATAACCCAAGAAGACTGCCAATGGACCTTATAACTAACTGCGTAAGCAGGCCATGTGTTAACGTGAGTGAATCCATCTCTCCATATCCATCTCGCTGGGGTTACCGTATATCTGTGCTGCTCCCTATAAACAATTTGATATTGACTTGCCGCTACACAGAGCTACGGGCTGTTCCATGGTGTTTTCCTAAAAGGTTTGTTTGCACTCAGGAATATTCCGTCTATATAACGGCGGTCTTTAAATAATGGAGTCTGGATCAGACAATCCAGTGATTGACATGATGAGCATTGATCCACGCACTTGGGATCGATGACATGCATCAACCAAATCAGCGAGCCTGACCACCCGATCCCGTAGGTCGCCTCTTCGATAAGCATAGTCACCTCCTGAAAGGTCCCCGATCCAAATCTTCATCGCATTATGGCATCTTCAGCAAAGTGTATGCTTCGTGGTCCAGCGACAAATGCAACATGATTCATGTCCTAAGACACCTGCCTTCAAATACGAGTACTTATATTTGAGATCGTGCAACAATATATTTATTTATTGAGTTCGAAACCGGTAAAAACATTTAGCCGCCATTGGGCTCGAATATATAAGTACACAAATTTAAAGCCAAGTGTTTAAGGAAAGGAACTGTGTTGCAGACTTCCTGGGATTACGAGTTATGTACATTATGGCCATGTTGTTAGTGCAGTGTGGGAAACGATTAGGAAAACACCCATAAAGATCCGGGTTAGGATAGGTCTTCAGCAACCAAAGCTTGCCGTAAAATGCGACTATGCTTATCCTAAGAGGCGACTATAGAGATCGGTGGTCAGGCTCACTGACTTGGTTGATGCATGTCATCGCATCCCAATTGCGTAGATCGATGCCAATGATGTCAATCACTGTATTGTGTGGTCCAAACTCGATCATTTACAGACCGCCGTCATAGCTTGAATATTAGTGCATGCAGCGTTAAACAACAAACAAACAAACGATTTGGAAAACACTATGGAAGAGGACTCTAACACTGTGTTGCGACAAGTCAATATTAAAATCGTTTATAGACATCCATCTTACGTATTTTCCAACAAAACAATGTACATAGTTATAGATCGGAGGGGTTTCAATCGACAGAGAATACGCAACTTCACAAAACTCATAAATAAGTATTTCTCCAGCCTGGTTCCCTGGGTATGCTGCGCTGGCGCACTGTAGTCGATAAAATAAAATATATACATTACATCAATGCAATGACTCATAGGGAGCATCATTATGCTATTTGTTAAAGAACAACCAATTTAAAAAAAAATTAATTTTTTGAGTAGTATATCATAAAATACAGCATGAGGGGAGATAACTTAGAGACGGGCATCCGACATGATGGTGAACGAAAGCACATTGCGAAATGTCAGGAGGGAATGGGTAGACGGAGGGAGAACTGGTATAGTGGATAGAACAGAAGCAAGTAGGAAACAGATGTTAGGCGTACAGACAAAGAATTAAAAAACAACATGTCGTAGCATCATGGCGGAAGTAACCGGAAGTGACTGAAGGGACCTCTAGCGGCGGTAAGTGTTGTGTTTGTCCATGTTCTGGCTCCGCACCTAGAGAAGAAAAGTGATTGAGTATTGTTTTACGCCGTTTTAGCAATATTTCATTATTATCATGGTGAAAAACAGCAGAAATGGGCTTCATTGTACCCATTTGGGGAATCATAACCTGGCCTTCGGTCTAACGAGCGAACGCTTTAACCACTAGGCTATACCACCGGTCCCTTGAGAAGACAAACTGGCAATACACGTGTAAACACAGTGCATGGGAAACATACTTAAAAAAATGAATGATGTGTTGTTTTTGCGATAGAATAATCTCCTATGACCTATACAATTTTACATAATCAGTGATACAGTCGTTTTTGCCGCTCCAGACCTGATTATCGGTCATGCATGAACTTACCAACGCATTCATGACGATAAACTCATTTAGCTCCACCTTCCCGTTTCCTGAAACACATCAATGAAGAAATATGTTCATTTACTTCTACTACGAAGTGACAGACCACACAAAATAGGAAGTCACGGCGAGTGACATGTGTCCGGGAGATGGCTGTTCCAGTGTAGAGACAGATAGTGAGTGAGTGAGTTGGGTTTAACGCCGCTTTTAACAGTATTCCAGTTATATCACGGCGTGTCAGCTTAATGTGGGAGGAAAGCCCCAAGTGATGCAGGTCTCAGACGTTTACCACTTCGGTGAAACCCACGAGCACGGGTATAGTGCTGACAAACCTAGAAACATAATCGGGGCGAACCGGGATTCGAACCCACAATCATAGGTTTCTGGCGTGCCCAAGGGACGCAACTCTGCACAGCGAATCGCGACGCCTTAGACGACTGGGCCACCCGTGCCCCCGTAGAGACAGATAATGTCTCGCAGTGTGACTGAGGAATAATTAGGAATTAACAATAATCCCCTCTCAATTTGAAAGCATCTTTCTTCCAAACGTCTTTTGAAATAAGTTTTTTGATTGCATTGTAGTTTCCAGAACAACAACAAAATTCTAAACAAGACGTTGAGAAAGGAAGACAGGGTTCAACATACACATTTTAGTTATAAAACCATGAGAAAGAAGGAAAACGAGTAAAGCGACGCAAGTCGTAGACGTTTTACCATTAAGTTAAATCTCACGAGCAGTTCATGGTGCTGACAAGGACAATAACCAGGGCGAAACTGGTATTAGAACCCAACATCACTGGATCCTGATACGCCTAAGGGACTTAACTCTACACTTAAGTTGCACTTAACATACACTAACAGTAGAGGAGAACAGTCAAAGTTATTGTGAATTGATCAATATAACGAAACTACGATTATCCGGACGGTACATTATCTTGTGAATTCGTTCAGATTAACAGATGTCCGGAAGAACGAATCATTGGTACAAAGTAGTTTCCTTGTGTGTATTAATACATGTATTGACGTCCTAAACATTGCCCTCGCTTCCGGATTAACGAGGTTACACTGTAGAGATGATGCAGAGGGATTAGTTTTTCGTAATGTTCAACATTCTTCTGAGTTCAAACCACAAGACGAAATATTGTCATACGGATCAAAGTACGGTTTACAGCCAAGTCCAACCGAACGATAATTATCCAGCTAAATTGCATGCTTTAAATATAAGTGAAAACCTATGCACTGTTAGCCAAACTAAGATGGGAAACCCTTACAATACACACTGAAGCCTGGCATGGCAAATAGGCTATTAACAACGGCACATCAATAGGGGCAGTGTGGTATCTTTCTGGGGCTTCGGTGTTAATTGGGAAACGTCAATAGCAGCTAAACATGTGCCCGCCGTAACTGACCGTCAACGGTGTCCGCGAATTGATATACATGTAGTATTTTATCAAGAACACGTGGACCAATCAGATCACATCTACGCATGATGTCATTTACCAGATTGTCTGGTCCAGACTCGATCATTTACCGACCGCCGTCATAGAGCTGGAATATTGCTGAGTGCGGCGTCAAACAACAAGTAAACAAACAAACAAACAATCTGACATGGAGGTATGATAACAAGCATTTTGTTCATTTCACATATCATACATAAACTCAGGATATTACCCCAGCTTCAATTATATATAAATTTACGATTATGCTTCGGAAAAAAATATATTTATTTTTGTTCGAGGTTTTTCGTATATTTCAGGTTTTGCTAAGGATGACGAAGAACTGGAAATATACAAAAGTAATGTCTACCAATCAGTACGGGAAGAAAGCCCAAAGTTATGCTGGTCTTAGACTTTTACCACTTTGTTAAAGCCTACGAGCACGGGTATGGTGCTAACAAACCAATGGATGTAATCAGAACTGACCGGGATTCGAGTGAGTGAATATTGCTTAACGCCGCATCAGCAATTTTGCAGCTATTCGCGGCGAGACCGGGATTCGAACCAACGATCATAGGTTTATATTATAATGGCCGATAGTTCCTATGCATCTACTGACTATATTGCACTGTTATCTTCTGTTACCACGTGGGATTGATGCCTACCATCCAGATCCAGTGACTTGGTGGCCTTCTCGAACTCGATGTTGGTGGCGATACCGTCCCCGTCGACGTCCATGGCGTAAAGCTCGAACCACGTCATCTTCCCATGGATTTCGTCGCGGCTCAGGACACCGTCACCTACAATGAGTGAGTATTATTTTACGGGCTTTTAGTACCATCCAGCAAAATCTCTGCGGCGAAAACAGATGATATTCACACATTGTACCCTTGTGGGGAATCGAACCCGGACTTGAGGCGTGACGAGCTAACCCTTTACCAGAAGGGAAACTGACTACCCCTCACCTGCCATGGCATCTTGTTGATGTTGTTTTTATTTCATGGGTATAGTTGTTATTTTAGATATCAGTATAATGTACATACCATCACACGGAATACATGTACAATTAGGGAATGCAACTATTAACACATTAACGATTAACCATTATATTACATTTCTCCTTTCTCTTCTGATTTATAACCGATGTCAATTATGTCTCTATTCTAGCGTAGACCGCCACCGTGGTCTAATGGTAGAGCGTACGCCCGGAGAGCGGAAGGTCCGGGGTTTGATCCCCGGCCGCGTCATACCAAAAGACGTTAAAAGATGGTACTTGTTGTTACCCTGTCTGGCGCTCGGCATTAAGGGGCTAAAACAAGGACTGGTCGGCTCGGAGTCAGTATACTGTGTCTGAGTGGGATATTCATGTTAAACTGCGGCATGGTATCTCAGTGAGCTAGCACTATAAATCGGCATCACTCCGGACTAGAACAAGCAGCCACACAAACACACACACGTACATGCACGTCGCTTTATAAGTGCAATAATCTTGGACGCGACGTTAAACCCCATTTCACCTCACCTCACCTATTCAGAGGTAAATACTCTTGACCCGTTCAACAATAAGCCCGATTCAAATTGCATGATGCTAAAATAACCGTCCAATCAAAGTTCTCTCACGAGCTAGAGAAATTCTGCGCTAAGTAAGTGAAAAGAGAAATGGTGACATCACTTCCGAAACGAAGGATGGATCAGCCATCGTCATCCATTTACTGTCGGACCCGTGAAGATCCAGGGTAGAATAATTCATCAGCAACCCGTGCTTGCCGTTAAAGGCGACTTATTGGATAGGGTGGTCAGACTCGCTGACTTGGTTGACTTGGTTGATGCATGTCATCGTATCCCAATTGCGTGAATCGATGCTCATGATGTCAATCACTGGATTGTATGGTCGAGACTCGATTATTTACAAACCGCCGTCATATAGCTGGAATATACCCGAGTGAGGCGTTAAACAACAAACAAACTTACTGTCGCCATCCAGCTGTTCCCATTGGTCCGTCATCTCAGAGCTGTCGATGACGTCATCTTCATTCGCGTCCACTGTGTTGAAGAAGTTGACGATAACGTCGAGGATGTCATGGCTGACGGTGCTACGGACAGAAAAGGTGTGAAGGTAACATACAACACATGACCTTGGGTATAATAATGTTTTGGTGGAATATACCCTTTGTATTAACTATGAACACATAAGGGATCGCATGATTTGATTAAAAGTGGACGTAGTGTCCTCATGCAACCCATAATGCAATCCCTTCTGTTATTTCGGTGAGATTATATTCCATATCTACTCATCCTCTGTATCTCCATCCCTCGCATTTCGGTACACCGACACCAACACCAACATCAATTCCCGCGCTTCTTGCGATCTTAAATTACCCGCCCTTGATTTTCATCAGCCAATTTGATTTGTTACGCTACTCAGTCTAAGGGACCAATCAAAATGTGAGTTACAAACCAGCCTCAGTCTAACGGACCAATCAGAATGTGAGTTACAAACCAGCCTCAATGTTGGGTTGGCGATATCAGTTCCATTGAATACGATAGAGTTTGCGAGACATGAAAAGTTCATTTTAGTATCACCGGATCAGGTAATTTACTATACATTATGCCGTTTCTGAAACCCTATACACTGCAAGCCAGCAAACTTATCAACAGCTGAATGGTCATGAGTTTAACTCACACTGTGTAGTGACCGGCCTTGATGGTGACCTCTGTAGAATCTGCAACAGACACCGACGTCATTAGCACTTGAAAAGTTGAAGATGAAAAAAACGTATGAAATGGAAATGAATTTTGGCAAATATACAATTATTTAAAAATAAATATATGCGTTATTGTTAACAAGCCGTAATGTTGTCACGGGTATTTTTTGTGTATTACTTTTCTTAACCAACAATGGAACCAGAAAGGGAGGCAACTCTCTGTTTCACTGAAACAAACATGTCGGAAGAAGCTAAATACACACAATTCCTGAAGGAAAATGAACAGGAAGCTGTCTGGGGAAGTGCCTCGTTTCTACGGACTGTATCGCGGGGATGTTTGGTAATTAACGGCGAAATAGCCTGTGACACAGACAGAGTTGCTTCCCTTTGTCTGCCTCCGGACATAGAGAAGTAATTGTACCTGGCTGGTGTTGATCTCCCTGTCTCGACCGGAATCCGCCCTTACCTTGTCACTGTGAGTCCCGACAGCCGAGGCACAATTATCTTATGTCCCGTCGAGGCAACACTAAACCAGGACCCTTAAATGCTAATATATACTTCTACATTAAGGCTAAGATTAATTACCTGGTTATGTTAAACACAATTATTAGATGCTAATGTGTAACAACCACACTACGAAAGATTTGACATTAAAACCTTATTCATGTAGTCTCCGGCATAACGTCTATTCAAAACAGTGACCTACATTTACGATATTCACAATATTGTGCTACAGGATTGATAGAGATGGTGTCCTGGCCTAAACTGGTTCCACTGTTGGTTTGCGTGCAAGCAGCGGCCAAAACATGTGGCACAAATCTGACGCATATCCGGTTACATTTGCGCATGCGTAAGTTTCTCCTTATTTACAGATTTTGAGAAACATGACTTTCTACGCCACGATAACAATTATAACAAACTGCTCAGCTGATGTTAATATTAAGTATCGTAATCTTTAGTGTCGTCCAATGGAAGCCTACGAGACATCGGCCACCGCCTAGTTAAGTCCTGATCTTTCAGGTAATCACCTAGATCGGGCTTCTGTCCAGGGCTCAGTGATGTATCCTCGCTACCCGGTCCTTCGTTGGTATAAAACATGTCTGACTGTGTCTCTGTTTTCTTCTCGTCGATAGTTTCAGTGACGCCATGTCTTCCAGATGACCTTGAGGGGGTTTGTGTGACGTCGACTTTCTCGTTCCCAGCTCTGTTGCTCCAGTATTCGCCCACGTCACCGGAAGTACGCGCACTGCTACTCTCGAGCGAAGGACGTTCTGAAGAAGGTTCCCAGTTGCTTTGTCCCGGCATGTGAGAAGATGTGGCATGTTTCTGTCTCCCTGAACGATGTGGGTGGGACTTTGGACGAACCTTTTTAACCCCTTGACCATGAACAACAGTGGAGGACGTTGTATTGGAGGGACGAGTTGTTGTATCAGGTTCCAGGGTTGTTCTACGATGTTTGGGACCTGTCAACGTTGTAGGTATGTCTTCACTGGAAGACCCTTGAGTCACTGCTTTAGTCACGTCACTTGACGATGGAGTTGTTGAAGGTACTGTTGTCGTCCCTTTAGGTTTAGCTTTCCACTTCTTAGGCCCTCCACCTTTGATGTTCTGTTTGCCTTTGTCGTGTGCCTTCCACTGAGCTGTAGTCACGTCACTTCCAGTCAAAGTTGTGTTCTCGTTTTGTGACGATCCCGATGTTGCTGATGACGATGGAGTTGTTGAAGGTACTGCTGTCGTCCCTTTACGAGTAGCTTTCCACTTCTTAGGCCCTCCACCTTTGATGTTCTGTTTGCCTTTGCCGTGTGCCTTCCACTGAGCTGTAGTCACGTCACTTTCAGTCAAAGTTGTGTTCTCGTTTTGTGACGATCCCGATGTTGCTGATGACGATGGAGTTGTTGAAGGTACTGCTGTCGTCCCTTTACGAGTAGCTTTCCACTTCTTAGGCCCTCTACCTTTGATGTTCTGTTTGCCTTTGCCGTGTGCCTTCGACTGAGCTGTAGTCACGTCACTTTCAGTCAAAGTTGTGTTCTCGTTTTGTGACGATTCCGATGTTGCTGTTGACGATGGAGTTGTTGAAGGTACTGCTGTAGTCCCTTTAGGTTTATTTTTCCACTTCTTAGGCCCTCCACCTTTATTGTTCTGTTTACCTTTGCCTCCTTTCGAACGAGATTTGCCTTTCGGTTCCCCCTTTGATTTGGGTGTAGGGGTTGGTTTTTCTTTTTTCTTTTTCACCTTTGGAGGGGCACCTTTTCCAGTATGGGGAGTTCCTGACGGGGCTATAGACGATTGCGTTTGGTGAGTTGTATTGCCTACTGTTGTATCTGACTCAATCGTTTCTGTTGTTGTTGATATTGGTTCTCCTGCCGATGTTGACGATGCTTGGGACGTTGAAGGTGCTGATGGAGAAGTTAATGATGATGAAGATGTTTGCGACTTTGGAGAAGTTGAGGATTTAGGAGATGTCGAGGACGTTGAAGATGCTTGAGATATTGAGGATTTGGCAGACGTTGAGGAATCTGAAGTTATAGACAATGTTTGTGCGCCCTTGGTTTTGGCTTGAGTGGATGCTACAGTAGTTTCTTTAGACGGTGCGGAAGTCAATTTGGAGGTAGCTTCTGTTGGTGGGGCTTCAGTCTGTTTGTGAATGGAGGAAGGCCCGCCTACGGGGGCAATATTGACATTTACTTGGTATGTGGCAACAAGATTGCTGCCTGCTGTTGGAGCTAACTTGACATTGTCGTTGTCGCTCGATGGAAGTGTCTGGGCACTGATAGAAACAGCAGATTGTGTTGTGTCAGGAATCGTTGCAGTTGTATGCCCTGAAACTGTAGTTCCAACAGCGGTTGTCTCCCCTTCTACTGCTGTTCCAAAAGTTGTTGTCGCCCCTTCTTCTGTTGTTCCAAGAGCGGTTGTCCCTCCTTCCACTGTTGTTCCAAGAGCGGTTGTCCCTCCTTCCACTGTTGTTCCAACAGCGGTTGTCTCCCCTTCTATTGTTATTCCAACAGTGGTTTCCTTCCCTGCTGCTGTTGTTCCAACAGCGGATGTCTCCCCTTCCACTGTTGTTCCGACAGTAGTTGTCTCCTCTTCTACTGTTGTTCCAGCAGTAGTTGTCTCCTCTTCTACTGTTGTTCCAACAGCGGTTGTCTCCCCTTCCACTGTTGTTCCGACAGTAGTTGTCTCCCCTTCAACTGTTGTTCCAACAGTAGTTGTCTCCCCTTCAACTGTTGAACCAAGAGTAGTTATCCCCTCGTCTACGGTAGTCACAACAGTGGTTGTCTCCACTTCTACAGTTTCAGCAGTAGTTGTCTCCCCTGAAACAGTGGTTGTTGCTTCATCAGTACTTTCTTCATCTCGTTTATTTAATGACATCATACCTTTCGTGTCAGCCTGGGACCCTTCTCCCGCGTGTTTGGGGGCGTGGGTGGTTGGTGTCGGTTCGGTTGTCTCTGACGGGGTCGGCGACGGGGTCTGTGACTTGGTCTGTAACTGACGGGCGGGCTGTGACGGGAGAGGGGTGGAGGTCACGGCGCTCACCAGCAGGAGCAGACTGGTAGACAGGGACATCAGCATCTTGTGTGGATCTGAAGTTACAGAGATATGTCTCCAATGTTCGTGTGCATCATTGTGGTATAAATGCATATCAACCGTCATCCACTTACCTGTTTTGTTTGTTGTTCAACGCCGCACTCCGCAATATTCCAACTATATGACGGCGGTCTGTAAATTATCGAGTCTGGAGCAGACAATCCAGTGATTGACATCATGAGCATCGATCCACGCAATTGGGACACGGGGACATGTATCAACCAAGTCAGCGAGCCTGACCACCCGATCCCGTTAGTCGCCTCTTACGACAGGCACAGTCACCTTTTACGGCAAGCATGGGTTGCTGAAGACCTATTCTACCCCGGATCTTCACGGGAACCATTTACCTGTAAGTGGGTGGTGGGGTTTAAACCTTGCTCTTCAGGTCAAACACCGGGTTCTTTTCCCCATTCTAGGTGTCCCTGTCGTGATACGATTAGGATATTGCTAAAAGCTAGCTACTTACTCACTTCTTAGTATAATAGTAAACTGAGGAACAAAAGCAACCATACCTCTCAGTTGATTTTATCATGTGTTTTATTTTGAATCGAAAATAACTGGTTGGTTCTTAGTCAGTACACAAAGAATGCGCCTACATGGTTTAATTTTTAAAATATAAAATGATTTAAAACATATTTCAGCACCGATTGACACCATTTGGGGTCATGTGTCTACAAATTATGCCCCAGTTTCCATTGAACCATGTTATGTTTACACCAATAACCCAGCCACAGATAACTGTTGCGGGAATGAGTGACGGTTAAAAAGACAACAGCGTTAACATTTTCGATTTCATAAAAAATAAACTCGGTATAGTTTCTTTTGCCCCACAGTGTCTATTTAGAAAATACCGATCTGAGCCGGACCGCCTCCGCGGTCTAGTGGTAGAGCGTCCGCCCGGAGAGCTGAAGGTCCGGGGTTCAATCCCCTGCCGCGTCATACCAAAAGACGTTAAAAGATGGTACTTGTTGTTACCCTGTCTGGCACTCGGCATTAAGGGGCTAAAACAAGGACTGGTCGGCTCGGAGTCAGTATACTGTGTCTGAGTGGGGTATTCATGTTAAACTGTGGCATGGTATCTCAGTGTGCTAGCACTATAAATCGGCATCAGTCCGGACTAGTACAAGCACGTCGCTATATAAGTGTAATAATCTTGGACGCGACGTTAAACCCCATTTCACCTCACCTCACCACCGATCTGAGCCTCACCCATGCACGTTGCCTGATGATGCACATGCATTAAACACCTTCATATCTGCGTGTCATTTGACAACGAGTCTTCAGACAATATCCGCTGTTAACGATGGATGTTTCAACTGGCACCTCCTGTCGACTAAAGGTGTATCAACCTTCAAATTAATGGTGCTCAATACGGCATATTTATGGTGCTTCTGCGCTAAAAGTTCTTCAACAGACACATTAAAGGTGCTTCACTTGACACATCAATGGCTATTCAATCGACAGACCATAGGTGCTTTAATCGACAGACTGAAAGTGATTCAACCAACACATGAAATGTGCTTTAACTAAATGTGCTTTCTGGGAAGAAATAATGACAGAATAATGGTGATTTATGAAACGCCACCGGGAACAGTGACCAACAGACTATAAACGATACTTCAAATGAAGCATTTTCAATGGCACTTCACAAGAAAGATTTATGGTTGTTTAACAAAAGGACTACCGGTGTTCCAACTGTCAGAGTGACGGTGCTCCTGCTACTGGTGTTTTAAAGATTCTTGAACCGACAAATTAATGATGCTTCTACCTCAGATGATAGACTAAAGGTGCTTCAATCAACAGACTAAAGGTGCTTCAATCAACAGACTTAAGGTGCTTCAATCAACAGACTTAAGGTGCTTCAATCAACAGACTTAAGGTGCTTCAATCAACAGACTTAAGGTGCTTCAATCAACAGACTGAAGGTGCGTCAACCGACATACTAAAATTGCTTCAAACAACAGTGAAAAGGTGCTTCAACCGACTGACTAAAAGTGCTTCAAACAACAGACTAACGGTGCTTCAAACAACAGACTGAAGGGCTTCAATCAACAGACTGGAAGTTCTTCAATAGACAGACTAAATCTGTTTCAACTGACAGAATAAGTTAACTTCAATAAACCAACTAAATGTACTTCAGCCAACACACTGAAGATGCTTCAGATGACAGAAAAAGCTGGCTTCAACCAACATACTAAAGTTGCTTCAGTCGACACACGAAGGTGCTTCAATCAACACAATGAAGGTGCTCAACTGACAGAATAAGCTGGCTTCAATCAACATACTAAAGGTGCTTCAATCGACACACGTGCTTGAATTACCAGCTAAAGCTGCTTCATTGACAGAATAATGTGACATCAACCAAGAAACTAAAGTTCCTTCAAATGACAGACCTAATTGTCTTCAATCGACACACTAAAGGTGATTCCACCAGCAGACTAAAGTCGTTTCAACTGACAGACAATTTAATGTAACTGTATGTAATGTTTTCCCCTCTTCTGTTGTAATTCTGCCTTGGCCCTTCCTTGGTGCCAAAGAAATGCACATGAACGTCAGGCAAATCTCGTTCAATGCAACAGTTTTGACTACACAACTTCTGACAGGAACAGTAAGCTGTTTAACACTATTTCTAAGTTCACAGTGAGTGAGTTGTGTTTAACGCCGCTTTTAACATAATTCCAGTTATATCACCGCGTGTCAGCTTAATGTGGGAGGAAACCCTGGAGTGGTGTCGGTCGCAGACGTTTATAAGTTCGGTGAAACCCACGAGCACGGGTATGGTGCTGACAAACCCAGAAACATAATCGGAGCGAACCGGGATTTGAACCCACAATCATAGGTTTCTGGCGTGCCCAAGGGACGCAACTCTGCACAGCGAATCGCGGCGCCTTAGACGACTGGGCCACTCATCCCCCTTTTTCTAAGTAATAAGCACAGTTCCTAATTAATAATAGAAATGCTATTGAGATGTACAGGTACCAGTATTTACCCTGATCTGTTTAGTTGTGTGTCCTTGGCTTCTCCGGAAATATCTTAGTGACTGAGTGAAGAAAATCGAAAATGAACTTTAGTTTGATATCCAAGAATGTAAATGAAATGTTTGAGACCAGTTGGCCCCGTAGTGCATGTTATTTGTTGCATAATGAACATGTATAACCCCTTTCTTGTTTCGAGACCCTCGCTTTAAACCATGTCTGATACATTCAGCTTCACTGCTGGCTCTCCGTACATGACCTCAAGCTAAGTGATTACATCGTGCGTGGGTTAATTGCATGTAATGGTAATTTGTCAGATTAATAATTAATGCCACAAATTAGTCAAATAGAGATCGACATAAATGTAATACTGCAAATTGGACAAAACTACGTTCACTGTTGACAAATGGAAATATCAATAGTCAAATTGTGCATGTTCCGTGACGATTGTTGTTTATGCTATCAACCCCTGGTTTGTGTGGGATCTATTCCCGGACATCTGGATAAAGTCAGAATTGTGCAGATTACGCTGTAAATAAAAGCAACAAAACCCTTTTTGTATTCATAAGAAATCTCGAAAGTCGATTGTAAGATTCCGACTATATCATGTGTTTATGAATCACTATCAAGTAGTGATGACACCAGGTGATCGCGAAACCGTGAGCGTGGCGCCCGTCCAAAACACATGCAAAGGCAAGTCAACTGTTCACCTGAAAAAAACACGGAAACATAGTACAAGTGGAAATGGGGAATTGTATCGGACATTATACCCCCGTCACACTTATTCTGAATCAGCAGCAATCAAGCAGAATCATCGTGCCACATTCGGGAGGGAATTTCAAATTGACCAAGCTTTGTAAGAATGCCGTTCGAACCCGCTTCGAATGATTCTTGCACATTCCGGGTGCATTAGCTCTCGAATGCAGCTCGAATGTAGTTGGAACACAGTAGGAATATTTAGAATGCTGTTAGAATGCAGCCAGAATATTTAGAATGCACATCGAATGCAATACGAGTGCGGTTCGATTGCTGCCCGAATACCGCCCGAAATCTGGTTGGAAGGTGCCTCGAATGCTGTACGAAATCACCTCGATTCGGACGTCCAAGAATTCAAACTCAATGCAGCTCGAATACTTATAATGAAATTAGAATGTTACACGAATTGTCCCGGGTGTATCAAGAATGCCGCCGAAATAAGATTCCGGCAGCAATCTAGATGCATTCAAGGTGCATTCCGACTCATTCGAAGCGCATTCGGGACATTCTGGCAGGATTTGAAGTGACTTGGCGTTTCGATTCTCGAATGCGATCAGAATGTTTCGAATTTTTGTATTTAATAAAATCTATGAGCCTGATCCTCTTTCTTTTTTAAAAACACACCTTGGAACGATGTAATTTGTGCGACAGGCAATTTCTGTTTTCAACAGGCTGAAGCATAATTATCTTTTTCAGCCCGTGGTTCAAGTCTGAAATACTGGAGACCTATTGTCCTTCTAGTTCTTACATAGAGAAAAGCCCGAAGTAGTCATTCCGTAATCTCCCGTCGTATCTAAGCAGCTCCGTGGAATAGCCTGGTGTTTTTCAACCCCTAGTATCATCTACAACAACCCAAGCTTATCGTAAAAGGCGACAAACGGGATCGGGTTGTCAGGTTCGCTGACTTGGTTGATGCATGTCATCGTATCTCAATTGCGTGGATCGATCCTTATGATGTCAATCACTGGATTGACTGGTCCACCGTCAAGGTTCTCTTATCGAGTCTGTTGGCAGGGAGAAATAAATGACCAATCGAGACACGTCATATATACATAGTCCTATCACAGAATACCACAAATAGGTCGGATAAAAAACATTTATCTGCGCAAATCCATGAGGCTACTGAAACGCCAACAGAGGTCATTACCGAACGTGAATAACAGTAAACTTTAAGATTCACCAACAATACATCTCAAAGTACACACAATAGAGAGCGATATACTTTGGTCGACAATACAGTAACAGAGATGCAAGAATACACCTCGGAAGCTCTTTACAACGCACATCCTCATCACGTCCCTAAGCTGATACTACACGTCTTTTGGGGGTTAATCTTTGTTTATGTGTAATGTAAAACTGTTAATTGTAAAATTTCCAAAGCGGGATGTATAAATTGAAAAAGGCCAAACCAGGTATTGTTTAAATGCTTTAAAAATTAAATGAAAAATCATACTTACATTTTGAGAGCGGAGAAGGGAATACCCAACAGGTTTATAGCGTATATTACAGTAAGTATATTTCAATAACTTCCGTCACAGCTGTGTTGACGGCAAACGGAGCAACCATAGCCGTCGTCATCGACAAGTGCCTGCTACCGCTGTGACTGATTACTCTGTAATAATTAATAATAGCACATAATACTAATTACCACATCTTGCTGCTGATGCTGCCAGGCTTAAAGAGGCATACCGATCATACCACCCTAATTCTCTCTATTACAATAATACGTTTTGCCTGCGGGAGGGGCAATATGCAGCCTCGTTACGACAATGGTACAGGCAATAAATCATACATACAGTATATTGACGTAGAATACAGTCGGGGGTTGTGGTCATGTAATTGAAAGATTGATAAAAGCGCTGTTTTAGATGAAGTTGAAGAAAAATAATGCGGGAACAAAACATTAATTGTTGTTTTGGTTAAATGAAACAAAAGTTCATTTGAGATTGAAATCTGGTTTCCGAGGTGTGTGTTGGCGGTAGGAACATCCAGACAATCCAGTGATTGATATTATGAGCAACGTCGGGGGACCATAACACCTTGATATCATGCAGTAGGTTATTGTGTGTTTGATGGCGATATTTGAATAGAGACTGAAAGATCAGAAAAGAAGGTAATTAATGCAAACGATAAAGGTTAAATTTTTATGCAGTTTAGAAAGAACCCGTCTTTTTAGTCACCATCTGTTTTATTTTGCTTCACTACATATTTAAAATATGAATACAAATACATGTAAAACATTAAATCAACATCACCATAGGTCATTTGAAAACACTGGTGATTCCAGTACTTCATGTATTTGCTGTATAACGGCGGCTCATAAGAAATCGTGTCTGGGCAAGACATTCCAGTGATTGACATAATGAGCATCGATCCTCTCGATTGGGATACAGAGACATGAATCAACCAAGGGAGAGAGCCCGACGACCCGATCCTGTTGGTCGCCTCTTACGACAAGCATCGGAGCTGAATTCTGACCCCGATCTTGTATGACATAATGAACAATCTCATTAAAATCAGATCTTAGTTTTCGCTACCGCTAAACAAAGATCTGAGGACATCCCAGTACTGATCACGTCAGAATGACCTTTCGCGAATTTTGACCGACCAATGAAATGACTGATGAGAAATCGATATTAGCCAATCAGAAGGCAGCTTTTTCGAGCTTTACGACACTAGTTTCAAACTGGCGACTACGCTTCGAAACATATTTTGACGTATTCTCGATTAAAAAAAATTAAAACTGATAAGAACATTCTGGAATGGCTTATATATGGCCTAGATTGTATATAATCATAAAACCCGTAACTGTTGTTCGGAATACCCCGTGTTAAATATTTCGTGGTTGCATGATTAGAAAACACATTCCGACACTCACTTTCATGATCTGGTAAGCGACGCTCTGATTGTTTAGATGAAAGGTCCCTCTGACGTGACCCTTAATGGGATGTCCTCAGATCTTTGTTTAGCGATAGCGAGAACTAAGATCTGATTTTAATGAGATTGATAGGGGAACTGAGTAGTAATGGGTTTTTTGTTGTGTTTTTCATCATCTGATGCCCAGAACCAAAGACTTCAATCAAAGATCTGAATTTCTATTTAATCTTTATACGTTTTCAAGGTGAGCCAAAGTCCAGTACAGCTTACATCAAAACACTCTGTCAGGACAGAGCATTAGGTGTGAATGAAACAATCAAATATTTACAATGAGATTCAAACCCCAGACTTGTCATCAATGCTTGCGACGCGGGATTGTCGTCTGCCGCTTTCGCAGCTGCTAAAGGTGACGTCATCAATATCTGTTTGGCCAAATGACTTACAGCCAATCGACCTAAGCCGCGTCGCCGGAAGTAGCTGTCGACATACAGCATGCCGATCATGTTATGAGGCTGGACAAGTGCGTGCGCAGCTGTCTGTTGGCTATCTGATGTGCCCACGCATACACTCGGTAGACTGGTTTCGACCAGTCTCTGCACGAAGGAAGTAACCCCAGGATCACTGTAACCCCAGGTAGAGGATACGGATGTGACGTCATCACATGTCACGTGACGCACGACCATGTCGTCCGGGACAGACCTGCAAAGGGTACAGAAAGGAATATTATCTGTTACAGGTCCTCGAGCATGTGTTTTTTTTAATCATTATGAAACAATCACCTCATTCCGTTCACATCCCCTTCTCAACTGACCCGTGAAGATTCCGGGGTAGAATAGGTCTTCAGCAACCCATGCTTGCCGTAAAAGGTGACTATGCTTGTCGTAAAAGGCGATCGGGTGGTCAGGCTCGCTGACTGGTTGATGCATGTTATAGATCCCAATTGCGTGGATCGATGTTCATGATATTAATCACTGGATTGTCTGGTCCAGACTCGATTATTTACAGACCGCCGTCATATAGCTGGGATATTGCTGAGTGCGGCGTTAAACAACAAACCAACCAACCAACCAACCACTTCTCAACTCAGCCCAGTCTCTTTCCCTTTTCAGCTCTAGCATTAAGGGTACCTTTATAGAATTATTTTTATTCACATTTATACATAACTACACTTCGGGGACAAACCCCGAACTGGCTTTCATTTTTCTGGGATGTATCCAGAGATATATACTTATTTATATGATTTTATGTGATTTATTCAAATATTCAGTAAATTCGGAGAAGAGTTATTAAGAACAATGCAAATGGACGGACTTGGCACATAGACTCGTTTGGATAATTCCACAATGAGAGGAATGTTTGAAATATCTGGGGACACACAGCGTTGACGGCTAGCACGCGTACACCATTGCACCGTTTCTCCACAAAACAGCGTGTTCGTGATGTCCTCAATTTTATATGATAAAATATACAGCAACAGTTCGTTATATCCGTCAGTTCGTTTTAACCATAGTTTACTGTACATACGCGGTTACAAGGCCTCCCTCGTCGACGGTGTATACGTTGCCGGTCTCCATGGTAGCGAGGTCAGCTCTCTCCCCCGCGGACAAGTGGTGGAGGGCGGGCAGCAGATGAGGAGGCAGGTCTACAAGAGTGTGGTGGAAAGGAGTGAGTGTCGTTTTACGCCGCTTTTAGAAATATTCCAGCGAGCATGGGCGTGACGAAATAAGGCTTTAAACACTCTGCTACCGGGTAACCCCACTGTCCTGTGATGGACAGGTATGTTCAGTAACGGTGAAAGAATGAAAAGATGCGTGCACTCCCTTTATTATACAATACAAAATAGTATTACAGCAAATTTAGGAATCATCCAGAAATATCACCTCGGGGACACCAGGAATGTCGCATTAAAACCCATATTGGCATCGAACCGTGGTTTAGTGTGACCAGCGAACACTACCATGAGACAACACTTCTACCTCTGCATCTGAGTTGTATCATTGTTTGTTTGTTTTTTAACAACGCAATCAGCAATATTCTAGCTATATGACGGCGGTCTGTAAATAATAGAGTCTGGACCAGACAATCCACTGATTGACATCATGAACATCGATCCACGCAATTGGGATCGATGACGTGCATGAACCGAGTCAGCGAGCCTGACTACCCGATCCCGTTAGTCGCCTCTTACGACAAGCGGTCTGGGTTGCTGATGACCTATTGTTATCCGGATCTTCGCGGATATCTGAAATATGATTGTACTACATGAGCTGACACGACCCACCCACCCAGAACCACCTCACACTCACGCATCACCATCGCCACAACCGCCACCTCACCCACACGACCCGCCGTGGTGACTAACCGAAGGTCATCGCCCGCTCCTTGTCCACGACGCCCGGATGCTGGAGAAGCTTGGTAACAACTTCCGCTTCCTGTCCGTGAATGAGATGAAACCTCCCGCTGAAGGAATCCTGCGAGAGTTTTAATCAAATAATTGTACATATTGATCTGGTCCACTTATGATCTTGATGCAGCAGGTAATTTCATTATTTGAGCTTTCTGCACATCAGTTTGTAACAAGCAATGCGTGAGTTAAAATACATAATGCACAAAACTCCATCAGAACGTTTATGAAATCTATAGTGCACTGTCGTGTTTCTTTAATTCAAAAGATACTCAGTATATTTTTTTTATTAAACAAATATTTGCCATGTAGTTGACAGAATATTTAATTTAGAATTGACATTAGAAAAGTTTATTGGTTGTTGAATATTGTGTGACATTGGGTCCCGTTCGTTTATCATTGAGTGAGTGAGTTGGGTTTAACGCCGCTTTTAACAGTATTCCAGTTATATCATGGCGTGTCAGCTTAATGTGGGAGGAAAGCCCGAAGTGATGCAGGTCTTAGACGTTTACCACGTCGGTGAAACCCACGAGCACAGGTATGGTGCTGACAAACCTAGAAACATAATCGGGGCGAACCGGGATTCGAACCCACAATCATAGGTTTCTGGCTAGGCCAAGGGACGCAACTCTGCACAGCGAATCGCGGCGCCTTAGACGACAGGGCCACCCGTGTCCCCCGTTTATCATTGAGTCATCCGAAGCATCCACTCGATATAGTACCTTTCAGTAACTTTATCACACGAAAAGATACGGATTAGAAATTGTCTCCAGCACCTGTGCTTGTCGTAAAAGGCGACTAAGAGGATTGGGTGATGCAAGTCATCTTATACCACTTGCGTAGATCGAGGCTCATGATGTCAATCATTGGATTGTCCGGTCAAGATCGCCTTCATATAGACGGAATATTGCGGCGGTTAAACAACAAACAAACAACGTGACCGTATCACTTCAAATATAGCAGTTGGTTATTATATATTCTCAGTAAGCCCCAAGTAAATACAACACTAACCATCACGTTGTGTAAGGGCGTGGCCACCACCACTGTAACGTTCGGCCATTGGTCAACCCAGAAGGAGTAGTATGGCCAATCACCGCTCAGAGAAGTCTTTAACAAGCCATATACCTACAGAAAATAAATTAGTTATAAATATTAACATACCAGTGCTGACAACGGATAAACATTGCACAGGCTTGGATCTTATTGGTAAAAGATAATGTATTTCAGAAAATGCTGGTAAAAATAATTTGGCCGCTTTCGCGAAGGTTTTCCAAGCGTTAAATGTTGCGTCACATGTGTGGACATTAAGAATGGACGCAAAGTATTATCTACTGCCTCTCCAATTGGACGCAAAAGGGAATGGGTGTTACACTATTTGAAACTAAATGAAATTGAAACATGTAAATTTGATTTTTGTGATCGAAAAATCAGATTGCTTTGATCGAAAAATGCAGTCAATTTTCGGGCAGTCCATATGAGATTTCCTTAACATAATCTGTAAGTTTTAATTCAAACAAGGAAATCCCTTTCAATAACAAGCATAAGGTACCACACATACTTTATGTTATACCACCGCCTCCGTGGTCTAGTGTTAGAGCGTCCGCCCGGAGAGCGGAAGGTCCGGGGTTCGATCCCCGGCCACGTCATACCAAAAGACGTTAAAAGATGGTACTTGTTTTTACCCTGTCTGGCGCTCGGCATTAAGGGGCTAAAACAGGGACTGGTCGGCTCGGAGTCAGTATACAGTGTCTGAGTGTGATATTCTGTTAAACTGCGGCATGGTATCTCAGTGAGCTAGCACTATAAATCGGCATCAGTCCGGACTAGTACAATAATCTTGGACGCAACGTTAAACACAATTTCCCCCCACCTTCACCTTATGTTATACATGTTGTCCGTAAGAGGCGACAAACGGGATCGGGTGGTCTAGCTCGCTGACTTGGTGCATGCATGTCATCGATCCCAATTGCGTGGTTCAATGCTCATGATATTAATAACTGGATTGTCTGGTCCAGATTCGATTATTTACAGAATGCCGTCATAAAGCTGGAAAGCTTTTGACTGCGGCTTTAAACAACAAACAAACGAGCATAAAAGCAATAGTCTAACAATTGCCATCATTAACATAATCCAGTCATATGCACATATGCTGTGTCCAATCATATGGACCGTGATCAGACTGCACCATACTATGCTATCTCTCGTTGTGCAGCCGTAGTTTATAGCTTTGGCAGATGACCTTTGTTTGCCACTATACCGGATATCGTTTGCTCGGATATCATGGTTCACGTGCTTTGCAATTTTTTTCACGTCATTTTACACAAGCATCACTCAAACGTGCGACGGGTTTTCATTTGTTGCGTTCTGTCGAACAATACCATCACCTGTCTAATCTTCCATGAACGTAAACTTTTTATGTAAGGAAGGAAATCGGTATACGTTCTTCTGATTGTCAGCTTATGTTGAGATGAGCAGAGTCTGTTTGATTGCGACTATTTCACATTTGTTATAATTATTCTACTGAAATTAGCGAGTTTCTTTAAAACATATATTCTATGGGATTTTTATAAGGAGAACATTTTCCGTAAGGGTATAATCTTTTTTCTAAAATATATTACATAATGTACGGAACTCTTTAATTCCACTTTCCTTTTTCAAAAGTGTCGTCGATGGCACGAAGGTCTAAATTTTAACAAGTTCAAGTAATGTTACATGGGCAGTTTTAAAAGATAACATTCAAAGTTACATGAGAATTTGCATACTTTATACAAACTTGCTTCCCCGGAAATCGAAAGTATATAGATCAAGGTAGATCCCTGTCTGAAACAATAATTGTTCCTTGCCGGCTTACCGAAAATACTACCCGTAGCAGATATCACAGAAACGGACGGCCATAACATAATTTATGTCCTGTCATGCAGCATTAAATGTAAATCGGCGACTTAAATCGCCCACCAAAACTATTAGTATCGCCGATGCGTAGGTCACAAGTGGATTTAACAAATAGATGTCAGTAATATATTTCTACCCCCTGCAGTTCCCTGTTTAACTCCTATACGTTAATATGGACTTACGGTAATCGTAGCGCTAAGATAGCTTTGTGAAACGGGGCCCAGCATTCCATAGTGTCACCTTGTGACCCACTTCAACAGATAGGGGAGGTGCAGGTCTCCTTTCTAACGGTTACCTGCACCCGGCTATTTACACAACTAGGTACGAGGGTGACAGTAACACCGTCTCCTCACACTGACAACCACCACCTACATGTCACCATGTAGAACTGTATACTCACGCCGGCACTGTCTGGGAGCTGGGATTCCATGGTTGACAGCAACTCCCGCCATTTGTCACACGCCACACGAACTGCCATCTTAGAAGGGCATTATGGGAGTTTATTATTATACCCGTAGAGCTCACGGTGCATTGGTAGGCTTGAATATTGTTTGTCAGTTAAAGGGGCATCTGCGGTAGGGACTACCGCACTCTAGTGGGCGGAGCTTAAACGAGTAAACGGGTGACGTCATGTAAACAACCACCCACGTGGGCCATTTGACAACAAGGACTTAAGTTTTAATGGTATTAAATATCCATCAAACGATTCCAAGACTTGTCAACAAACGCGTAGGTCTTTTGTTGCAAAACCTACCTGCAATGTCGTCTTCACATCTTCATAAAATGATACCTTGGAATGTCCACGATTTATCCAACAGTCCAACACACACATTATAGAATAGAGCTAAAATTTCTGAGCTACTCTCTGGACGAGAACGAAATACATTTGTCGTGATGAATAAGAGCAGTGTAATTTAACAAAGAGAAAACACCAATCGTTATCCAGTGGTGTACCGTATATCTGCAGTTCATGAATAGCATTTCTCACAATATATACGGCAATCGGTGATTTCAACAGTGTTGTTCTTCGTTGTGCTCGTCTTGCCTTCATCTGGAATCTGGATGACAACGATCGTGTAAAAAAAAACACCTGGTAATGGTCAAACATATTTTCAAGTGATGAAGGTGTTTTTTTTATCTTTTCCGTGACATGTTTTCATTGCCCAGTAGAATTGCGTTTTGGCAAAGTCACATTTGACAGAAGTAACTCGATCCGTGAAACTTGGCGGGTCCCTGTGAATCCAGATTCCCTGTTGATTGACATGCCAAGTGTCATTTGCATAAGGCCATCCATGTTTTTTGTATGTGTTTCTCCCCTCAAGCCTCAATGAACTAATCAGAGAGCGGGCGGACGAAATAAAATATGTAAATTGTCACAAACTGTCTTTCAATAATTGTGTAAGTTATTTTACGACAAAAGTTTAAACACTTGGTACTAGAATCTTGTCTATGAATTAATTTATGATGTAGATCGATTCGGTTTACTTCGGAAACGAATTTTTAATAAACACCTGAAGAAAGATAAAGTTGACCTGGTTCTTTTATGACGGTGTAGATCTGGTGTTTTTTCTTTTATTAGACCGGTGCGCAATTTTCCACAGCGGCAGCAAAATTGAGACACGAAAACTTTATATTATTTCACGTCGGAATGGAGATGAAAATATTAAAATACTGACATATTTCGAAATGATGTTCAGATATATATTTGTTCACTTTAATTCTGTCATGTGCGTGAAAATAGATTTCAACAATATTTCCATCATGCTTATTCAGGTCGCTGGCTGCACAGATCATCCTCTCTTGTAAACTACTTCGCCATGAACACATGTTTTGTCTTGAAGCTCAAAGCAACAATGTTTCTCTAATTGCATGTTTTCTCCATCCATGACGAGCATCTGTCATAATGTCAATGCCTCGACAATCTTCCTGGTCAGTTGAATTCAACAATGCAATACACACAGCCTCTTTCACGGCGTCATCATAATATTCCTTCCAAATACCCACCACGTGATCAGGGTTACGACCATGGGATGAATTACTAAATCAATTTGCATTTTTAGAAAAGATATGTTATCGTGAATACGATTAGATGCTATTAAAAAACATCCTGTACATGGTACTTTTTGATTGCACTGCGGATTTCTTTCATTACTTTCTAAAACTTTTTCTTTTCCCCCTTTCTGACCACGCGACCTTCTTGCAACCGCGCCCCATGAGCGCATCCCCTTACAACTGTCAAGAACTTTGCTGGTTCGTTTGTCTTCAATATGAGCAACAAAACTTTTCATGTGACGCTTAATTTGACGGAGAGTTGATCAGGGAGCCTTTGGTCATTTAGATTATGACATTGGTGACTTTAACGTGAAGAAAGTTCCAATTCAAGATGATGACGTTCCGACCGTCAACTCGAATCGACAAGATAGCGCCTCTCTTCCCGCCCTTGCAAGTGCAACAGAAACTTTGACAAATTCAGTGCCGATTCTTGGGATAAGGGAATCAGTGTCACGGCGATATTTCATTGTGGAACCAGATGAAGCCGAATATGCATGTTCACACTTCTTTTGTCAAACATGCGTGACACAGAACAAGCAATCGCAGTTAGGGAATGATGCAGCCACCATGTTACAGAAATTCGTCAACTCGAAAACACTGCTTGGAAATTCTTCTGGACTGAGGTAAATAGACGAAGTGTTTGGAGAGATCGTAAATACTCGGACTTGAAGAAATGGATATGAAACGTTGCAGCAGGTGAAGGATTGGTGTGGACAAAACGGAAAAGGGATACCAGATTGTATTTTAAAACTTGTGCGCGAAGTGTATCAAATCTCCCGAAAAATAAATACATGGGACAAGGCCTATTCTGCCCCGGATCTTCTGGGTCTCTCAGTCGAGTAGATGTATGGTTTGCATTTAGTGTAGTTTAGTCGACATGACGTGGAGGCAGTGTTGGATGCATGAAGTGGACGTGTGGAAATATATCGATCAATCTCAATATGATCATATCTTTTACCCCGATACCATACCTATCTGTGTGAAAATCTAACGTCACCTCCATAGGTCACGAACTTTGACCGCCCAATCTAAATGATGAATGCATGGGTTCTTGAGCCAATCAAATAGCAGCTTTCAAAAACACATCGGCTTTATTGTTTTAACACATAGGTTAATACATTTTGATTTTTTTTTCAATAAACCAAAACAAAATACGACTATTTCTTCAGTGTTATTCCCGGATGAATGTAGATACCGTGGCGTCAGAAACGACAAAGTGTATATTATCATATCCGCAACGATTTCATGGCGCGGCCTTAATTATATACATTCGGAACTGGTCGTTTTTCAAAATACAGAAATGAGTCAGGATTAGCTCATACGTACCAGGATTTTAGAAACATCGATGCGGATTGACTGATTAGAAGATTCACCTGAAGCTACCTCCCATGGTGAGTTATCCTGTAGGAGTAAATGGTCTGATTTTAACGAGATTGTATAACGATAGTCTTTGAGTTCATGTATGATTTCGTTTCGAAATAGTTCGTTACCTCGAATTGGGATCTGAAATAAAGTACGTATTTTAACTCTTTACTACCAGTGTATGCACAATGCTCATTGCCTGCATGTAAGACTGTTGTCTGGTGGTATTCCTCTACGTCACCCAAGCTCGATATTTACAGTGTGAAAAGAAATAGAAAAAACATAATAGATATATAAAAAAATACATTTATTAACTTTTAAGAAACATGAGTTGAGCTGCGAGTTTATGTTACACCTGTTGTCATGGTACACTGCAGGACTTCTCATTCACTGACATAAGAATACACGTAAAACAACATTCACTCACTATATTACACGTTGTTGCATTGTTTTCTGCAGAAATGCCGATGATACCAATGTCCCCATTGCTTTTACTACATTCGTCGAAACAGACAGTACCAAACGTTGCTGCGAGAACGTTGTTGGATGTTTGACGCACAACGTCTAAACAACGTCATGCCAGAACGATATAATGTTACAATTGTGTTGCCACTAAGTTGACATGGGAGGAGGCATTTACCATACCTTATTGTGTAAACTTACGAGATGAAAATATAATGTAGAATGGAGTCCTTGTAAATTGGTGCTGTATTGCTGCATAAGTGAAGTTGCTATTTGTACACAAGACATTCCAGCGTTTCTAAAACGTTGCAAGAAACATGTCGGCGGATGATTGGTGCACAATATTTAAACAACGTAATTTAACATGAGAGTTATAGTTTCCATTAAACGGTACGTAGCTTACGTAATAAAGTTACGTATACTTACACAGTCGTACAACCTCGTGACAACGTTATATCATGACGTTACCAATCCGTTATCTTACAACATCGTTGTAACATCGCGGTGTGTTGCCGTTTGGGAAGTATTTTGATTATGTCCCATATACGCCACAGATCAGAACTGTTACACAGTTTTCATATATCCCACGCTGATGTTACAAATACTGTACATTATCACATATTATAGCAATGATGGCTAGAATTATCATTAAACCGTCCGCATGTTATCAGAAAAGAGCGGGCCACTGTAACCCTAATACTGCCCTTATATTGCTTGACGACGGGCCATTATCACGCCCGTTGTTAGGTGACGTCATATTGATGTTAAATAGTGGCCTCATCTGGTTCGTTCTGTGACGTTTTCATATTTTTAAAAGTGGATCACTGACAATCGTTGTGTGTTGATTGCAGTAAATGTTTCGAAACCGATATTGCTGTTTATTTTTATTTGATAACAAATTCTATCCATTTTAGCTATAATAACTGTAACGCTATTTTTCAGGGCATTATCATTTGCAGAAGCCCTCGGTCTTTTCACGTCCTTTGTCGGGCAGTTATGGAAGACCTCGGGCGCTACCCTTATATTGTTGTAACAACTTCGTACATGGGCCGATGGCCTACAAAACAGAAATAAACTTACTAATTTATAACAATATCTCATATTGCCCACGCCTCTGCAACAGGTATGGTAATTTGCCCACGCCTCTGCTACAGGTACTGTACATCATTACATTTTGTCGAGTAACAAGTACAAACAATGCACATATCACACATATTACTAAGTAACGCATTCTCATTAAAATCATATCTTAGTCCTCGCTACCGCTAAACAAAGATCTGAGGACATCCCATTACGGGTCACGTCAGACCGACCTTTCGCGAACTTTGACCGACCAATGGAATGACTACCAAGAAGTCGACAATAGCCAATCAGAATGCAGCTTTATCGTGCTTTACCGAGTTTCAAACTGGCTACTACGCTTCAAAACATATTTTGATGTATACTGGATTTAAAAAATCTGGAATGGTAGCGAGAACTAAGATCTGATTTCAATGAGATTGCCAAGTAACGAATACCAACAATGCATATATCACACATATTGTCAAGTAACGAATACCGTATTGTCAAACAACGAATAACAACTATGCCTACATAAAACATATATGCAATATCACAGATCTCAAATACATGCATATATCACAAACATTGTAAAGTAACAAATGACATATCAAATGTTCTCGTCCAAAGGACTATACAATGTCACTTATCATTCACGCATATACAAATAACAAGTATTATGCGTATCTCGTATCATAACAACAGTTTATATATCAGATATTACACAGGAACTAATAGTTCTTCAAGTACATATCTCAAATACTGTACAGTATCAACTATGTGATATGTACATTTTTACAGCACCAAATGAGTAATATTTAAAACACTGCCGGCCATGTTTGATGGTGGCTAAAATCAAAGACAAAATGGTTATTCGATTGATGTGTACTTAATACCGGTGTCATACTTGTGTTTTTGACTCTACTTTAGCAGTGTTTAGGGGCTGTTTTCAGCCTAGTAACGTTTTGATAACGTTTGCAACTTTTGGGTTAAATCAAATTTTCAAGTATTTTGCTTTCTTTTGCCCAGCAATTTACTTAACGTCGCCAATATCGGCAGTATCTCTGTCAGATAATGACGTATTAGAACAAGCTGTTAGTGAGATGAAGTGAGATGAAGTGAGGTGTAATGAGATTTAACGTCCCGTCCAAGATTATTGCACTTTTATAGGGACGTGCATGCACGTGTGAGTGTGGCTGTGTGTGGGTGTGTGTGGGTGTGTGTGGCTGCTTGTAGTGCCAGCCCACTGATATACCATGCCACAGTGTAAAATGAATACCCTACTCAGACACAGTATTCTGACTACGAACCGACCAGTTCTTGTATTAACCCCAAGCGCCAGACAGGGTAACAACAAATAACAACAAGTACCATCCTTTAACGTCTCTCGGTATGACGCAGCCGGGGATCGAACCCCTGGCCTTCCGCTCTACCACTAATCCATGGAGGCGTCCCCAAGCGGTTAGTGGATCAAAACCAGTCTTCATCAAAATCCGCGTCGTCTTCGTCGATCACGTCGTCCTCTGTTTCGTCCACGTCGGTGTCGGGGTCGGCTGGGTCGTCCCCATTGTCCTTGGCAGTTTCCAGGTGCGCCACAATGACAGATGCTGAAACACAGGCACAGATACGCGTCATAAGTGTTACCATATACGGCGATGTGTTGCCAAGGACACAATATATTACCACTCAGTTTGATTACGTAATGGAGCAATCATGAGAATCTGTTGACTTTGTTGACTAAAATGAGTAAAATCAACAAACCCCTAAGGCCAGGTTCACACAGAGCCGATTATGGCTCCCGTTTGAGATCAGACAGCGCTACGACATGAAAATTGAAAAAGTCGGATTACTATCCTCAGTGATCTGGAATGTCCTATCATTGTCTGAACGCAGTCGTATACGTTCGTAACAGAGTCCTACGGATTGGGAAAGGTCCCGAGAGGTCGACCAAGCACTCCCGACAGTATTGTGCGTCACGTACCATTCCGGAAACTCAGCCGATTTTGTCTAGTCGGATTACAATTGTGATTATGTCGTTACAGATTCTGCTGTATCGGATCAAAATCGTAACAATGTCCTGTGTTCTCTAGACGGTGTCCTGTGGATAGGGACGCTGTAGTGATGAACGGGCATGAATTGTTCACTGTCGTTTCTTGTCGATTGAGTCCAGATTACGTCCAGATCTTGCCGAATGCGAACCGTCTTTGTCGGTTCACTGTCCGATCATTGTTGGTCGCATTCGGGAGAATCGGGACGCTGTCGGGACAGATTCGGTCGTTTTTTACCATGCGGAAGATACAAATCAGATCAGATTCAGATTGAGAACGGGAGATCGGGACGAATTCGGCTCGGAGCGGCTGAATCGGGACGCTTCCTGAACAATATCTGATTTGTGAATTTCACGCCACGAATCACAGGACCGTGATCAGACTTTTGAAAACAATTAATTGGAAATAGTCCTATCAAGGACGGCAGTAAAAATCTGTGCTGAGCCCTAAGGGACGAGTTAATTCTACTTCCGGAACTAACAGATTCGAGCGATTTCTCCGACCTAAACCATGTTATAGACTCACTGTTTGTATAAAATTTCTCTATAATGTTGCATGATGACCTGTAGTTGCGTCAGCATCACTTGTTAAAAATGCACCTTCAGAAAGGTCAGTGAATTCCTGGCATAGAATCAGCTGTTTCTGCTTGTACTATCCGGACTAATGCCGGTTTTAAAGTGCTAGCCACTGAGATACCATGCCGCAGTTTAACATTAATACCCCACCCAGACACAGTATGCTGACTCCGCGCCGACCTGTACTTGTATGAACCCCTAAATGCCGAGCGCCACACAGGATAACAACAAGTACCATCCTTTAACGTTTTTTGGTAGGCCAGTGGATTCCTGGCTCAGCTGACCTCACCATAATGCTTTAATCCCTATAAAAACGTCAGCTCGAATCACAGGTTTCCAAACGAATGTGGCTGGATGTATTTTCTTACTTCAAAAGGGGGCACAGATGGCCCAGTCGTCTAAGATGCTGCAATTTGGTAAGCAGAGTTGCGTCCCTTAGGCGTGTCAGACACCTATGATCCTAGGTTCGAATCTAAGATTCGCGTTGATTATGTTATATATCATATTCGACCATTTAGAGGGAATCGTATTCTCGAGAGGCTGCTCATGAAGAAGGTTACACATCTACCAGAGACCACTCAAGATGTTATGGTCGTTGTCGTCATAGATACCGCTGAACAAATGAAAGACACTACTTTATGTTTGTTTGTTTGTTTGTTTGTTGTTTATTGCCGCACTCAGCAATATGCCAGCTATATGACAGTGGTCTGTAAATAATCGATTCTGGACCAGACAATCCAGGGAATGGCATCATGAGCATCGATCTACGCGATTTGGGATACGACGACATGCATCAACCAAGTCAGCGAGCCTGACCAGCCGATCTGTTAGTTGCCTTTTACGGCAGCATGGGTTGCTGAAGACCTATTCTGACCCGGATCTTCAAGGGTCGAGAGACGCAGCTAAATATGCCCTTACCTTCGTCGTCATAGATGAACGTGGAGAGACACAACTATATGCCCCATCTTCTTTATCACCATAGATACCGTTGAACAAGGAGAGACAACGAACTATGACCTTACTTTGTTTCCATAGATACTGCGCCCGGATACTGATGAAGAAGGCGAGAAACAAATGAACATGCCCCTATTTTTCTCGCCATGGATACTGATGAACGCGGAGAGACACAACTTAAGATGCACTTACCTTTGTTGCCATAGATACCAGTTAATGCTGAGAAACTTTGATGCCCTTAGAGGTTAAAGATGAGAGAAATCTTAACCTTTGTCGCCATAGATACTGATGAATGCGGAGCAACGCGGCTAAAGATACCATTAAAGGGTAAAGATGAGAGAAATCTTAATGTGCCCTTACCTTTGTCGCCATAGATACTGATGAATGCGGAGCAATGCGGTTAAAGATACCCTTAAAGGGTAAAGATGAGAGAAACTTTCAATATGACCTTACCTTTGTCGCCATAGATACTGATGAATGCGGAGAGAGGCTTGTATCCCTTTTGTTGTTTCTGGGCGTTAGTGTCCCGTAGCGTCCACAGCACGGGGTCGGGGTAGTTAGGGAAGTAGCCGACGCAGTGGTGGCCGTCACTGGTGAGAAACAGCTCAGCCAACTGTGGAGCATCACGTGAGAAGGGGGTCAGGGTGATTATGTTAGAGTAACTGACTGGGCGACAAGCGAAGCCCAGTCGTCTCAGGCGCCGCAATTCGCGTGCAGAGTTTGCAAGACACCTACGATTGTGAGTTCGAATTCCCAATTTGACCTTCATTATGTTTCTTTGTTTGTCACGACTGTGGTCGTGTGTCTACAAGTGTAAACATCTGTGACCTGCATCACTTCGGTCTTTCCACCACATTTAGCTCACATGCCGTGATATTACTGAAATACTGTTCACGGGGGCGTTTAACCAAACAACTCATTTGTCTGACAACTCATTTGTCTGACAACTCATTTATCTGACAACTCATTTATCTGACAACTCATTTATCTGACAACTCATTTGTCTGACAACTCATTTGTCTGACAACTCATTTATCTGACTACTCATTTCTCTGACAACTCATTTGTCTGACAACTCATTTGTCTGACAACTCATTTATCTGACTACTCATTTCTCTGACAACTCATTTATCTGACTACTCATTTCTCTGACAACTCATTTGTCTGACAACTCATTTGTCTGACAACTCATTTATATGACAACCCATTTATCTGACAACCCATTTATCTGACAACTCATTTATCTGACAACTCATTTGTCTGACAACTCATTTATCTGACAACTCTTTTATCTGACAACTCATTGATCAACACCCTCACTTAACCCAATACCTAATCTGTCCGTGTAATTCATGTCAGTATAATGTTGGAGAGAGACCAACGTGGTTATAGACGTTGGTACAAAGCACCAACATGGAAATGGTTCTGTAAAACCAGAAATCTTAATCTGGGAAAAGTGGCATGGCACAGTTTTCACACATTATCTGGGGTTGGGTTTTGTTTTCACAACACACATTTTTTTTCAGGTTAGACTGCATGTGTGTGTGTGTGTGTCTGTAAAATCTGAGAACAATGGTATTTCCTATAGAACAAGTTTCTTTATTATAAATCTTCATCTCCCAACTGAAATCGGTCCCTAAGATGGAACCAAGTTAAACTACATATTGGATTGGACCATTGACGTCCAGGGGCACACATCCCTACACAATCAAACAAGACGTCAGCACTTTGACCATTTCAAAATAGTTTCAGCGTAACTACTTAAGTACCCACAATAAAGGTAAGGTTAGGGCCTAATATTGTGCCTTGGTTACGCCTTCAGTGACTGGGACTGACAATACAGATGCAAGTAAGTGAGTTGGTATGGTTTGACGGCGCGTTTAGCAATTCCAGTCATATCACAGCAGGGGACACCAGAAATGGGCTTCTTACATTGTACCCATGTTAATCTAACATGGGCTTTCGGGATTATGAGTAAACACTTTATCTTCTCGGTCTTCCCCTCTAACAGTCTACCCTGCACCCTATGAAGCACCCCATGAAGCACCCCGAGGTCAGACTCACAGATGTGGCATACAGATCTGACCCCAGGGTAACAGGACGCGTATTTGGAGCGCAAGTCGCAAATGTTTACCAGTTTGCTAAAACACAGTGCAAACAAACCAATGATCATTACCGAGACTTATTCGAGATAAGAACCCACGATCAGAACACCTACCAGCTAAGTGTCACAAAGACTCACATTGAAATCCGGCGTGAAAGTGGCCACGCTCTGGAAGGTCTTCCGGTCCAGCAGTCTGAACGTCCGGTCTTCAACCAACGTGCCGCGTGTCAACACATACGGGCCAACTTCCGGTACACACATCCGGGCGCTTGCATGGCCAGGCAAGGTCATAGTCATATTACCTGCAGCGGCGACATGTTACAAGACATTATAATAAACAACAGAAAGATAACATACAGGGTGTTTAGCTTACAATGTTGATTGAAAGAATTAGGATTACACACCATTGAGTGTTTACTATGGGCTTGAAAAGAGGACGTGACGTTCATGAGATAGAGACACACCTGAGATTGTGTCAAAAAGCCGCATGCGGCCGTCGTTGAGGTTGGCGAGGATGGATGAAGGTGGCAGGAATTCGAAGCTGTCCACGCTAGTGTTGTAGTAGATGTCGCCAGTTTCCAGGAACATCTCGTATGCTCCCGCATCAGTCAGTTCGTGCTCCACCTCACCTAGGGAAGAAGGTCGTGCAGGTACATCAGGACCAGGTAGGGTCAGAGAGATAGTTGGAGTGTGTTTGTTTGTTGTTTAACGCCGCACTCAACAATATTCCAGCTATATGACGGCAGTCTGTAAATAATCGAGTCTGGACCAGACAATCCAGTGATTGACATCATGAACATCGATCCACGCAATTGGGATCAACCAAGTCAGCGAGCCTGACCACCCGATCCCGTTAGTCGCCTTTTACGACAAGCATAGTCGCCTTTTACGGCAAGCATGGGTTGCTGAAGACCTTTTCTACCCCGATCTATGAACAGACGGGTAGCGATGTCTCCTGCCGGGTCTTCACACGTATGCCGCAGAAAGGAAACTATTTTGTAAGGACATTATTTGAAATTAGAGTTCTATGTCAACAACTAACAGACCAGAGTGAATTTTTTATAAAAGACAACTTATTTTTCCAGTCAGCGCTTGGAGACAAATTATGTTTCCTAGCAATTTTAGGAACAGAATATTTTGTCCAAGCTACCTCCATCCCCGATTACTTACGTTTGTTGATATTCCAAATGTAGATTTTGCTCGGCGCCGAGTCGTCTTCGGTCATCATTTCTGCGTTAAAGATGAAGAAACGGCCATCTTCTGTGACGCACGCACCATCAGTGTACGTCTCTTTGAAGTTCAAGGTCACGGGGTCGAACTTGTACCGGAATCTCTGGATGTTGAGGTCAAACACAAGGTAGGTCCCCTCCTCTGTTTCCGCCAATAGAGTTGTGCCGGACTTGTTCGCCTTATTGGGTAAAACAAATACTCACAATATAGATGTCAGATGTTAATAAGTGGAGAATATCTAGATAAACAAAGGTATGTTAGGATCAAAAGTGATAACAAGGTGCAAGAAACAGTGCAATAGCTCCATAACAATTTTCATAGGGACACATGCAAACATATCGCATAAAGTCATCGTTCTACGCAGTTGACAAGCATGCAGGATGACATGCCATTCGTCACCACTCTAAAACTCAAATGAGAACCACAGAAAATATAACGAAACGTGAAAATTATAATATATGGGGAAATATATGTGAACCATTACGCAACGAGTTGACAATAGTTTTAGGTATGCCCGTTTGCGCTAAGACGGAACCCGGTCGCACAAAATGGCCATGAGAGGGGCACGAGTTGCTATTCGGCTTGTTCCGGAATAACACGAATTGGTCACGAATGGATGACATGCATCAACTAAGTCAGAGAGCCAAACCACCCAATCCCATTGGTTACCTTTATACGGCAAGCATAGGTTGCTGGAGACCTATTCTAATCGGGATCTTCACCAGTATATTTTGCAATCAGCAAGTTCAATATGTGTGCCATCGAACAAGAGGCAAAGATGAGGTTCTGCTTTCATCCTAGATTATCCAGTGTATAATAATACTATTTTATCATGATATATACCCTGGACCCATCCGCCAGCTTAGCCTCGTCTTGAGTCCGGTTTGATTAACACGACTCTAAAAATAGATGTCCAATCAAATCGCACTGTTCTTCTCAGGAATATATCTGTATACACAGTATACAATAGACACATTCTCTGGAACACATATTAGTGTTTCTCTAAGGTGCGGATACACTGTATACAAGAGACACAGGTAGACACACTCACCAGAACACATATTAGTGTTTCTCTAAGGTGCGGATACACTGTATACAAGAGACACAGGGAGACACACTCACCAGAACACATATCAGTGTCTCTCTACGGTGAGGATACACTGTATACAAGAGACACAGGTAGACACACTCACCAGAACACATATCAGTGTCTCTCCACGGTGCGGATACACTGTATACAAGAGACACAGGTAGACACACTCACCAGAACACATATCAGTGTCTCTCTACGGTGCGGATTCACTGTATACAAGAGACACAGGTAGACACACTCACCAGAACACATATCAGTGTCTCTCCACGGTGCGGATACACTGTATACAAGAGACACAGGTAGACACACTCACCAGAACACATATCAGTGTTTCTCTACGGTGCGGATACACTGTATACAAGAGACACAGGTAGACACACTCACCAGAACACATATCAGTGTCTCTCTACGGTGCGGATACACTGTATACAAGAGACACAGGTAGACACACTCACCAGAACACATATCAGTGTTTCTCTACGGTGCGGATACACTGTATACAAGAGACACAGGTAGACACACTCACCAGAACACATATCAGTGTTTCTCTACGGTGCGGATACACTGTATACAAGAGACACAGGTAGACACACTCACCAGAACACATATCAGTGTTTCTCTACGGTGCGGATACACTGTATACAAGAGACACAGGTAGACACACTTACCAGAACACATATTAGTGTTTCTCTACGGTGCGGATACACTGTATACAAGAGACACAGGTAGACACATTCACCAGAACACATATCAGTGTCTCTCTACGGTGAGGATACACTGTATACAAGAGACAGGTAGACACATTCACTAGAACACATATCAGTGTCTCTCCACGGTGAGGATACACTGTATACAAGAGACACAGGTAGACACACTCACCAGAACACATATCAGTGTTTCTCTACGGTGCGGATACACTGTATACAAGAGACACACGGAGACACACTCACCAGAACACATATCAGTGTCTCTCCACGGTGCGGATACACTGTATACAAGAGACACAGGTAGACACACTCACCAGAACACATATCAGTGTCTCTCTGCGGTGCGGATACACTGTATACAAGAGACACAGGTAGACACACTCACCAGAACACATATCAGTGTCTCTCTACGGTGCGGATACACTGTATACAAGAGACACAGGTAGACACACTCACCAGAACACATATCAGTGGTTCTCTGCGGTGCGGATACACTGTATACAAGAGACACAGGTAGACACACTCACCAGAACACATATCAGTGTCTCTCTACGGTGCGGATACACTGTATACAAGAGACACAGGGAGACACACTCACCAGAACACATATCAGTGTCTCTCCACGGTGCGGATACACTGTATACAAGAGACACAGGTAGACACACTCACCAGAACACATATCAGTGTCTCTCTACGATGCGGATACACTGTATACAAGAGACACAGGTAGACACACTCACCAGAACACATATCAGTGTCTCTCCACGGTGCGGATACACTGTATACAAGAGACACAGGTAGACACACTCACCAGAACACATATCAGTGTCTCTCTACGGTGCGGATACACTGTATACAAGAGACACAGGTAGACACACTCACCAGAACACATATCAGTGGTTCTCTGCGGTGCGGATACACTGTATACAAGAGACACAGGTAGACACACTCACCAGAACACATATCAGTGTCTCTCCACGGTGCGGATACACTGTATACAAGAGACACACGTAGACACACTCACCAGAACACATATCAGTGTCTCTCCACGGTGCGGATACACTGTATACAAGAGACACAGGGAGACACACTCACCAGAACACATATCAGTGTCTCTCCACGGTGCGGATACACTGTATACAAGAGACACAGGTAGACACACTCACCAGAACACATATCAGTGTCTCTCCACGGTGCGGATACACTGTATACAAGAGACACAGGTAGACACACTCACCAGAACACATATCAGTGTCTCTCCACGGTGCGGATACACTGTATACAAGAGACACACGTAGACACACTCACCAGAACACATATCAGTGTCTCTCCACGGTGCGGATACACTGTATACAAGAGACACAGGGAGACACACTCACCAGAACACATATCAGTGTCTCTCCACGGTGCGGATACACTGTATACAAGAGACACAGGTAGACACACTCACCAGAACACATATCAGTGTCTCTCTACGGTGCGGATACACTGTATACAAGAGACACAGGTAGACACACTCACCAGAACACATATCAGTGTCTCTCCACGGTGCGGATACACTGTATACAAGAGAGACAGGTAGACACACTCACCAGAACACATATCAGTGTCTCTCTACGGTGCGGATACACTGTATACAAGAGACACAGGTAGACACACTCACCAGAACACATATCAGTGGTTCTCTGCGGTGCGGATACACTGTATACAAGAGACACAGGTAGACACACTCACCAGAACACATATCAGTGTCTCTCCACGGTGCGGATACACTGTATACAAGAGACACAGGTAGACACACTCACCAGAACACATATCAGTGTTTCTCTACGGTGCGGATACACTGTATACAAGAGACACAGGGAAACACACTCACCAGAACACATATCAGTGTCTCTCTACGGTGCGGATACACTGTATACAAGAGACACAGGTAGACACACTCACCAGAACACATATCAGTGGTTCTCTGCGGTGCGGATACACTGTATACAAGAGACACAGGTAGACACACTCACCAGAACACATATCAGTGTTTCTCTAAGGTGCGGATACACTGTATACAAGAGACACAGGTAGACACACTCACCAGAACACATATCAGTGTCTCTCTACGGTGCGGATACACTGTATACAAGAGACACAGGTAGACACACTCCCCAGAACACATATCAGTGTCTCTCTACGGTGCGGATACACTGTATACAAGAGACACAGGGAGACAGTCTCACCAGAACACATATCAGTGTCTCTCCACGGTGCGGATACACTGTATACAAGAGACACAGGTAGACACACTCACCAGAACACATATCAGTGTCTCTCTACGGTGCGGATACACTGTATACAAGAGACACAGGGAGACACACTCACCAGAACACATATCAGTGTCTCTCCACGGTGCGGATACACTGTATACAAGAGAGACAGGTAGACACACTCACCAGAACACATATCAGTGTCTCTCTACGGTGCGGATACACTGTATACAAGAGACACAGGTAGACACACTCACCAGAACACATATCAGTGGTTCTCTGCGGTGCGGATACACTGTATACAAGAGACACAGGTAGACACACTCACCAGAACACATATCAGTGTCTCTCCACGGTGCGGATACACTGTATACAAGAGACACAGGTAGACACACTCACCAGAACACATATCAGTGTTTCTCTACGGTGCGGATACACTGTATACAAGAGACACAGGGAAACACACTCACCAGAACACATATCAGTGTCTCTCCATGGTGCGGATACACTGTATACAAGAGACACAGGTAGACACACTCACCAGAACACATATCAGTGTCTCTCCACGGTGCGGATACACTATATACAAGAGACACAGGTAGACACACTCACCAGAACACATATCAGTGTCTCTCCACGGTGCGGATACACTGTATACAAGAGACACAGGGAGACACACTCACCAGAACACATATCAGTGTCTCTCCACGGTGCGGATACACTGTATACAAGAGACACAGGTAGACACACTCACCAGAACACATATCAGTGTCTCTCTACGGTGCGGATACACTGTATACAAGAGACACAGGTAGACACACTCACCAGAACACATATCAGTGTCTCTCCACGGTGCGGATACACTGTATACAAGAGACACAGGTAGACACACTCGCCAGAACACATATCAGTGTCTCTCCACGGCGCGGATACACTGTATACAAGAGACACAGGTAGACACACTCACCAGAACACATATCAGTGTTTCTCCACGGTGCGGATACACTGTATACAAGAGACACAGGTAGACACACTCACCAGAACACATATCAGCCGATGTCCGTCCTCGGACTTGATCACGTGAGACACTTTTCCCGTGGCTGTTTTATACACTTTGATGTGGCTGCGCCCCCTGGTGACGGATACGACCTCTACAAGAGAAGTAAATGCGATTTTTTGAAAGGATGCAATGAAAGGAAGAAGGGAACATTCAACGTGTCCTTGATTAAACTGGCTGCATATCATGGTGCCGTTGTACAAAGCGAGCTTAGCGCTAAGGTGATCGTAACCCATATCTTAACACAGACTTACGACAGTCGACAGTCATAGTGCTGAGGTTGTTTTGTGCAATGGCACCATGAGATGAAACCAGTTTAATCAAGAACATGTTGAATGTTCCATTCTTCCTTTCATTTCTCCATTTCTATTTGTCTCAAAGTCTACATGTGGCAGGCTCATTTATGTACATACTTTTAATTAAGATTTATTAGTAAGTAGTAAGGTTATATGGCCTTGGTACCATTTTAACTAATTAGTTTGTTACGATATTATCATTATAAGAATATATTATTAGTTATAATATTAGTTATGTTTTATACCTTAGTATTTTATACCTTAAACATTCATTCCATAGCACTGTAACATTAAGTAAGCTTACTCTCAGTCTAACTTCCACTAATTGTCACACTGCATGCTTTTGACTTACAGCACTCTTTGCCCCAGCGCGCCCCTGCCCAGTCTATTGTCTTGTTGATAGGCCAAGCTGGCCATAGCTACAGCAATGTTTATTGTTGAATTTTAAAAGATCAGTTGCTATTTGTCACCTCAAGGAAAGACTCTGCGAGATTTATTGCTGCTTTCATTTCTATGTGAGGATTTGGATTTGTAGAAGGATTTATTCATATTTAAGGTTAGTTGGTTATTTATTTTATGATGTTGTATATATGGATGTTTTCTAATTATTGTGATTAGAAATAATATATATTGTAGAATGCATTCTTTATTTGATTTATTAGAAACATAATGCATCTTGTATATATTTATAGTGCTTGATGAACTTACAGTTCAGTGAGTAATTATTATCTGTATAAAACAGTATTAAACACAAAACCTAAATATATATATATAAACTAAGTAATATAAACCCCTCTGGACAGTAATGGAAAGTAAATGTATGTCTGTATGCTTGATTTATGTTGGTAAGTGCGAGTGTATGAGTGTTGTATGTCTGAAATGAGTGGCTGTTGTACTATATATTTTTATACACTATTTTACCATAGGATATCACTTGTATATAGTATTCTGCATTTGTATTTCTTTATTATGCAGATTTCTCAGTAGCAACATTCACCGTTCGATCATTGTCACGGTATTACCAGTTCAGGTATCACCTATCTGGTATGTAATGTTCGTTATCACTCTATATCATATTAATATATTTTGTATCTGTGTATTGATGTATTGTACGGATACGTCTGATGTATTGTGTAATGTAAAGTAAATGCTATTCATTTTAATGGAAGTGATATATATATATATATATATATTTTAGAAATTTAAAAAGTAACTACATGTATAACGGATTGTATATATTTATTCTATGTTATATTTGCTTATGTTGTACTTTTATTGTTTCAGACTGAAATTAAGTGCGTACATTCGCACCTTTATACAATAAACGTCATCAGCCTCACCCCCCACAGCTGTTTGTGATTATTTGGCCAGTAGGACACCTACTCCACTATCGGCCAACACAAGCACGGTTACATACACCTTGACTAGGAGATATTTCATTGGCGGCCCTCTGGCTGGCCTTGTGCAGTGTCCGACGCCCTACATTTCTACACCCGTACACACCCGCACTGTATTTCTACACCCGTGCACATCGGCACTATATTTCTATACCAGTTCACACCCGCCCTATATTTCTACACCCGCCTTATATTTCTACACCCGTACACACCCGCACTGTATTTCTACACCCGTGCATATCGGCACTATATATTTACACCCTTACACACCCGCCCTAGATTTCTACACCCGTGCGCATCCGCACTATATTTCTACACCCGTGCACATCCGCACTATATTTCTACACCCGTGCGCATCCGCACTATATTTCTACACCCGTGCACATCCGCACTATATTTCTACACCCGTGCGCATCCGCACTATATTTCTACACCCGTGCACATCCGCACTATATTTCTACACCCGTGCGCATCCGCACTATATTTATACACCCGTGCACATCCACACTATATTTCTTCACCCGTGCGCATCCGCACTATATTTATACACCCGTGCACATCCGCACTATATTTCTACACCCGTGCGCATCCGCACTATATTTATACACCCGTGCAGATCCGCACTATATTTCTACACCCGTGCACATCCGCACTTTATTTCTACACCCGTGCACATCCGCACTATATTTATACACCCATGCACACTTGCTCTATATTTATATATCCACCACACCCTTCTACATACACACCCTCCCGTTCTCCTTTCCAACAATCGCCTTGCATCTGCCCAACATCCGCCCCACACCAGTGACACCTACCCTTCCGTTGCTTCACTACACAGAAGTCTTTGTAAGACCCCAGCGGCAGCTGCCCTTGAAACGTCACAGTGACAGCCATCTTGGAAAAATCGACAATTTTCAACTTCCGGCCGACCCTCACCATTACTCTGTGGTTGTCAAGGACAACCAGGTCTTTGATATCCGCATTCTGGAAGACGAAATCAAACATGGAACTGTACATGGGCTACTTGCCGCATGCAGATTGATGTAATACCATGGTGCCTTACATCTGGAACAGTGCTTTCATTGGGAGAATCGAACCCAAGTCTTCGATGTGACGAGATAATGAAGCATGGCCCACTGAGCTACCAAACCTCAATACACAAGATAAAGAACACGGTCGTTTTTCGAAATGAAGTTACAGAAATCGTACAACATTGTCTGATTTTGATCATTGGTCAGGGTGCCGTTGTACAAAACAACCTTAGCGCTACGACTATCGTTAGCCTATGTTAAGGTATGGAGTTACGATTCCCTTTGCGCTAAACTCGCTTTGTATAACGGCACCCCCTGATCATTAGAAATACAGCATTATGACATGACCGACCGGACGTTTCTCTACTCACCACCTGCATCTGTCGGACATATGAGCACGTCACCAGGTCGTACACGTTGAGGAAGCGGCGGGAGACGTCGTATGCCCCGAATAGAACGACGTAACGGGGGTTGTCCAGGACGGCGAAACGGCTGAAGTCAGGAAGGTTGAAAATGTAGCAGGCACACTCTATCTAAATTAGGTTTTACGTGTAGGAGAAACCATGTCTCTCACATGAGGGAACGTCCCGAGGGGGCCGTAGACATGGTTTGTCCAACTTATAAACCGACTCATCGCTTAGACAACGTTTTTGATTAAATAACTGTAATAAATAAAATTCAAATGTATAACCTGTATCGGAGATGAAATATCGCCTGCAGTCGTGAACTCGGTTCAATGAAACCGGTGACCTCAGCACGTGGGTTTCGCAACGGTGCGAAATCTGCACGTGCGTCTCGCAATGGCACGAAATCTGCACGTGCGCCTCGTAGGCTCAAACGAGGACTGGTCGGCTCGGAGTCTGTGTGGCGGCCCAGTGGGCTAGCACTATAAAAACAGCATTAGTCCTGACTAGTACAAGCAGCCACACACACACAAGCATGCAGGTCGCTATATAAGTGCAATAATCTTAGACGCAACGGGGGCGGTCGGGTAGCCTAGTAGTTAAAGCGTTCGCTCGTCACGCCGAAGACCCGGGTTCGATTCCCGACATGGGTACAATGTGTGAAGCTCATTTCTGGTGTCCCCCGCCGTGATGTTGCTGGAATATTGCTAAAAGCGGCGTAAAACCATACTCACTCACTCACTCACTCACTCACTTAGACGCAACGTCAAACCCCATTTCACCTGTACGTGATCGTAAAAGCCCCGTGGCACAGACCTACCTGATGGTAAATCCGTCATCCCGGGCTTCTGAGGTCGCCTCCCGGCTGATATCCCACACTTTGACCACGTGGTCCTCCCCCGTCGTCACCACCAACTCCATGTCCGCCGTCGCCACGTCGTGGTAACCTGCGACACACATAAGCATTAGTACCGATGTCGCAAGCTACGAACCAAACGTCTCGTTGGCCGTACTGTCCACAAACAAACCGATCGTCCAGCTATGACAGTCTCAGTGTTCAGACAGTCGTAGCGCTCAATCGGTTAGTGCAACGGCCTCGTCACTATTGAATGGATGCTGAGGTCACGTTCTTTTACGCTTAAGTCACAAACCATCATTGACCATTTATATTCGTGGGAGGGGCGGAACATTTTTGTTCAGTTCCCCAAACTTGTGTTCCTCCGGTTTTACAGATAAAAAATCACTTTCACTGCGCATGCTAGGAGTTATGAAAAACAATGTATTATGTGGGTCCAAAACAAAATCTCCAGAAATAACCTTAAAGCTGATCACTGAATTACCATCTTTGTTATTTCAAAGAGATTTATGTACAAACAAATCCTCTTAATGAAGCATTTACTCTTTGTACGCGAGTTGTCTCAGACAAAACTATGGCATTCGTACGTGTATGATGTTCGAGGATGGCGTGTCTATCCTCTGATCGCACGTCCCAGGCCACGACGTTGTTGAAGCTGGCGAAGTAGACGTAGCGGCAATCCGGAGTCACGTGGAACTTCTCAAGGATGTCACGCTGAGATCCTGAAAAGTCACAGATGATCAGTGAATAAGAACCGTGACACGTGCTTAGTTGGAGCTGCCACGGCACATGTGGGTTCCTGTGGGGAATCCGGGTTAGGATTTTGTTTGTGAATCAGGATTCGAACCCACGATCAGAGGTGAGTTGTGCGCCTAAAGGAAGTAACTCTGCCAGCAGCGACCTCTAAAAGCACCCAAGATCTGAGAATCGGACCTTTAAGCGTCCATTTCTTAATGGTTTCCTTTGACCTTGACCTTGACCTACCCTTCAGGACGCGTTTTTGTTTCAAGGTGGCGCTGTCAAGCAAATGAAGGTCGTTGCTGAACATGTTGGATACAACGATGGTGCGGCCGTCGTCGATGAGTGCAAGAGCATCAACAGTCGTCATCTCTTCTCGTACCTCTCCACCGTCGTTTTCGGAAGCGGAAAACACGTCTTTGATCATGGTGAAGGTCGCAGTTTGGACGTTGAATACAAACAGGTGACGTTGTTCCGTGTCCACGGTAACCAGGTAGTTACCGCTGCCTGAATAAACAGGTAATATTGTCTGAATTAAATGTTCACAGCGAATCTTGCCGTTTTCTGATACTAGTTTTCTTAATAGTGCTTTTGAAATTAACATGAAAACAGTTAATATAGTTAAGTTCGTTATCATGAAAGAGCAACTGCAGAAAGAGTGAGTGAGTGAGTCACATCGGCAATATTTCAGCCATATCGTGACGAACTGCAGAAAGAAATAGTGTATAAGTGACAACAGACCCATTAGGTTTTAATTCACACAGTTTTCTTCACATAAAGTAAAATGGATTTGGAACAAAATATAACGACCCAAATGACCTCTCCTAAAGATATTTACAATTATTCATTAAGAAACGAGTAAGTGAGTGAGTTGGGTTTAACGCCGCTTTTAACAGTATTCCTGTTACATCGCGGCGTGTCAGCTTAATGTGGGAGGAAAGCCCGAAGTGATGCAGGTCTCAGACGTTTACCATTTCGGTGAAACCCACGATCACGGGTATGGTGCTGACAAACCTAGAAACATAATCGGGGCGAACCGAGATTCGAACCCACAATCATAGGTTTCTGGCGTGCCCAAGGGAAGCAACTCTGCACAGCGAATCGCGGCGCCTTAGACGACTGGGCCACCCATGCCCCTATATGTCTGACGAGATGGACAAGAGATTGAGACAAGAACATGACATAAGAAGATTACAATCCTATGTCCAGGGTACATAGAATGGAGATTGAAACCCTGGACAATCGTATCTTCTCAAAGCAAGGGAGTTAACTGACTCTAAAAGTCTAGTTTCAATCCTTGTGAAATAGGCTGGAATTTCTGGGCTAGAACGTAGCGCCACCAGTGGATATTAAGAGTGATGTCCCTTCTATATATGCCCCTCCTATTGACCAATCAGATTCCATTTCTCATATCACTTGCATTTGCTTCAAACAAAATGGCGGCGCCCAGTGAAGAAGATCTTATCGATGATCACGATCTATATTGAAATAAAACGGGTCTTACCTCGCCAAGTGCATGAAATCATGTGAGACCATTGATTAAAAACATGAAAAGATTTGGAACCGGATGTCGATTTCGTAACGTGATTTTGAATGGACTCGCATAGACTCGTTAGTTCAGCCAATATATATCTCCAAAATTGCAGTCAGTTAACTCCCTTGCCTCGGGGGGATGGGACTATCGCGGAAGCAATAAGCCTTGTACCTACCTGCGCTTGGCCCCTCTTCACCCATAGTGATATCACCTCCCACATACGGGCACTTGACTTCTTGGATCAGTTGACCATCATTGGCGCGGTACAGCTGCACCGTGCTGAGAGTAAATACAGCCACAGTTGTCTCCCCTGGTCCTGCGCAGCAGAACTGCACCTTCATGTCCTCAACCTTTATGACGTACTTCCTGTTTCCGGTACTGATTTCATACGCCTGTATCTCGCCATCTGGGTTGACGAGCGCCAGATGGTCGTTTAAACACAACCTGATGGTGTCGGGGTCCTCACCGACATTGTCGATAGAACGATACAACTTTCCACCATAAACATCCCAGATCTTCAATGTCTTGTCCCTTGAACCTGATTTGAACAGGAAACGCCAGTGTTATTTTTAATATGTTTGACATAATAAGGGGTGAAACTGGGTTTAACGTTGCGTCCATGGCGCTCAGAAACGACAGAATGTATAATTTCACCACGATATAATACCCCAGATTATTTTTTTTTTGCATTCGGAACTTAATTAATCTTCGCGATACAGATAAGGTGAATGGGGTTTAACGTCGTGTTCAAGATCACTGCATTTATATAGCGACGTGTTAGAGATACAGAAAATATATACTTATTATATATGAACTATACCTACAAACAAAACGTATTAAGAAGGGGTCAATTATTTGACCAAAGTATTTATAATCATACGTGTATTCTGACTGGTTTGCAGTCCAGTACTTAACATTGCTGCGGGGCGAACTTCCTTGCAGGTTACGGAACGGGGCGAGTGGTGACGAATCGACTTACATGTGAGAGCATATTCCCCGTTACACGTGATTGCAAGGCCAGTTATGTCTCCTTTGTGACCCGCCAGGCAATGCACGAGTTGACCTCCAGGTCGGGTAAGGATTGGCTTGTTCGCTACCAGGTACCCAGTTGGAGAATCGTCGCACTGTTGTAGGAAGGGACGCAGCTCCTGCGAAGAGAATAATAAAAAATGCAGATGAGAACATTTAAATTACAGTTGTAAATCATGTTCCTGTATAAGACACACGAACTTTCGTTCCTGAAGTAATATATGTTATTGGATATTATAAAATTTCGCGAATGACGTAAACGCTGTTTAACGCTGCACTCAGCAATATTCCAGCTATATGACGGCGGTCTGTAAATAATCGAGTCAGACCAGACAATCCAGTGATTGACATCATGAGCATCGATCCACACAATTGGGATCGATGACATGCATCAACCAAGTCAGCGAGCCTGACTACCCGATCCCGTTAGTCGCCTCTTACGACAAACATAGTCGCCCTTTACGGCAAGCACGGGTTGCTGAAGACCTATTCTAACCCGGATCTTCACGGATTGCATCCATCCTATGTCTTATTGGTATTTCTATTTTGTTTTTTATACACGGTGTTTTTTTTTTATTATGACAGATTAGAAAAAATTATTTCTGTCACCAATAACCAATCAAAAGAATTCAATGTGGCAGTTTTGCATTCAACCTTGTCCTCTTTGATCCTGCCCCGTAGCTGCGATGGAAGTTCATACGGGTACTTGATAAGCGCCCCCTGGGAGAGCTGAAGTGCTTCACCTATTGTTGAAATGGCGTTGTCCTCATCGAACAAGTTTCTGGCGTCCAGGAAATCCTCGAGAACTTGTCTGGTGGGGAGGAAATAGTTCCACAGTTGAAATAAAAACTGACAGACATTAAATGTATACTTCCGAATGTACAATATGTTTCTACAGAGCCACGGCATATGCTAAAATAGATACAATTCAACGCTCTCAAGCAAGAGTGCGTCGAGGCAAGGACATTGCTTGTGTGAGTTTGTTTTAACGCTGCTTTAAATCCTATTTTAGCAGTATTAAAGGGAATAAGAGAGAAATGGGCTTCACATATTGTGCCCATGTGGGAAATAGAACCTGGTCTTCAAAGTGCAGCCACGAGTATCTAGCCCCGACCTGTTTCCCGATCTCACGAGTATCTAGCCCAACCTGAGTTAGGATGTTAGTTGTATTTAGCATACCCTAGTCCCGATGTCACTAATATCTAGCCTGCCCGAGTCCCGATCTCACGAGTATCTAGCCCAACCTGAGTTCGGATGTCAGTTGTATCTAGTCTACCCTAGTCCCGATGTCACTAGTATCTAGCCTACCTGAGTCCCGATGTCACTAGTATCTAGCCTACCTGAGTCCCGATGTCACTAGTATCTAGCCTACCTGAGTCCCAATGTCACTAGTATCTAGCCTACCTGAGTCCCGATGCCACTAGTATCTAGCCTACCTGAGTTGCGATGTCACTAGTATCTAGCCTACCTGAGTCCCGATGCCACTAGTATCTAGCCTACCTGAGTTGCGATGTCACTAGTATCTAGCCTACCTGAGTCCCGATGTCAGTAGTATCTAGCCTACCTGAGTCCCGATGCCACTAGTATCTAGCCTACCTGAGTTGCGATGTCACTAGTATCTAGCCTACCTGAGTCCCGATGTCACTAGTATCTAGCCTACCTGAGTCCCGATGTCACTAGTATCTAGCCTACACTAGTCCCGATGCCACTAGTATCTAGCCTAACGGAGTCCCGATGTCAGTTGTATCTAGCCTACCCTAGTCCCGATGTCACTAGTATCTAGCCTACCCTAGTCACGATGTCACTAGTATCTAGCCTACCGGAGTCCCGATGTCACTAGTATCTAGCCTACCCTAGTCCCGATGTCACTAGTATCTAGCCTACCGGAGTCCCGATGCCACTAGTATCTAGCCTACCGGAGTCCCGATGTCACTAGTATCTAGCCTACCCTAGTCCCGATGTCACTAGTATCTAGCCTACCTGAGTTGCGATGCTACTAGTATCTAGCCCAAACTGAGTTCGGATGTCAGTTGTATCTAGTCTACCCTAGTCCCGATGTCACTAGTATCTAGCCTACCCTAGTCCCGATGTCACTAGTATCTAGCCTACCTGAGTCCAAATGTCACTAGTATTAAGCCTATCTGAGTCCCGATGTCACTTGTATCTAGCCTACCCTAGTCCCGATGTCACTAGTATCTAGCCTACCCTAGTCCCGATGTCACTAGTATCTAGCCTACCTGAGTCCCAATGTCACTAGTATATAGCCTACCCTTGTCCCGATGTCACTAGTATCTAGCCTACCTGAGTCCCGATGTCACTAGTATCTAGCCTACCTGAGTCCCGATGTCACTAGTATCTAGTCTACCCTAGTCCCGATGTCACTAGTATCTAGCCTACCTGAGTCCCAATGTCACTAGTATCTAGCCTACCCTAGTCCCGATGTCACTAGTATCTAGCCTACCCTAGTCCCGATGTCACTTGTATCTAGCCTACCCTAGTCCCGATGTCACTAGTATCTAGCCTACCGGAGTCCCGATGTCACTAGTATCTAGTCTTCCCTAGTCCCGATGTCACTAGTATCTAGCCTATCGGAGTCCAAATGTCACTAGTATCTAGCCTGCCTGAGTCCCGATGCCACTAGTATCTAGCCCAACCTGAGTTAGGATGTCAGTTGTATCTAGTCTACCCTAGTCCCGATGTCACTAGTATCTAGCCCAACCTGAGTTAGGATGTCAGTTGTATCTAGTCTACCCTAGTCCCGATGTCACTAGTATCTAGCCCAAACTGAGTTAGGATGTCAGTTGTATCTAGTCTACCCTAGTCCCGATGTCACTAGTAGCTAGCCTACCCAAGTCCCGATGTCACTAGTATCTAGCCCAACCTGAGTTAGGATGTCAGTTGTATCTAGTCTACCCTAGTCCCGATGTCACTAGTATCTAGCCTACCTGAGTCCCAATGTCACTAGTATCTAGCCTGCCTGAGTCCCGATGTCACTAGTATCTAGCCCAACCTGAATTAGGATGTCAGTTGTATCTAGTCTACCCTAGTCCCGATGTCACTTGTATCTAGCCCAACCTGAGTTAGGATGTCAGTTGTATCTAGTCTACCCTAGTCCCGATGTCACTAGTAGCTAGCCTACCCAAGTCCCGATGTCACTAGTATCTAGCCCAACCTGAGTTAGGATGTCAGTTGTATCTAGTCTACCCTAGTCGCGATGCCACTAGTATCTAGCCCCGACCTGTTTCCCGATGTCAGTAGTATCTAGCCATACCTGAGTCCCAAGGCCACTAGCTTGGCCTGCATGAAGCTGAAGTTACAGAGACACTGCTGTTTGAGCAGCGCCACCTGTCCGGCCCGGAGTCGGTGGAAGGCCAGGTTGTTTAGGAGACGCAAGTTGTAAGATTCGCCGAAACGGAGCTGCTGCGCAGTCACGTGACGATCTGCCTTCCGGTCAGTGCCATGTTCGTCTGTGTACGGCTTCTGCGTACCTGCACGCAACATATACAAGACGTTTTGTTTGTTACCGTTGCGCTCAAATATAGCATGTCTAAATACTGAAGATCGTCATCAATTAGGCTAGACGCAACAAATTATTCATCATAATTATTAATCAGGCATAAAAGTGAATATCACTACGTAAATACAACGTCAAGTGAACGAGTGGCCTAGGTTTTGAAACAGTTCCCAGCAATTTATTCAGGGGGAGGCAAGAATTGGTTTCATTTTATCGTGAGGAGAACCCGGGTCATTGAAGTGACGAGCGAACGCTCCAACCGATTGTCAAGACACATCTTCCCGAGGCAAGAGAGTTAACTGACTTTAAAAGTCCAGTTTCCACCCTTGCCGAACTAGGCTGGAATTTCTGGGCTCGATCGTAGCGCCACCAGTGGCTATTACGAGTTATGTCCTTTCTATGCCTCTCATATTGACCAATCAGATTCAACCTCTTGTATCACTTGCATTTGCTTCAAACAAAACGGTGGGGCCCAGTCAAGACGATCTGATTGATAATCAAGATCTATATTGTGATAAAACGAGTCATACATCGCGAAGTGCATCAAATCACGTGAGCACCTTGATTAAAAGCATGAAAAGATTTAGAAAATATCTGTTGACAACGAGTTAGCGGTGCACGTGATTAACAAATCCTGCAGTCGACCGAAATCTGCATGACACTTTACGAACCGGATTTCTATTTCGGTGCACGATTTTGATTGGACTATGCATAGACTCGTTAGTCCAGCCAAAATACCATAATACCAGCCGAGTTCGGCAAGGGTGGAAACTGGACTTTTATAGTCAGTTAACTCTCTTGCCTCGGGAAGATGGTCAAGACATGGCTGTGGTCCTTCCCGTCCATACATCAAAACAAAATATAATTCTTCCTGAAACATGGATAAAATGTAAAAGGTCTGAAAAGAGACAAGAACAAATTCATACATTATGCTTTGGTATTGTCCAGTGTATCTTTCCGTGATGGGGTAGAGGCTTAGCCTGGTGGTGAATGCGTTCGCTTGAAGGTTTGGTTCCACACATGGGTACAATGTGTGAACGTTTCTTCTCGTGTTCTCCCGCCGTGATATTGGTGTAATATTGCTGAAAGCGGCGTATCATTATATTCACTCACTAACACTTACCATGAGCCCAAACGCCGGAGAAGAAGTCGCCCAGAGCGCCGTGCATCTTCTTTTGGTCACTGTCGTCGCTGCAGTAGCGTTCATAGGCAGCCTCGATAAACTGCCGGTGATACCAGAAGAACACCCTCACTCCATCGGCTCCTTTGTCCACTGTACAACACACGACTTAAGTTAGTAAACTGTACAACATACGACTGATGTTAGTAAACTGTACAACACACGACTGTTGTTAGTAAACTGTACAACATACGACTGATGTTAGTAAACTGTACAACACACGACTCATGTTAGTAAACTGTACAACACACGACTCATGTTAGTAAACTGTACAACACACGACTGATGTTAGTAAACTGTACAACACACGACTCATGTTAGTAAACTGTACAACGTATGACGCACGTTAGTAAACAGTACAACACAGAAATGTTTTTTGTTTTGTTTGTTGTTTAACGCCGCACTCAGCAATATTTTAGCTATATGACGGCGGTCTGTAAATAATCGAGTCTGGACAATCCAGTGATTGACATCATGAGCATCGATCCACGTAATTGGGATACGATGGCATGCATCAAGCAAGTCAACGAGACTGACCACCCGATCCCCTTAACATGAATGTTAGTAAACTTCACAACGCAAGTTAGTAAACCCATGACGAATGTCCGTAAACTGCACAATGCGTTACTCGTGATAATAAACTGACATTATAATGGGATTTGCAACACACTAAACGTGACGGTAAATTAAGCTGATGATAGGACGTCCAGGACGAAAGATAGAGCACATCAGTCAAACACGCAGTTTTAGATATAAATCAAAATTGTTTCCGACGTCCCACTGGCACACTCTCACCAAGGTACTGGTTGAATTCTGCCTTGAGTCTGACCAGCAGCAGTGGTGGTAGTCGTCGTATTGGGGGCGTCCAGTACATGTACACGTCGTTCAGGACGTCGTCGTCACAAGAGAGGATGTCCTCAAGCTCACTCTCAGTCAGGCCGCGTCTACCTGGCGACAGAGGAGGCGGAATGGGTGCGTGAGTTGGAGTTCTAACATGCTCCAGAAAAGAAACAAGAAAAGGTAACTTTGCCTCTCATTTTACACACAAAACAATTTTCGTTGCGCATGCTGTGTTGTGAAAAATATTATCTGTTCTTCCTTTCAGAGAAATAAAAATTGAAGCTGTAAACAATATTTTAAATTCTTAGAAGGGCACGAGTCTAAGGCACCGCTATTCGCTACGCAGAGCTGCGTCCCTTGGGTACGCCAGAATCCTATAAACGTTGGTTCGAATCCCGGTTCGCCGCGATTATGTTTCTAGGATTGTCAGCACCATACCCGTGCCTTCCTCCCACATTAAGGTGACACGCCGTGGTGTAACTGGAATACTGTTAAAAGCGGCGTTAAACTGAACTCACTCACTCTCTACTATCAGTGAATCTGGAATTTTGTGGATCCAGACGATGTCCCAGGGAACGGTATTGTTCAGGGGCCAATTCCATGTAGTAAAGTGTTGGGGTTAAGAGCGCTAAGACTGCTTTGTGGGACGGGTCCCTTGTCAATAGAATTTCACTGAACTGTTTTTGCCCTTGAAGGAACCCACCAGCTCCTATAGTGAAGCCAGGGGAATCTCCCTGTTGGTGAGACCGTCTCTGTGGTCTGGTAGGAGCGGTCGGGTAGCCTAGTGGTTAAAGCGTTCGCTCAACACGCCGAAGACCCGGGTTCGATTCCCGACATGGGTACAATGTGTGAAGCCCATTTCTCGTCTCCCCCGCCGTGATATTGCTGGAATATTGCTAAAAGCGGCGTAAAACCTTACTCACTCACTGTGATCTAGTGGATAGAGCGTCTCCCCGGAGAGCAAAAGGTCGTTTATTCGATTCCCGGTCGCGTCATTCCTAAATACGTTATAAGATAGTACTTATTGTTACCCTGCCTGGTGCTCTTCATTAAACAGTCTTCCAGTAAGGCAGTCCAAGGTGTGACAACCACTTACTAATGGTTAGGTATCCCAATGCTCTGGACACAAACATCCTCCCATGAGCTCTCTCCAGCTTGAGGAAGAGCATCTTGATGCATCCTCTGACCGTTGACTCCAACACGGTCTCGCACACGGGGGTGAAGGAGCGCCATCTATGTGCCTCGTCGAACGCAAGCTTCAGGAAGAGGGGCAACGGACACTGGTGGAACGCTGCGTTGATAACCCCTCTCTGACCCGTGGTCAGTTTCCTCTGGGCGGTCTCCAGCCACTTGTCCAGGATTCCTGTCGCATCACCGTCAGGCAACTTTGGCACCTGGACGAAGAAGCCTTTGGAGGGCACCATGGCCTGCGGGGGGTGAACAAAGCTGTTGATTTAGGCAAATGAGGAAGCCTATTTGTCCCACTAGAAGTGTCAAATTTTACACTAAATCTCTTTCATATGATCACATCTGGTAGTTTTCATAACGGTTTCTTAACGTTTTGCTCTTTTTTAATTATGCATATCGCGTTGGCCAAAAAGGATTGTTATTATATCTTGTCCTTCCTCAAAAGTGAGCCGTTCAGATGGTTTAGTTAAATGATGACATGCTGAGGTGAGTTTGAAGAAAGTGTAAGCTTTACCATGGCGTGCTTGGCAGAGATATCACTTGAACACAAACTTTAATTCCGAAGGTTGGGAACTCACAAGAGTTATCGAGCATACCACAAAGAGCTTGAATCCTTAAACCCCCAATCTCATTAAAATCAGATCTTAGTTCTCGCTACCGCTAAACAAAGATCTGAGGACATCGCATTACGGGTCACGTCAGACCGACCTTGCGCGAACTTTGACCGACCAATGAAATGACCAATCAGAAGGCAGCTTTCTCGTGTTTTACGGCACTAATTTCAAATTGGCGACTACGCTTCGAAACATATTTTGACAAATTCTCGATTACAAATTTGAAACCTGAACAAAAGAACGTTCTGGGATGGCTAATAGATGGACTAGATTGTATGGATTCAGTTGTTAAACCCGTAACTATCGTTCGGAGTTAAAGTTTTCGAGGTGGCATGATTAGACATCACATTCCGACTGTCACTTTTACAATCTGGTAAGCCATGCTCTGATTGGTCGGATGAAAGGTCGTTCTGACGTGACCCCTAATGGGATGTCCTCAGATCTTTGTTTAGCGGTAGCGAGAACTGAGGTCTGATTTTAATGAGATTGCCTTAAACTCAATCCAGACATATAGGTACCTGCATCCTCTGTAGACATTCGTGCTGACTCTCCGGCAGAGTAGACACCACTAGCCTCACGTGCGGTGGCAGGTGCGTGGGCAGCCAGGTCAGCTGCCGGCCATTGTCCGAGTTGTCCAGTTGGTCCAGGGAGTCCAGCAGCACCACCAGGGGTTTACTGACATGTGCCAGCTGCAGAGCCTGGTGGAACATCCCGCTCAGCTCTTTCACGTCCTACATCAGAGAGTGAGTGAGGAGGATGGTTTTAAGACGCTTTTAGCAATACTTTAGTTACAGTCAGGCCGCCATCAGCAGCAGGTACATGGGTGGCATAATTTGTTTGTTTGTTGTTTAACGTCGCACTCAACACTATTCTAGCTCTACGAATCTAATCTGGACCAGAAAATCCAGTGATTGACATCATGACCATCGATCAACGCAATTTGGATACAATGACATGCATCAACCAAGTCTGCAAGCCTGACTACCCGATCCCGTTAGTCGCCTCTTACGACAAGCATAGGCGCCTTTTACGGCAAGAAAGGGTTGCTGAAGACCTAATCTACCCCGGATAATCACCGGTCAGAAGACAAAGTAATCTCGGTCGTCTCCCAACCCAATGCTGGATTCTCTGATTCCACTATCGCCACCCATATCTGCACCTAATAAAGGCCTTTAAGGACTGCGGGCAGTAGTAGCGATAGTTTTGTTATTCATGTCATCATTCTGTGATGGACAGCTTGGCTTACAGATGGCCCTTGAAAACATGTCGTAATATGCTTCTATGGTTTGAACACGTCACAATCGTGTAAGAAAACTGAGAAATGTGCCAATGACCAGAAATATTTGCAGCATTACAGACAATAGTGAGTGAGTGAGTTGTGTTTAACGCCGCTTTGGACAGTATTTCAGTTATATCGCGGCGTGTCAGCTTAATGTGGGTGGAAAGCCCATTTCTCGTGTTCCCTGCCGTGATATTGCTGTAATATTGCTAAAAGCGGCCAAAACAATGCTCACTCACTGAATATGTAAAACATTTTTGTCGCCAAGCTACTTTTAATAATAGAAGCCAACTGGCAACCAAGCAATAAATACAGGTCGCAAAATGGTTATTTTGGTAGCCAATGCGACCAAACTGGTCCCAACTTGGAGAACTGATATTGGGTAAAATGTCTGAAGCCCATTCCTGGTGACGCCCCTGGGATGACGCGGGAGTATTGATAAAAGTGGCGTAAAACCTCTCTCACTTTATTCCGCATACAATACGCATTGAATGAACGTATATCTTATATTATTCACGTTACTATCATTAATAAAGCGCTCTTCGTTGTAACACTTACCGTCGGCAAGTCGTGCACTTCATGCCCATATATGGTCCACACTTGTGACGTAACACTCCTTAGAAGGCTGCAAACGGAGGAACTATCTGGCGTGGTGCCAATGAATCTGCAACGAAGATGTAAAGTGAACTGAGGGGCAAAAAAAAGTATGCCGAGTTTGTTTTTTAGAAGTATGGAAACTGTTCCCTAAATTTGAAAAGAATCCATGAAGTAGTTTTCTAGTTATAGGTCGCACAAATGTTTCAGCAAAAAAACTCTTAAGTAAAAGAATAAAAAATAGGTGCATATTTTGAGAAATTCCAAATATTGAAAACAAACTTCGCACTGCACCTCTCCTATACGTATAGAAACTGTACCCCCAATTGGAAAAGAATCCATGAAGTAGTTTAAAAATATTCCCATATTTTATTCATCATATTTTTCAGGAAATACACATGTTAAAATCAAACTTTGCACTGCACCTCTTCTCTTAGTATTAAATTGTTCCCCAAATGTGAAAGGAATCCATTCAGTAGTATTCAAGTTGTAGGTCGCACAAATGTTGAAGTTAAAACAATTCAAGTCAAAAAATTAAAAAAAGCCCGTATTTTCTTTTCAGATAATCCAAATATTGAAATCAAACTTCGCACTGCACCTCTCCGATAGATGTAACAGTGTTAGAAAACCAAGTTTGAAAAGAATCTATGCTGCAGTTTTCAAGTTATTGGTCATACAAAAAAAGATAATATGTGTATAATGTTGAACATTGAACGCCCAAAGTGACACCCGCGACAACGGCTGTGGTGATGATGAGCCAATGGTCTTAATTAGGGCCCGTTCCACAAACCTATCTCAGCGCTACGTCTATCTGAATGTATTGGACTAACTACTTAGCGCTACGACTGTCGTACGTCTATGCGAAAGTATGGGACTTACTACTTGGCGCTACGACTGTCGTACGTCCATGTGAAAGTATGGGACTTACCACGTAGCGCTACAACTGCCGTACGTCTATGTGAAAGTATGGGACTTACTAATTAGCGCTACGACTGTGGTACGTATATGTGAAAGTATTGCATTTGCTACTTAGTGTTACGACTGTCGTACGTCTATGTGAAAGAATGGGACTTACTACTTAGCCCTACAACTGCCGTACGTCTATGTGAAAGTATGGGACTAACTAATTAGCGCTACGACTGTCGTACGTCTATGTGAAAGTATAGGACTTACCACTTAGCGCTACCACTGTCGTGGTATGAAAGTATGGGAGTTGTTACTTAGCGCTACGGCCGCTGTTTGGATCGGGTCCAAGTGTGGAAATTTTACCATATCACTAACGGTTTCTTGACACATCTGAGGGAAGTACGTCGTAATTGCGAATTACGGTGCACAGTGCATCCGCACTGTTTCTGACCGTTACCTTACAACCAGGGCCCCTTCGTCTAGTGTCTCTGACGCCTGCTTTGCTGCCATGGCAACCACTGACGTCTTCCCACTTCCTGACACACCAAAGACTGTTAATGGGCTGACGGAATCACCCGTCACGTACTTGTGTATCGTCTGAAATATACAGGCGTGACGCAATGAATAACGGACAGCGCAGAGAAGAAGAGCCAGCTTCTTCTGGTTTCGACATTTAAAACCCTGAAGGTACTTAAGAATGACGTCTGACAGACACCCTGCAACCTACCTTCAGAATGGCGTCTACCATCATGTAAACTACCTTCAGAATGGCGTCTACCATCATGTAAACTACCTTCAGAATAGCGTCTACAATCATGTAAACTACCTTCAAAATGGCGTCTAACATCCTGCAACCAGCCTTCAGAATGGCGTCTACCATCATGTAACCTACCTTCAGAATGGCGTCTACCATCATGTAAACTACCTTCAAAATGGCGTGTACATCCTGCAACCAGCCTTCAAAATGGCGGCTACCATGATGTAACCTACCTTCAGAATAGCGTCTACCATCATGTAACCTACGTTCAAATGGCGACTGACATTCTGCAAACAACCTTCAGAATGGCGTCCTGTAACCTGCCTTCAGAATGGCGTCTGACATCCTGTAACCTGCCTTCAGAATGGCGTCTGACATCCTGTAACTACCTTCAGAATGGCGTCTGACATCCTGTAACCTGCCTTCAGAATGACGTCTGACATCCTGTAACCTGCCTTCAGAATGGCGTCTGACATCCTGTAACTACCTTCAGAATGACTTCTGACATCCTGTAACCTGCCTTCAGAATGGCGTCTGACATCCTGTAACTACCTTCAGAATGACTTCTGACATCTGTAACCTACCTTCAGAATGGCGTCTGACATCCTGTAACCTGCCTTCAGAATGGCGTCTGACATCCTGTAACCTGCCTTCAGAATGACGTCTGACATTATGTAACTACCTTCAGAATGACGTCTGACATCCTGTAACTACCTTCAGAATGACTTCTGACATCCTGTAACCTACCTTCAGAATGGCGTCTGACATCCTGTAGCCTGCCTTCAGAATGGCGTCTGACATCCTGTAACCTGCCTTCAGAATGACGTCTGACATCCTGTAACCTGCCTTCAGAATGGCGTCTGACATCCTGTAACCTACCTTCAGAATGGCGTCTGACATCCTGTAACCTGCCTTCAGAATGGCGTCTGACATCCTGTAACCTGCCTTCAGAATGACGTCTGACATCCTGTAACCTGCCTTCAGAATGACGTCTGACATCCTGTAACCTACCTTCAGAATGGCGTCTGACATCCAGTAACCTACCTTCAGAATGGCGTCTGACATCCTGTAACCTGCCTTCAGAATGGCGTCTGACATCCTAGCTGTAACCTACCTTCAGAATGGCGTCTGACATCCTAGCTGTAACCTGCCTTCAGAATGGCGTCTGACATCCTAGCTGTAACCTGCCTTCAGAATGGCGTCTGACATCCTGTAGCCTGCCTTCAGAATGACTTCTGACATCCTGTAACTACCTTCAGAATGGCGTCTGACATCCTAGCTGTAACCTGCCTTCAGAATGGCGTCTGACATCCTAGCTGTAACCTGCCTTCAGAATGGTGTCTGACATTCTGTAACCTACCTTCAGAATGGCGTCTGACATCCTAGCTGTAACCTACCTTCAGAATGGCGTCTGACATCCTAGCTGTAACCTGCCTTCAGAATGGCGTCTGACATCCTAGCTGTAACCTGCCTTCAGAATGGCGTCTGACATCCTGTAGCCTGCCTTCAGAATGACGTCTGACATCCTGTAACCTGCCTTCAGAATGGCGTCTGACATCCTAGCTGTAACCTGCCTTCAGAATGGCGTCTGACATCCTAGCTGTAACCTGCCTTCAGAATGGCGTCTGACATCCTGTAGCCTGCCTTCAGAATGACGTCTGACATCCTGTAACCTGCCTTCAGAATGGCGTCTGACATCCTAGCTGTAACCTGCCTTCAGAATGGCGTCTGACATCCTAGCTGTAACCTGCCTTCAGAATGGCGTCTGACATCCTGTAGCCTGCCTTCAGAATGACTTCTGACATCCTGTAACTACCTTCAGAATGGCGTCTGACATCCTAGCTGTAACCTGCCTTCAGAATGGCGTCTGACATCCTAGCTGTAACCTGCCTTCAGAATGGTGTCTGACATTCTGTAACCTACCTTCAGAATGGCGTCTGACATCCTGTAACCTACCTTCAGAATGGCGTCTGACATCCTAGCTGTAACCTACCTTCAGAATGGCGTCTGACATCCTAGCTGTAACCTGCCTTCAGAATGGCGTCTGACATCCTGTAACCTACCTTCAGAATGGTGTCTGACATTCTGTAACCTACCTTCAGAATGGCGTCTGACATCCTAGCTGTAACCTACCTTCAGAATGGCGTCTGACATCCTAGCTGTAACCTGCCTTCAGGATGGCGTCTGACATCCTAGCTGTAACCTGCCTTCAGAATGGCGTCTGACATCCTGTAACCTACCTTCAGAATGGTGTCTGACATTCTGTAACCTACCTTCAGAATGGCGTCTGACATCCTAGCTGTAACCTACCTTCAGAATGGCGTCTGACATCCTAGCTGTAACCTGCCTTCAGAATGGCGTCTGACATCCTAGCTGTAACCTGCCTTCAGAATGGCGTCTGACATCCTGTAACCTACCTTCAGAATGGCGTCTGACATCCTAGCTGTAACCTACCTTCAGAATGGCGTCTGACATCCTGTAGCCTGCCTTCAGAATGACTTCTGACATCCTGTAACTACCTTCAGAATGGCGTCTGACATCCTAGCTGTAACCTGCCTTCAGAATGGCGTCTGACATCCTAGCTGTAACCTACCTTCAGAATGGCGTCTGACATCCTGTAGCCTGCCTTCAGAATGACTTCTGACATCCTGTAACTACCTTCAGAATGGCGTCTGACATCCTAGCTGTAACCTGCCTTCAGAATGGCGTCTGACATCCTAGCTGTAACCTGCCTTCAGAATGACTTCTGACATCCTGTTACTACCTTCAGAATGGCGTCTGACATCCTAGCTGTAACCTGCCTTCAGAATGGCGTCTGACATCCTAGCTGTAACCTGCCTTCAGAATGGCGTCTGACATCCTAGCTGTAACCTGCCTTCAGAATGGCGTCTGACATCCTGTAACTACCTTCAGAATGGCGTCTGACATCCTAGCTGTAACCTACCTTCAGAATGGCGTCTGACATCCTAGCTGTAACCTGCCTTCAGAATGGCGTCTGACATCCTGTAGCCTGCCTTCAGAATGACTTCTGACATCCAGTAACCTACCTTCAGAATGGCGTCTGACATCCTAGCTGTAACCTGCCTTCAGAATGGCGTCTGACATCCTGTAGCCTGCCTTCAGAATGACTTCTGACATCCAGTAACCTGCCTTCAGAATGGCGTCTGACATCCTGTAACCTACCTTCAGAATGGCGTCTGACATCCAGTAACCTACCTTCAGAATGGCGTCTGACATCCAGTAACCTACCTTCAGAATGGCGTCTGACATCCAGTAACCTACCTTCAGAATGGCGTCTGACATCCTGTAACCTACCTTCAGAATGGCTTCTCTCCCGTGGAAGGCGCTGCACTTCTGCTGACAGAAGGACACGTGCTGTACCACCTCCTGAAACAGCTCTGTGTCGGTGTCGGAAGACGCCCTCGTCTTGATGCCGTGGGTGATCATCCCTGTCAGCGTCCTCTCGAAGTCTTCACACAGTTGGTCAATGTATTTCTTGTGTTCCCTCACCGAGGCAGGATCAACACCTAATATGGGGATGGAGCAAGGTCAGGAGACAATAGGTTAAACTGTCAGCCCGATTGAAGCGAAATGTTTCTCAGATTTTAAACAGGATTGTATTTATAGCTCTTTTTTTGCTACCAATTTACTTATGTATTTACCCTTTTATTGAGACTACGGATAGGAAACCACCTAAAGACTTGACATGTTAAAATGATTAACACAATAGCTATCCCTTGCCACCCATGGAATTGCCCCTTACACTCCTCACATCAAACATTTGAAATTTCATGTTAACGTTTCTAATCCAAAGGAACTTACCATATTAAATGTACATGGTCGAAAATGTCATATATTTCTTTAAAACATTCTAATTATAATAGGAAAGACGGTAAAATCTGTTGCAATGGATAAAACAATAATTTCTTTTCCAGTGATTTGTCAATTCGTTTATGCATACTCTATTCGTGGAAAGGTATTCCTATCCAGGTATTCCTAGCTTAAGGGGAGTTCCCTTCAAAACGCATATGGTCACAGATATGGGGAAAGAAATTTTCTTTGTCAGTCACACTGAGAAATATAGCTTTTATTTCAAAAGCTGTCCTTGTCAATGTGATCTGACAACTGTAATTATTATGGAAAATAAATTAAAATGCCGATTTCCATTGTCCACGACGTCTAAGACTGTTTGTCTTGACGTCACATGAACGTTATTCAAAGTTTGTTTGTTTGTCTGAGGTTTAACGCCGCACTCAGCAATATTCCAGCTATATGACGGCGGTCTGTAAATAATCGAGTCTTGACCAGACAACCCAGTGATTGACATGAGCATCAATCTACGCAATTGGGATACAATGACATGCATCAACCAAGTCAGTGAGCCTGACCACCTGATCCCGTTAGTCGCTTCTTGCGACAAGCATAGTCGCCTTTCACAGCAAGGATGGGTTGCTGAAGACCTAGTCTACCCCGGGTCTTCACGGGTTGTTATTCAAAGATAAAACATCCCTTCAGCTCACCTTTATCCAACCATTGTATTGAGTAGGTCTTGTGACACTTTTCAGGAATAAACATGGGGAGGTTTTTGTCTCTCAGTTCCTGCAGCAGGTCACGTGCCTCCTTCATCTGTTTCTCGGGCCCGCGGACATCTTTTTTAAAGAAGTAATTAAAACAACAGTAGGTCAAAGGCCATGCTAGATGTCTAAAAACATGAGTTTTAAAAGAAAATAATATTGTTCGGTTACTCCTTTCAGAGTAAATGTTGTATCTTTTGAAGCAGTGATCGAGTAAATATCCTGCATGCCCTCCCCCATTTTCTCGAGGCAATGGAGTTAACTGACTATTTAAGTCCAGTTTCCACATTTGCCGAACGACGCTGGTATTTCTGGGCTCGATCGTAGCGCCACTTGTGGCTATTACGAGTCATGTCCCTTCTATGTCCCTCCTATTGACCAATCAGATTCCACCTCTCATATCACATGCATTTGTTTCACACAAAATGGCGGCACCCAGTCAAGACGATCTGATCGATAATCAAGATCTATATTGTGATAGAACAGGTCTTACCTCGCGAAGTGCGTCAAATCAGGTGAGCACCTCGATTAGAAACATGAAAAGATTTTGGAAATATCTGTTGACGCCGAGTTGGCGGTACACATGCTTTGCAATTTCTGCAATCGACCGATATTTGCAGGGCAGTTTACGAACCGGATGTCGATTTCGTTACACGATTTTAATCAGAGAATGTATAGATTCGTTAGTCCAGCCCAAATATAACTCCATAATTCCAGCCTAGTTCAGCAAGTGCATGCTCGTCGCTATTTAAGTGCAATAATCTTGTTTGAACACGATGTCAGCTTCAATTTCACCACACCTCACTTTATAATGAAGGGGGGCGGTCGGGTAGCCTAGTGGTTAAAGCGTTCGCTCGTCACGCCGAAGACCCGGGTTCGATTCCGCCATGGGTACAATGTGTGAAGCCTATTTCTGGTGTCCCCCGCCGTGATGTTGCTGGAATATTGCTAAAAGCGGCGTAAAACCACACTCACTCATTCACTATAATGAAGGCCTTAACCACGTATTCCTTATTCAGTATATTTGTTAAAATGGGCAATTTCAATGAAAATGTATCATCCCGAATAACGTGATTTTCCTTTGTGTCATATGTTTCTATAATTAAATTCCCTTGCATGTAAATCCCATGTACGACGTGACAGTGGTGACCTCACCTTTATACTTGTACAACGCTGAAGACGGGCTGTCCGTCGATTTGTCGATATCTCGGAGACGGCGATCAAACCACGCGCTTCTTCCCGCCACATTGTCAGATGTGAACAGCGCATGCGCGATCTCTTGTTCTGTGACTGAAAGGAAAGAGATAAGGTTACCCCAAGAATTGTTAATTTGGAAAATGAAAGGGGAAGATGTCTTGCTCTGATAGTCACTTGATACCATCTGCTCTACCAACGTCCCGTTAACTTATGCCAATATTCCCATGAGGAGATACCGGTCGTTATGCTTAATAATCGTGTTACCTCGGAAGGGGACCAGCGAGACCCCTGTAGGAGAGAAATGTTTGCTCCACGCCAATCTCATTAAAATCAGATCTTAGTTTTCGCTACCGATAAAAGAAATCTGAGGACATCTCATTACGGGTCACGTCAGAACGGCCTTTCGCAAACTTTGACCGACCAATGAAATGACTGACAAGAAATCGACATTAGCCAATCAGAAGGCAGCTTTCGCTGCTTTACCACACTCGTTACAAACTGGCGACTACGCTTCGAAACATATTTGACGTATTCTCGATTAAAAAATTTAAAACTGATAAAAAGAACATTCTGGAATGGCTTATAGATGGCCCGGAATGTATGGATATAATCATAAAACCCGTAACTGTCGTTCGGAATACCCTCTGTTAAATATTTCGAGGTCGCATGATTAGAAAACACATTCCGACTGTCACTTTCATGATTTTAATGAGATTGGCTCAACGCTAGCAACTAAATGACAACTGCATCCTTGGTGCATGTATAACCTTGAGCGTCGTGACTGCAGTAACGACATCAATGTCAACATGTTTACCAGGGTGCCGTTGTACCAAGCAACCTAAGCTACGACTGTCGTAAGTCTATGTTAAGGTATGGGAGTTACGATCACCTCAGCGCTAAGATCGCTTTGTACAAAGGCACCCTACCCTTAAGCAGTACCAGTATCAACGTCAACATGCACACCTGACCTTGAGCATCATGGCTGTATGCTGAGTACAACGTCGTCAAAAAGACGTACCCGACATGACGTAACGGTGAGCAGCGCGAGGCTCCAGCGTCTCTCGAGCTGCCTCTTCCAGCGCCATCTTCATCTGGTCCGACATCTCGTACCAAGTATCCTTGGCAAGCTGATGCTCACCATCTTCAGACAGAAAGTCTGGCAAGAGGGAGCTGATTGGCTGGAGCACGTAGGTCGGGGGGTCGGCGTTTTCATCTTCTAGGTACCACCTGTTGAGTACAAATATTGCCTATTAAACGTCAGCATATTTTATATCATAGCGTCATGCGTTAGTCTGTCTTACAGACCCTGATACAAATATATATCAAATACAGCCCATGCAAGTCTATAATGTTTGGCAAGTCTAGATTACTGCAGTATCTGAAAATGAAGAGAGTCACTGGGCTCCTTTAATTATATTTTTTTAAGATAACTGAACAACTGTTTTTTTCTGTACGATATGTTCATTTCAGAGACTGGATGTTAGTCTACGTCATGCGTCAGTGTCGCTCAATCCCGTTATGCACAACGTATTCACGACGCCACATTCATGCAAGAATAAATTTATTGCAAACAAGTCTGTGGCATTTGATTAGCTGCCAAGCATTTTTCCGTTTGTTTCAATAAACAGAAAACAAATTAGGCCACGCCCACTAACAAACTACAGTTTCCTGATTGGCTGATGATAGAATCAGTATGGCTTGTGTTGTCTACTGTTTTTTTGTATGTTAATCTTTAGATAAGCAGTGTCTGAGGTTATTATTGTTGACGAATTTATTTATGATATTTTCAATATGCATTTGCGTTTATGGAAGTATAAACGAAAAATCCGGTGTGAACACGTTGCGTAAATTTGCTACGCTACGCAGTTTTTATAGATTTATATCTCCATAAACACAAATAAATTGAAGTCAATTTTTTAATATTTGGGGAAATTCCAGTCATTTAGTCACTCGAATCGCAACATGGTGGTCCTAATACAGACTGATGCTTTATGAACCAATCAAACACGGCTCGTGTGAAAGATTTTCAGTGTTTGTGTTGTTTGAAAAGTTCGGCCATTTCAAGTGGTATTTAACTACTCAGTTTGTGAATGCAAGGACAAAGGAGCACGTTTGTTTGTTTGTCTGTTGTTTAACGCTGTACTCAGCAATATTCAAGCTATATGACGGTGGTCTGTAAATAATCGAGTCTGGATCAGACAATCCAGTGATTGACGTCATGAGCATCAATCCACGCAATTGGGATCAATGACATGCATCAACCAGGTGAGCGAGCCTGTCGTTTTTATGTATTGGTCCTAGGTCATATATCCTGAGTTTTCTCAATGGGCTATCCTTCCAGCGTCTGGTATAGTCGAGATGGTGCATGTGGATATATAACATTGTCCTTTGTGATCCATAGAAGCCGTGGCTTCAGTTTTGCCGACATGGCGACTGTCTTGACGCGCTTCCTCATTTTACCCCGGCGTGAAGACCCTCAGTCAATGATTATAATTTTACGCCGCTTTTAGCAATATTCCAGCAATATCACAGCGGGGAACACCAGAAATAGGCGTCACACATATTGGGGGCGGTCGGGTAGCCTAGTGGTTAAAGCGCTCGCTAGTCACGCAGAAGACCCGGGTTGGATTCCCGACATGGGTGCAATATGTGAAGCCCATTTCTGGTGTCCCCCGCCGTGATATTGCTGGAATATTGCTAAAAGCGGCGTAAAACCATACTCACTCACTCAGACATATTGTTTCTGTGGGGAATTGAATTCTGGCTCCCCCACCGCCCTGGTGAACATGAAGCGGCAATACATGACGTCCACTCACTCACACACACACAGCGTATTGTGTGTTTGTTTGTTTGCTTGTTGTTTAACGCCGTGCTCATCTATGTTCCAGCTATATGACGGCGTTCTGTAAATAATCGTGTCAGGACCAGATAATCCAGTGATTGACATCGATCAACATCGCAATTGGGATACGATGGCATCAACCAAGTCAGCGAGTCTGACCACCCGATCCCGTTAGTCGCCTCTTACGGCAAGCATGGTTTGCTGAAGACCTATTCTCTACACGGATTTCATTGGTGTATTGGGGTGTGAGCAGTATGCGAATATCGCTGCTAAACAAATGAAAGGTCAATGCCTAAACTTTACTAACGTGCAGTGATCAAGTACTTTAACAACAAAAAAGATCACTTCAAAACAAATGCCATGAGAACAAAGCCAAAGATCACTTCAAAACTAATGCCATGAGAACAAAAGCATTGTCAGTAGGCGTAATAGTAATTTGTCGGGTCAATGTTTCTTAAGTAAATTCCTTTGACAGGGGTATGATCCTGAACCTGTTCCCCAGATACATTTACACTGATTGACCTTGTCCTGCCTTTTTCCACGCGCACACCCAGGACCCTGTTCCACAAAGCGATCTCAGAGCTGCGATTGTCGTAAGCCCATGTTAAAGGGTGGAGTTACGATCGTCTAAGCGCAAAGATGGAACGGGACCTAGGTCTATTATGTGGTAAAGAATTCCAAAAGACATTCAACCGCAGTGACACTAAATACACCAACGTAATTCTACACATAGATGAGCGCCAAGCATGCGACTGGCGGCGGTCCAATGTGACGATAACGCAGCGAGACGGTTCCTGGTCCTGCACTGTATATATCTATGTTCTGAAGTCATGGCATGCCTTTGTCTCCGACAACAAAGAACGCAATAATCTCGATAGACTTCGGTGAGCCTGAGACGGGGTTAACGGTGTGGGTCAAGCCAGTAGTTGCTGGTAAATGCAATGCCAGAAAAAAAGAGTGGGAACAAAATGCATTGGTATAATCCAATGTTCAACTACAGCAATTCGTAGTGGGGAATGTCCGAGTAATTCCTTAAAATAATGGAGCAGAGGATATTCCCCTACTTAAAACATATCCCTACTTTTACACTTTGACAAAGCATTCTTTTGTGGACAATATTTGAAACATAAAAAACTCTTTGTTGACTGTATTCAAACTGTGTGAGTCGCTCGTGCGTAATGCACGAGGAACACGTTCTCTCCCGCTGTGCACGTGCACCAAGCGCCGTCCCGAGCTGATATTTACAATGCACGGTACACGGCTCTTCATAATTTCGTCGGGTCCTAAATACATGCTGACGGGGATTATAGCAAATATCGAGCCCTGAACAAGGGTACATATGTTTACCTGATTTTTTTCTCTTGCCAAAGGTTTATCTGATACTATAAATAGGAACACTATTAGAGGTAATCATCTGTAACAACATTACATACATATCATTTTACAGATGATTACCTACATACATATTATTTTAGACCCGTGAAGATCCGGGGTAGACTAGGTCTTCAGCAACCCATGCTTGCCGTAAAACGCGACTATGCTTGTCGTAAAAGGCGACTAACGGGATCGGGTGGTCAGGCTCGCTGACATGGTTGATGCATGTTATCGATCCCACATTGCGAGGATCGATGCTCATGATATCAATCACTGGATTGTCTGGTCTAGACCCGATTATTTACAGACCGCCGTCATATAGCTGGAATATTGCTGAGTCCGGCGTTAAACAACAAAACAACCAACCAACATAATATTTTAAAGCTTTTAGGGATTGTGCGAATATAGGAAGATATTTGATAGTGAATTTCACATATCGTCATGTGTCGCCGTTGCTGAGGTCGATAATTAGACGTCCTCAAATCAAACGATGCGGGTTCGAACCCCGAGATGTTTTCCGACAAAATAGGAAATTATTCACTGGTCAAAATATTTAAATATAGTTCCGTCTATTCCAAGTACAAATTAATTGAAATGATGGTTCAAGATATTATATAATTGACAAACAACTCCCCTTTTCTGAAAGGTAATGGAGAAATGGAATGAAAATTTTATATGTAGTTTTTGTTCTGCATCACATAAGGAGAGCAACCATTTGTTTTTAAGTTTTGGTTTGAGATCAGCATTAACACCTAAAAAGATTTAAAAGCATTGTTTGATAACCGTGTTTAAAAACTGATCCAAGAACTCTATAATCAACTGTGAGAACACTGCGTGAGTCGCTCCTGCGTGATGCACGGGAAATTTGTTCCCTGTGCTTTTGGCACGTGCATCTTGTTCTTTGGCGACTCGGGTTATGAAATTCACGTCCGGGGCAAGTATACAATTCATATTGGACCAACACGAGCACATTTATCAATCACATAAAAAGTATTTGCCCATGTTGATGGGCCTATTATGAGTAAACACAGCCCTGATCAAGGAATGAGTAACTGACTGAATAAATCATAAATATCCCTTTCATGAAAAGTATTAACAATTCGTCTTGGTGTTAGTAAATATGACATTGTTAAAAGCACACCAATTCTCCCATGTCGCCGTGGCATGAGACTACATTGAAGGGGGAAGAAAAGTTCGGCCATTTCAAGTGGTATTTAACTACCCAGTTTGTGAATGCAAGGACAAAGCAGCATGCTTGTTTATTTGTCGTTTAACGCCACAATCAGCAATATTCCAGCTATATGTCGGCGGTCTGTAAAGAATTGAGTCTGGACCATACAATCCAGTGATTGACATCCTGAGCATCGATCCACGCAATTGGGATACGATGACATGCAAGTTAGCGAGCCTGACCACCTGATCCCGTTATTCGCCTCTTACGCCATGCATAGTCGCCTTTTACGGCAAGCATGGGTTGCTGAAGACTTATTCTACCCCGGATCTTCACGGGTCGGATGTTAAAGTGGATCAAGTACACACGATTATGTGTTTATGTAAGGGTGGTAGGTTTTCATTGAGGCATACAGATCTTTACACATTCGTGCACTTTTCGTGGTTGTGGGTGTTTCTGTTACTTTGTTGATGACATCTTGACCTCGTGAATGCATCCTTGGTCATGTATTGCCCAACGTACCATAGGATGGGAAGGGCAATGTATCAAAACAGGGCTCAGCTATCGTGAAGACGTATCGTAAGGGGTCATGTGTCGCTAGACGTATCGTAAGGGCTCTTGTGTCGCTAGACGTATCGTGAAGACGTATCGTTTGGGGTCAGGTGTCGCTAGACGTATCGTAAGGGCTCTTGTGTCGCTAGACGTATCGTGAAGACATATCGTACGGGGTCCGGTGTCGCTAGATGTATCGTACGGGGTCAGATGTCGCTAGACGTATCGTGAAGACGTATCGTACGGGGTCACATGTCGCAAGATGTATCGTACAGGGTCAGATGTCGCTAGACGTATCGTGAAGACGTATCGTACGGGGTCACCTGTCGCAAGATGTATCGTACAGGGTCAGATGCCGCTAGACGTATCGTGAAGACGTATCGTATGGGGTCAGATGTCGCTAGACGTATCGCACGGGGTCAGATGTCGCTAGACGTATCGTCAAAACGTATCGTACTATGTCCGCGTCGCTAGACGTATCGTACGGGGTCCGGTGTCGCTAGACGTATCGTGCAGGCGTATCGTACGGGGTCAGGTGTCGCTGGATATATCGTGAACAATTGTCGTGATCCGTACGTCACTGAGCATCCATCGTACAGTTGGTACAATCATAGTGAGCATACACATCACACTTCATTGTGCAACTCTGAGTTAAGCACATATCTCTGACCGCCACCGCTATGAACTGGTTGCTGCCAGGTGTTACCGGATTGTTTATCCACTGATTACATTTGTAATGCATCTGTGTGTTTTGTGTTTGTTTAACGTCGTGCTTGGCAATATTCCAATACTATGCCTGCGGTCTGTATTATAATAATCGAATGAGGACCAACCGAACCATGATTGATATGGTCAGCAACGATACATGCCGACGTATGACCGTCCCTGACCATCCGACCCTTTGCGTCGCCTCTAAGAGCAGCATTTGTTGCCTGGCATTTAGTGTAACCCCTGTCCCCACGGGGTGGAGTACCGTTGCAATCCTACCTGTATAAGAGATCTTTGTCCTCTGTCTTCTTCACCGCCGACATGACCCGCAGGAACTCCTCGGAGCTGATCTGGGAGGGCAGCGGTCGATACCCATACTTGTGGGACAGGAATGTCTGCGGTAGGTGTCCACATGTCAGTTAGTCATAAGATGGCTTCATGATAATACTTTCTCATTATAAACATGATCATACTTTCCCATGTAGTTCAAGGACAATACGGGGGCACGGGTGGCCCAGTCGTCTAATACGCCGCGATTCGCTGTGCAGAATTGCGTCCCTTGGGCACGCCAGAAACCTATGATTGTGGGTTCGAATCCCGGTTCGCCCCGATTATGTTTCTAGGTTTGTCAGCACCATACCCGTGCTCGTGGGTTTCACCGAAGTGGTAAACGTCTCAGACCTGCATCACTTCGGGCTTTCCTCCCACAATGGGGCTGACACGCCGCGATATAACTGTAATACTGTTAAAAGCGGCGTTAAATCCAACTCACTGACTCACTCAAGGACAATACAGACACAATTTACGTCAAGCACACTTATATACGCCAGACGGGTTAGAGACAATACAATCTAGGCGAAGGACACATGGGTCTGGACCAAAACAAAACAGGTCAAGGACACATTTTATATCCCAGGTTGGTCTGAAAAAATACACAAAAGGTCAAGTACACATATATATCCCAGATGGGTTTGGGATAATGCAATATAGGTCAAGGAAACCTGGGTCTGGGACAAAACAATATAGGTCAAGGACACATATATATCCCAGTTGGATTTTGGACAATGCAATATCGGTCAAGGACACTTATATACACCAGCTGGATATGGGGGGATATAAACACAATCTAAGCAACGTGCAATTCAAGGAAACTAAAAAGAAACAAATATTGAAAAGGACACAAATTGTAAGGTCGTGTAGGTCGAGGAGTGAGTAAGTGAGTTGGGTTTAACGCCGCTTTTAACAGTATTCCAGTCATATCGCGGCGTGTCAGCTTAATGTGGGAGGAAAGCCCCAAGTGATGCAGGTCTCAGACGTTTACCACTTCGGTGAAACCCACGAGCACGGGTATGGTGCTGACAAACCTAGAAACATAATCGGGGCGAACCGGGATTCGAACCCACAATCATAGGTTTCTGGCGTGCCCAAGGGACGCAACCCTGCACAGCGAACCGCGGCGCCATAGACGACTGGGCCACCCGTGCCCCCTGTAGGTCGAGGATGTATAATATACATTGTAACGTTCAAGTAACATTAGCGGCTGTACAAACTGTTGTAAACATGTTTCGTGTAACTGTCAATGGCAGCAAATGAAAATTAAGAGCTGTCGTTGCTAGATTTAAACAGCCGCAGGCGGCAGCGAGTGGAATGTTGAGTTGTCTGCCCCTGGTTGGATACATGAACATGTCAGGCTGTGTCGTTGGAGACGTTTCGTGATAGGACAGGATCTAGAAGACGGACTGTAACCATATAGGATGGACAAGAGGACAACATGAGGCTTTTTTTCGACCCGACATATACCGTATCTAGTTGCCAAATGCGATTGGATGCCTATTTGTAAACACTGAATTCCTACCAGCTTCCAATACTATTCTGAATTCAGGGACCGCCTTCGTGGTCTAGTGGTAGAGCGTCCGCCCGGAGAGCGGAAGGTCCGGGTTTCGTTCCCCGGCCGCGACATACCAAAAGACGTTAAAAGATGGTACTTGTTGTTACCCTGTCTGGCGCTCGGCATTAAGGGGCTAAAACAAGGACTGGTCGGCTCGGAGTCAGTATACTGTGTCTGAATGGGGTATTCATGTTAAACTGTGGCATGGTATCTCAGTGAGCTAGCACTATAAATCGGCATCAGTCCGCACTAGTACAAGCAGCCACATACACACGTGCTTGCACGTCGCTATATAAGTGCAATAATCTTGGACGCGACGTTAAACCCCATTTCACCTCACCTCACCTGACTTCAGGCTGTTTTAAGACATCCGACAGTGATGGAGTTCTGGACACTCACTTACATTAACTATAGGGCCTGTTACTTATTGCTACTCCCACTTTCTTGACGTATTGTACTTCTGTTTTGATTATAAATTTAAAGCTGTGTGTTTTAATGGTTTTAATATAATTTAATGGTTGAATACATGACACTTTTTTATGGATAGCAACTTCTTTTATTCTTTGTAACGACGATTCAGAACTACTTCTCTGACATCGTGACAAAGAATAAAAGTTGCCATCCTTAAAAAGTGGCATGTATTCCTGTTCTCCTAACTTCTAATTGCCCATCAAAGACTTAAATTAATGGTTATTCATTTATCTTGTTTGGTCACATTCGTGACCAACTCGTGTTATTCCGGGACAAGCCGAATAGCGACTCGTGCCCCTCTCGTGGCCATTTTTGCGACCGGGTTCCGTCTTAGCGCAAACGGGCATACCTAAAACAATTGTCAACTCGTTGCGTAATGGTTCACAAATAATTCCCCATATATTATATATATTTCAGATGCAATTTAAATCACATCGGGACATGCGGATTTATACAGTATGATTGAACACATTTAACTGTGTCTTGGGTATATTTTTAGAGGCACGACATATGTAAAATCAAAACTTGTTTCTGAGGGATTCTTTGACGAAGAACTTGAAATCATACGCGCATTCTGATTGGTTTGTCGTATTTTCGCACATAGCATTCATCGATAGGGGGACGAGTCTTCTTGCAGGTTACGGAAAGGGGCGAGTGGTGACGAATGGTTTGGTCATTTACTGATTTCATAATTCATAAACGATATTTTGGTTAGGCACTGCGTTACATTTTTATATCACCTCGAACAAGAAATACATAATATGTAGGTCAAGGTCACATAATATACATACATCTTATCGGTCAAGGACGGGGAATATAATATTCATTTATAACTTCGACCAACAGTTATTTCCCATTAGTATGTTCATTACATATGATAATATTTTAATTAGCTTACCACAAAGAATGGTCCAGTTGACAGCTTCATACAGAGGTCAATTTCCAGAAGACAGAGGTCAGAGGTCATGTGGTCATCCGTTGCTTCATCCCTGACCCCCCACCTCATGTCCACCACCTGAAACTCATACCCCAGCTGCCGGCAGCGTTCCTTCAGTCGGGGATACACGCGCTCCATCAGTGCGTTCCGCTCGTGCTCCGTGTCTGCAACGGGGAGGAGAGGTGAAATGGGGTTTAAAGTCGTGTTCATAATTGCACTTTTATAGCGAAGTGCGTGCGTGCGTGCGTGCGTGCGTGCGTGCGTGTCTGCTTGTACTTTTTCCGGACTAATGCCGGTTTTATACTACTAGCCAACTGTGATACCATGTTTGTTTGTTTTTTGCCGTAGTCAGCAATATTCCAGCTATGTGATGGCGGTCTGTAAATAATCGAGTCTGGACCAGACAATCCAGTGATTGACATCATGAGCATCGACCCACGCAGTTGGGATACGATGACATGCATCAACCAAGTCAGCGAGCCTGACCACCCGATCCCGTTAGTCACCTCTTACGACAAGCATAGTCGCCTTTACGGCAAGCATGGGTCTGTTCTACCCAGGATCTTGACGGGTCCTGAAATACCATGCTGCAATACCATGACACATATAGCGACTCCGAGGCGACCAGTTCTTGTTTTATCCTCTTAATGCAGAGCGTTAGGCAGGGTTACAACAAGTACCATCTTTTAAGTTATGAATCACCGACCTTCCGCTCTCCGGGAAGACCCTCTACCTACAAGACCATGGAGATGGTCTCATTAACAGGGAGATTCCTCTTACTGCACTATAAGAGCTGGTGGGTTCATTCAAGGGGGAAAACAGTGAATGAATATTTTTTTACCAGGGACCCGTTCCACAAAGCAGACATAGCGCTCATAACCCCAATACTTTACGACAGGTTTTGAACCCATAGTCGTATGGAATTGGACCCTGAACAGATTCACAAATTTCCCGATTAACGAATCACCGATAGCAGTGAGTGAGTGAGTGTGTTTGGTTTAATGCCGCTTTTGACAATATTTCAGTTACATCACGGCGTGTCAGCTTATTGTGGGTGGAAAGCCCTAGTGATGCAGGTCACAGACGTTTATCACTTTGGTAGATTCCACGAGCACGGGTAGGTGCTGACAAACCTAGAATCATAATCGTTGCAATCCGGGATTCGAACCCGCAATCAAGGGGTGCAGCTCTTCACAACTTGCCCAGACGAGAGGAGCAATGTAAATACAACGAATGCAGTAATTCAGAAAACACTGCGTTGTAGATTCGGAACGTGTGCTTAAACCTGATGAAAAGGAATTACTTTGGAAGCAGGAATAACCCCATCCTCGATTATCCAGGGTATATATCTCCATTGTTTTAGGATAAATACCCTGGACCCCAGTCGCCACAACAGCTTCGTTATAAATAGCCGTCCAATCACGAGCGAGGTAACACTCAAAGTGCAAAGTTAGAAGCAATGGAGTTGGTGACATCACCTTCGAAAGGAAGCTAGGGGCGAAAGGAACTATAGTATTTATCAAAATAAATGGAGATATAATACACTGGATACTCAAGGATTTAGTGAAGCATGGCGCTTACCTGTGAATGTACTGCTTGTGAAGATCCTGACTATTTTGGCGGCGAACGGGCACTCTACCGACATATCGCCGTGTAGAATCCTAGAAAACAGGTCCACCTTCTGTAGTTGTCTGGTGGAGATTTGTCTGCCCCTGACTGTTGGCCTCTGGCTGTTGGATCGAGACGATTTTGGCCTAGAGGGCGCTGTGCGAGGTCTGTGTGGTCGAGTAGGAGGGTACCGGAAGTCACCACTAGCGACGGAAGGGCGTCTGGGTCCCTTAGGGGGGAGGAGGGTATGTTTAGCAGGTGTAAGAGAGTTGTTCGCTGACGTCTGTCGACAGTCCTCTCCCGGATGTAAATTTGAGCGGCCATTTTGTTTCTGTTGGTCTCCAGTCTGGGAGATTGTGGTATTTTGGCTGTTGTCGATGATGTTGAGCCCAGCGTTGTCATGGCCGACAACGTTTGGACCCTCAGCTTGTTTAGTGTCTGTTTTGGGATGGCTGTTGAAGTGAGGTCAGATGAAAACGAGTTATGACATTTTGTTTGTTTATTGTTTGCTGTTTTAACGCTAAACCGCTATTTAAAGCAGCGTGCTATTTGCATTGGGCTGAAAGCGAAGCTATGTTTGTTTGTTTGTGTGTTTGTTGTTTAACGCCGCACTCAGCGATATACCAGCTACATGACGGCGATCTGTAAATAATCGACTCTGGAACAGACAATCCGGTGATCGACCGACATCCTGAGCATCGATCTGCGCAATTGGGATACGATACGATGACATGCATCAACCAAGTCAGCGAGCCTGACCACCCGATCCCGTTAGTCGCCTCTAACGACAAGCAGGCGTTACTGAAGACCCGGATCTGTTATGACGTCATGGTTAGGCAGACATTATTGCTAAGGAGAACATGTTTTGTCTTTTCGAGGTATCGATCATACGTTCAGTCAGACACAGAAAAAAAGATTATAACAAGCCTTACATTACCTGGTGATTAGAATCTGTAGTCACACTGGAGGTGACGCAATCGTTTAAAGGGCACATAACTCATATTACACAGTCATAAGATCCCTATAGAGATCAGGGCGCAATGATACTGACTCCAAACATTAATTTTTATTCGCCTTTTACGGCAGGCATGGAAGGCCTATTGAGTAAGTATGAGTAAGATTTTACGCCGCTTTTAGCAATATTCCAGCAATATCACAGCGGGTTTACCAGAAAAGGGCTTCACTCAATGTACCCATGTGGGGAATCGAACCCGGGTCTGCGGCGTGACGAGCAAGAGCTTTAACCACTGGGGAATATAGACAAACATGTTCCTTATTTTTCATGCACATGACCCCTACTCATGACTGTTAGGTGTCTGTCTGCATAAACAGATAAGCATTAATAACATTGTCAACTGTAAGTGCCAATTAGGAATTAAGATATCTTTATTAATGCTTTATACGCGCACGTCATGCTTTCTTCTGAAATGGCCCACGGAACGTGTAACAACAACGCATTTGTTAAACCTACCGGACAAAAGAAAGTACACACTTTAAAACTGGATTTGACCAAAACATTACAAACGTTTTCAAAACGTTACTAGGCTGAAAACAAGCGCCGAAACACTGCAAAGGTAAGGTCCAAAACACAACTAAGTGAGTGAGTGAGTGAGTATGGTTATACGCCGCTTTTAGCAATATTCCAGCAATATCACGGCGGGGGACACCAGAAATGGGCTTCACACATTGTACCCATGTCGGGAATCAAACCCGGGTCTTCGGCGTGACGAGCGAACGCTTTAACCACTAGGCTACCCGACCGCCCCAACAACACAACTAAGATACCCGTATCAAATATATCGCCATCGAATAATATAACCATTTTGGGTTTGTTTCATTTTTAACCACCATGAAACATGGGTGTATACTTTCTTTTGCCCGGCAGTTTACATGACGCATACGCTGTCTATAACGGTAAACACATAGATCACCTAATCGAAGTCTACCCAGTAACCTCGTGACTTCCCATGCTTGTCAACACCGACCTGTCCGGCTTGAGTCTACCTACTTTTATCACACAACTCTTGACTTCAAGTATCCGGGGTGGGGGGGTGGGGGGAGGTGTGTGTGTGTGTGTGGGGTGGGGGGGTGGGGGGGGGGGGGGTGGGGGGTGGTGTACTTCGTTATCTCGCGGACACGCGGCAGGGGTTGAGACACATCACACGCTTTTACGGACGATGACAATTGTCTGTGCGTATAAACACAGTATACATACCAGATATATTCCCACAAGACAGGTCAGAATACTACAGTCGGAATCTTGAATTGAGTCTTATACAAGTGCGACGATAAACGTTTATGCATGATTATTCTATCTATAACATAACATTTCAATTATTTGTTTGTTTGTTGTTTGACGCCGTACAATATTCCAGCCATATGACGGCGGTCTGTAAATAATCGAGTCACGGGCAGTGATTGATATCACGAGCATCGAGCCTGACCACCCGATCCCGTTAGTCGCCTCTTACGGGAAGCATGGGTTGCTGAAAACCTATTCTACCCGGATCTTCACGGGTCTTGATAAATATTATTAAATACCTTATTCATTAAAATAGAGTCATCTAACCGAAAGAGAACATTAGAACTGATTGGATTAATTCTTTGTACGTAAAATGCACTTGAGGTGAGATTTAGAAATATTGATCGTATTCGACCAGACAATCCAGTAATTGATATGAAGAGCATCGATCGACGCAAATGGGATACGATGACATGCATGAACCAAATCAACGAGCCTGACCACCCGATCCCGTTAGTCGCCTCTTACGACAAGCATAGTTGCCTATTACGGCAAGCATGGGTTGCTTAAGACCTATTCTATCCTGGATCTTCACGGGTACATTTCAACCAAAGTGGTATTGGTGGAAATCAAACCGCTTACAAGAAGTAACAAGAAGCGGAGAATATCCGAAATATCAAATGATGATCCCGAAAAAAATGAAAACTCTAAAAATGTCTCGAAAAACTATTTTAACCAGAATATAGTGCGTTTTTCTGTCATCTTTCACGTTTCATTATATTTTCTGTGTTTCTCATTTGAGTCGTAGACCTTTCAGTGAACACTTTGTTGCGTTACAACTTTGGTTTTCAATTGACTGTATCAGTATTCAGAGTTTTCCTGATTTTCCGCGATATATAACGTCTAATACCTATTGTAACACCTTCATTTCTATTTAAAGATATTTTCGGGACTGCAGTTCTGAGGCGCTTTCTGACTGTGGGGAGCCGGGCAGTGCTGCTTTAGTGTGTGCCTTGGAGGCGCACCCTGTTTGGCGAGTCATGCGTCAGTCGGGTAGCTTGACGTGGCCCTTCAGGTCCTATTACTTTACCATGTCACGGATAGAGACAAGACAATGCTTTTTTTATGAGGACAATCTCACAACACTGGGGCTCGCACCGACATTTCTTCAACCGCGGTGACCTGTGCCTATTGTTACCGCTCTGCCATGCGTGGACGTTGCACTGGGGGTAAGCATTCTTCCACTAACGGAGGTGTTTGTTTTTGACGCCCCACTGAGCAATATTCCAGCCATATGACGGTTCCCCGACTATGATGAGGTGAAAGTATTCACTATGAAACATACACGTGCGGGCGTGTCAGGACTAATGCTGGTTTTTATAGTGCTTAACCCATTGTCGCAGTTTAACATGGATACCCCACTCAGACAATGTATATTGACTCCGAGCCGACCAGTCCTTGCTTTTCTCCACCAATGCCGAGCGCCAGGCAGGGTATCAACAAGTACCATTTTTAACGTCTGTGTGTATGACGCGACCGAGGATGGAAGCACCGACCTTCCGCTCTCCGGGCAGAGGCTCTATCATGTTTCATCACCGCCATCATGACGTTTACCGCTTTGGCGAAACCCACGAGAACGGGTATGGTGCTGACAAACCATAAATCATAATCAGAGTGATAGTGGGATTCGAACCAAAGATCAGGATCACGGTACGTCCAAAGGGACGCAACTCTGCATGGCGAGTTGCAGCGCCTGTGCTGACTGGGACCCCCATCACCTGTCGATCTGTACTTGACCGGAGCCGTCGGAGATGGGGCACTGTGTGGTCAACCCACCGGCACATACAGGGGTACGGACAGCCAATGGCCTTCAGTATCATGTGCAGAGTTGCGCCCCTTATCTATGCTTGGATACGCTGGACATGATAGATTTTACCGGTAATGATACCTGGTTCGTCAGCACCGTACCCGTGCTCGTGGGTTTCGCGCACCATTTCGCAGTTTCCTATCTATAAGCTATATTAAACACATAGAAATAGTACAAACAATGTTGAAAGCAGCGTTAAGTGCCTCATTCGGTGACTCACATGTACGGTAAACACAGCGAGATAAACCGTTCAAGGATAATATGAACTGCGCGACCATTTCATTTTCAACTGGTGCCTCGATCTTTTATCAGACCACGATGTCATGTTTCTTAAAGTGGTCGGAATACAAAGACTATCTCATCTCCCGTGCAGACAAACGACAACCGTAGTCCCTTTCTGACGCAGGGGATTTGAGCGATAGTAAATAGTTTGGTATCTATCAAGAATCAACTGGCCATTTGTTTACACGCTGTGGAGGAATATTCCGTTCTGCCAGGACGGGATGAATTTAAATATAATTTAAACTGCCGGGACAAATAATTAGACACTTATGTTTGACGATGGCTTAAGTGAAACACACAAAAAATGGTTTTTCGATGGTGATGTATTTGACACGCGTACCACAGCTGCGTTTTTAACCTTACGTTTGCAGTGTTTCGGCGACTGTTTACAACCTAGTAGCGTTTTGATAACGTTTGTAATGTTTTGGTGAAATCCAATTTTCAAGTGTATACTTTCTTTTGTCCTTCCTTTTGGGCACGCCAGAAACCTATGATTGTGGGTTCGAATCCCGGTTCGCCCCGATTATGTTTCTAGGTTTGTCAGCACCATACCCGTGCTCGTGGGTTTCACCGAAGTGGTAAACGTCTAAGACCTGCATCACTTCGGGCTTTCCTCCCACATTATGCTGACACGCCGCGATATAACTGGAATACTGTTAAAAGCGGCGTTAAACCCAACTCACTCACTCACTCTTTTGCCCTTCAGTTCATAAACATGTTGTGGATAGTCTGTATGTGGGTGATAAGGGGTCGTATTGGTGTCGTACCTGACCCCCCGGGTTGACGATGTCTGGTCCCGGGGGTGGGGCTTTGAAGTGCTGCCACTGGAGCCCATGTGGAAGATGAACTTGATGTCCTTGGTAGGGTATTTCAGAAAAAGGTATCCCTGGGTAGGAGATTCCGGGTAGAGTATTCCTGGGGAGAATATTCCGGACAGGTATTCCTACGTAGAATATTCTGGGTAGGTGTTCTTGGGTATTCCTGGTTAGGATATCCGGGTATGTATTCCTGGGTAGGGTATTCTCAAGTCGAGTGTTCCGGGTAGATATTCTTGGGTAGGTATTCCTGGGATAGTATTCCGGATAGGGATCTCTCAAAAGAATATTCTGGGTAGGTATTCTTGGATAGGGTATCTAAAAATGTGTTCCTGGGTAGGTATTCTTGGGTAGGGTATCCGAGTAAGTGTTCCTGGGTAGGGTATCCGAGTACGTGTTCCTGGGTAGGTATTCTTGGATAGGGTATCCGAGTACGTGTTCCTGGGTAGGTATTCTTGGGTAGGGTATCCGAGTACGTGTTCCTGGGTTGGGTATTCTGGGTAGGTACTCCTTGATAAATATGTCAGTTTGTCAATCAATCAAACTGCGTATGTCCCGGGCGCGTATCACAGATAAACCAACAGTCCAGGACAAATGTCCTTAATATTCGAGAATAATCACAGCAATACTCCTCAACATTCCATAGATCCTTGAGTCCATTCGAACGATCTCAGACTCCTTGCGTAAGGTTGTGATCCTAAGTTCTTGGCAACTATGTCCGGATATATACTTGCGTTGTTCTATTTTCATGTCTGTGAATCACAGACTAGGAAAAACACTTCCATGCTGACGTCCACGAGGAATGGTGACTATAGGACAAACACACATACGCTATCACGCGAACCCTTGTCTGCCCACAGCACCGTATCAAGCAAACTTTAGCTTACCGTTCTCTGTCACTGAACATAAACACACCACTCAACTCCCTACCTGCTGCAGGCGATTTGGAACGCCCCGACCAGATCGACCATATCATTGGGGAAAGGACTATAACATTGTGTTGTGGTGATATAACTGTACCGCATAAGCTGGATAATGGTGCGTTGATTGTAATAGTCCATTCTCCGCAATAATCAGATTTGAATCGCCTGAATGGACTCTACATATGTCCAGACTTGACGAGACGGTGCGGTGTTCGGTGTTGCCCGCAAGGTAACCAGTTCGAGACGTTTGATATATGACAGGCTACGTGTTCGTTGCCCCACGCGAGAGCTGATTGAAGACTTGCTATTACTCCTAAATTGTTCTCGAGATGTATGCCACAATATCAGTCAAGCGAAGGAGATTGATAGGTCAATAAGCAATAGATTTGTCGGAAGTGGTGGGGAATACCGCTGTGATTGCTCTGTTATTAAGATAGTCGTCTGTTAGTTGGTCGGGCGAGGAGGGAGTTTTCATGAAGCCCTCCGTCACTATTGAGAATCTTGAAGTGGGTCTCACAAAGCTGTCTGTATTATTACATCTTTAAGCTGAGTCTCATGTAGAGTGAGAGCTGTTCTACGCCGCTTGTAGCAATATCATGTCGGGGGACACCAGAAATGGGCTGAACACATTGTACCCATGTGGGAAAGTGAACCCGGGACTTCGGTGTGTCGAGGGAACGCTTTAACCACAAGGCTACCCCGCCACCCCTCTCTTGTAGAAGTTTGGGTTGCTCTGCATTATGGTTTCACGTGGCAGTATATTATCTGTTTTCAAGACGGTTTGACTACGTTCACTCGCCAACATTCCACGGCGTCGGAACTGCGTTCACTCGGCAACATGTCAGCTGTTTTCATGACGGTTGGAATGCGTTCACTCGGCCACATGTCAGCTGTTTTCATGACGGTTGGACTGCGTTCACTCGGCAACATGTCAGCTGTTTTCATAACGGCTAGACTGCGTTCACTCGGCAACATGTCAGCTGTTTTCATAACGGCTAGACTGCGTTCACTCGGCAACATGTCAGCTGTTTTCATGACGGCTAGACTGCGTTCACTCGGCAACATGTCAGCTGTTTTCACGACGACTCGACTGCCTTCAGTCGGCAACATGTCAACTGTTTCATGACGACTGGACTGCATTCACTCGGCAACATGTCAGCTGTTTTCATGACGACTGGACTGCGTTCACTCGGCAACATGTCAGCTGTTTTCATGACGGCTGGACTGCGTTCACTCGGCAACATGTCAGCTGTTTTCATGACGGCTGGACTGCGTTCACTCGGCAACATGTCAGCTGTTTTCATGACGGCTAGACTGCGTTCACTCGGCAACATGTCAGCTGTTTTCACGACGACTCGACTGCCTTCAGTCGGCAACATGTCAACTGTTTCATGACGACTGGACTGCGTTCACTCGGCAACATGTCAGCTGTTTCATTACGACTGGACTGCGTTCACTCGGCAACATGTCAGCTGTTTTCATGACGGCTAGACTGCGTTCACTCGGCAACATGTCAGCTGTTTTCATGACGAACCCACAATCATAGGTTTCTGGCGTGCCCAAGGGACGCAACTCTGCACAGCGAATCGCGGCGCCTTAGACGACTGGGCCACCCATGCCCCCCAAGGAACGATGACGGGCAAGCGGCAAAAGATGATAGCTTCACTGGTTGTGGCTTTGTTGATAGTTCAACGTTTTCAGTCCTCTCCAACCTGCTTTTAAATGAATATGTGATCTACTTCCGGTTGTTTTACTGTCCTTTTGTTGACTTGATTCTATTTCGATATAAAGTTTCCAAATGCTGAAATACTGACTTACAGTTTTAACTCCCTCCGTCTGACGACTCAGTCGCCATTGTGAACACCTGATCCCCAATTCAGTTGACTGATACCGTTATTAACTTCTTCCATGAAGAACCCCATGGGGATTCGGGTTAGAATGTATCCATGGCAACCTATGCTGGATGGATCAAATGGGTCGATTGGTCAGACTCAGTGACGTGGTTGATGGCGTGTCATCGTACCCCGACAGCGTGGATCGATGCTCATAATATCGATCACTGGGTTATCTGGTTCAGAATCAAATATTAACAGGCTGCGGTCATACAACTGGAATATATTCCTGTGGAAAAACAAAACAAAAAAACGATTAGGAAATATTCTGATTACAACTTGATATTGACGAGATATGTCCTAGTAAATGTGTTAATCTCCGCACATCGGTACACAGAAAGGTCTTTGTTTGTTTGTTTGTTTGTTTGTTTGTTTGTTTGTTGCACCCAGCAATATGTCGACAGTCAGTAAATAATCAAGTCCGGACCAGACAGTTCAGTGATTGACACCCGATCTCATTAGTCGCCTCTTACTACAATCATGGATTGGCGGGGACCTATTCTAAACCCGGATCTTCGCGAGGATTGTGTCATTAGAGACAAACCGACGCCAGAGGTCATGATCGAGTCAATACCCACCGGTGGCGACACTACATGCGTAAATTGGTACCTGAATGTCCTCTATCTGTGACATTCAGTTGAGACAAACGTGTTAAGCTAACACATGGACAGATTGATCTGGATGATTGCGACAATAGCATATGACGTCACAGATGACGTAGCGATAATAGCGCTTGAACATATCAACTCAGTGACACATCTCGTGGCCAGTGGTAATGACAGCACCTGTCGTGTATCCAAGACTGGTCAATAAATACGATATCATTCTCCACGGGAATTCTTGCACAAATCAAACTGAAAAGCAAATTGTCAATACTTCACAGGTTCGTACTCATGGAGGAGCGTAGTGCATACATGCTCGTGAAGAATGACACCCAGTCGGGACGGAAGAAGGGCGTGAACTGACTGTTGATCTGTTTTAGTTACAGAATAAACTGCCAAGCAAAACAAGCATACACCAATGTTTGATAGTGGCTAAAAATAAAACAAACAAGAAATGGTTACTTGATGGTGATGTATTTGATACGGGTATCACAGTTTTAGACCTTACGTTTGCAATGTATCGGCGATTGGTTTCAGCCTTGTAACTGTTTGTTTGTTGGATGGTGTGTTTGTCGTTTAACGCCGCACTCAGCAATATTCCTGCTATATGACGGCGGTCTGTAAGTAATCGAGTCTGGACCAGACAATCCAGCGATTGACAACATGAGCATCGATCCACGCAGTTGGGATCGATGACATGCATCAACCAAGTCTAGTGAGTGGTTTTACGTCGCTTTTGGCAATATTCTCGCAATATCACGGCGGCGGGCACCACCAGAAATGGGCTTTACACATTGTACGCATGTGGGCAATCGAACCCGTGTCTTCGGCATGGCGAACGATCGCTTTAGCCACTAGGCTACCCCATCGGTCCTGGTTCTGAGAAGAAGGTGTACATGCATGTTCTAAGGGTCTTCTTAAGGCCGCGGGAAGCAATATCACAGCTATATGACGGCGGCCCGTACAAATCCGGACCAGACACACAAACCAGCGATGCATTTAGTCGCCACATGCGACTAACATAGGGTGTTGGGGGCCAATATTAAACCGGACCCCGCATGGAATGCATGTTCTAAACATGTATATAGGGCCAGAATACACCGCCTTTAGCTGCAAATCCTACCTCAGGCTGTACAAGAAACAGATTATCGCGGACCAAGTCTACGTTGTAACAATATCCGGGTCTTGACTGCTCAACGCTGCATCAAACCGAACTCACGCACTCACTCACTCACTCGACTTTCCTTTATCCCTCAGAAATATACTGAACAAAAGAGTTAGGGATCACGAATACTGTTTTGTAGTGAAGACAGAGCAATTTCATATATCCCCTAAAATAACCATGATCCCTAACATTTTTAGTCCAGTATATGCTAGCCTTTTGTGGTAAGTTAATTCTCAATTTGCACATGCCAATTCGTAACGGGTTTTTCTTTGTACTTAACTTTTGTATTCATGGATTGTGTCAGTTATATTCTACAGCTGGTCTTTAAGGCGATCAGGGTGCTATCGTTTGGATGCAAAGGGGTTTAATTCGAGAGCCGAGATAAGCCAAAGCCAGCTGTTTTTATTCCGTTGGAGTCATGTAGTTGTAAGACGAGAAAGAAATGGCACCAAAGACGCAAATCACAAATAAAGAGAGTGAGTAGGGTTTTACGCCGTTTTTTACCAATATTCACGCAATATCACGGCGGGGGCCACCAGAAATGGGCTACATTGTACCCATGGTGATCTTTGGCCTCGGGCGTTCGGTGTGACAAGCAAACCCTTTAATTGGTCACCACATCAGCCATATTTATATCCTTACTCAGACCTTTTCGTTTAAAATGTTATGCGAATTTATATGTTTTAAGTTTTAACCTTGATTCGACCTTTGCTTATGGCCTTTCTCATCCCTTTTGTTCAAAATGTAATATTTTTTTAATTTGAAGTTTACACGACATACGGCTTTTCTATTTGACGAGAGGTCGGTCACATGACCGCGAAATTGACTTTCATTTAAGAAATGAACGTCAGTTTGGATGGGTTCATTGAAGTGTGAACCATTTAAAAGCTCTGGTTAAACTATGTGAACCTCCGAGCTTGCGACGTTCATAGTTTGGCCCTCACTCTATGAAGGTTTATACTCCAATGAACTCACACAAAGTGAAGGTACATTCTTAAATGAATTTTTGTATGTTTACGTTATATTCGACCTTTGCTTTTGTACGATACTCATACACTTCTCAAAATGCAACTCATTGCACTGTAAAGAACCTCAAACAAGCTGACACTAGCCATGCTTCTTCCCAACAATGAAGGCAGCAAAACTTCCACATAGTGTTGAAATCCGATTTTCAATATGGCCGCCACAGCCATGTTGAACAATTTATGACCATTTCTCCCTTTTTTGTTCAATGTGTATAATTTGTAGTGGGATTCGATCTATGTGTTCCGTTTCTCGCAATTTCATAAATATGGACATTAGGGCTGGGACGAGTCCAAATTTACTACCGGGTATCCACCCCTTTATTACCCGACCCTACCCGGGTACCCACTGTAGGTCTCAAGAGATAGGTACAAACTGTCCGATTGGGAAAAGTTTGACCGTAGCTCTGGTAAAATGTGTTTAGATACATGTATAAAACGATCTGGTGTATACACTGAAGTTGACTGAAGTTTTATTTTATTCAAACATTTATAAGTCAGAAGGAATGGGCGTAGTAGTCAGGAAGACCTGCGAACATTAGTGATTTGTAGTTTAAACATGGTTTTAGATATTTTGTGTCATTGAACAATATATCACGTGGTTAACCATGGACCGGGTAGTCCTGTGGGTATCCCGGTCCAACTCAGTGCCCACCCGACCCCAGTACCCGAGTTACCCATCCCAGCCCTAGTGGACGTTGCCTTTCGAGAATGCTCTTATATTCTCAAAAGGCATATGTGGTAAACTTGATGGAGCAGAACACTGGCGTGAACTTTTCTTCTTGGGATTTTTGTGGCAGACAATTTCCATTTTTTTCAACAGTCTGAAGTATAATTATATTTTTAAAGAATGTTCGAGAAAAATAATTTTTGTCGATATGTCTCCGGGCAGACAAGACCATGCAGTAGTGGTCAGTTACATGTGCCATCAGCAGATACGATCGGCTTGTACGCACACCGGAGACATGAGGTGAGGTGAGGTGAAATGGGGTTTAACGTCGCGTCCAAAATTATTGCACTTATATAGCGACGTGCATGTACGTGTGTGTGTTTGTGTGGCTGCTTGTACTAGTCCGGACTGATGCCGATTTATAGTGCTAGCACACTGAGATACCATGCCGCAGTTTAACATGAATACCCCACTTAGACACAGTATACTGACTCCGAGCCGACCAGCCCTTGTTTTAGCCCCTTTATGCCGAGCGCCAGACAGGGTAACAACAAGTACCATCTTTTAACGTCTTTTGGTATGACGCGGTCGGGGATCGAACGCCGGACCTTCCGCTCTCCGGGCGGGCGCCCTACCACTAGACCACGGAGGCGGTCGGTGTGTACATGAACGCCCAGCATGAAAATCCCACACATCGTGCTACTTTTCATTGCGTGTTCAACATACAAAGAATTATTGTGGTTATTTGTGTTTGACAATTAAATCAAATCTATCTTGTGACCGTTTCAAAACAATCAGTGCAGTAATTTAAAGTGGAACAGGGCTATTTTCACGTGACAACCAAGTGACCCACAGCAACCATTATGACGTCGTCACATCCTTACACGCTTACCATCAGACGGCAGCTGACCAATGAAATATCTATATTCACATATGCTGTTGGCCATGTTGTTTGTAACCGGAAGTACTGTAATAAAACAGCGTAATGCCTCGCGTAGTCCTGTGACGTACTTCCGGGCCCTATACTAACCGAAATCCCCACCATGCTGTCACTCATCGTCACCTGCCAGCTTCCAAATCCTCATCTAGCATGGGTTCCTTATGATTTAGGCCTGGAATCCCGACTGAGTTATGCTGTGCTAAGTAATAGTTATTTTCACCGTGCATGTCCTGTTAAAATGCCCCTTGCCTTAATATAATTAGCCTGTCTCCATCTGTCTGTCAGACAACATGACTGACCAATTAGAAGTCAGAAGGCACACACAAACGGCCATTTTGTCAGACATTTCAAACCTGTCAGACTTTTATCAGGTCAACTTTCAGGCAAATACAGGCTTTTTTTCAAAATATAGATTTTGTACATGTAATCGCAAACCACATGTAATTAAACAAGTTTGAGCAAATAAAAAAAACATGACTGATGAATGTATACACAGTGCTTGGGTGGCTCATCAGATCAGATCACTGAATTTCCGGTGCCTCACACGGAGAGTGTGGGTTCGAATCCCAGGAGGGACTCAACCCCCCAAAAGTACTAGAATTTCTACATTTCTAAGAAAGTGTTATCCCAAATATAACATTTGTTACATGACTGATGAAGTAGACAAATGCATATATTTTTTTAAAGTGTTTCTACAATTATTGGACCAGTGCAGATCCAGGTAGACAATAGGTCTTCAGCAAACCATGCCTGCCGATAAAAGGCGACTACGCTTGTCGTAAGGGGCGACTAACCGGATAGGGTGGTCAGGCTTGCAGTTGGTTGTGGCATGTCATCATATCTCAATTACGTTGATCGATGCTCATGATGTCAACCACTGAATTGTCTGATCCAGACTCGTTTATTTACTGACCGCCGCCATATACTAAAATATTGCTGAGTGCGGCGTTAAACAACACAAACAAACAAACAACAATTATTAAATTATTGATACAAATACTTCAATCATGGTCGGTCCATCATGATGTGGAAAACTTCAGCATGTCCGGAAGTCATATTTTCAGAAGTATTCAGTTAAAACAAACGTCCATGTCTATGTGGATAGGTTAATTCAGCATTAGAAATTGGCATTAGTCCTGTAGTCCTTGCCAAACTGCTCAATAGTTAAGGTATCATTAGGACCTGTAGAAATCTGCCATTTTTAAGGGTTTTGCTATATGTTAGTTTCTACCACTGGTTAATTCATAGAATCAAGAAGCCATTGTATCAGAAATCAATAAAATACACAAATGAATGACTTAATGACATTTATTATACAGACATAAAAATAAAACAGCAGCCCCATTAGACAAATACACCACCACTTCATAAAGATTGAATGTTTACATGAAAAAGTCTTTGTCCGATGCAATTCCCTATTTTGACCTGTATGAATATTTCAGTGTTTTTCCAGTTGAACATTTGACCTGCCCTGTGTTTGTGATGTGTGCCACCGGTGGGGCAGGATATATTCACCTTTTCGTGAAAACATTTTAAAATCACTATTTGATAGTGATTAAAAAAGACAGGCTTATGATGTAGTCAAAATCGTAAATCGACTCCGCTTTTAGATGATTTCTGATGATAATGGAAATATTTTTTGTCGCTTCTTATTTGAAATAACTTAAACCCAATTCCCAGCCCAAACAACCTTGAGGACCATTTGGTGATGACATCCATCCAAGATTTTCTCCATGTGAGTTAAAAAGTCCCATACTGGATTCATCTCTTTAAAATCCAATCAATCGTTGTAACAATGGTGTCTTGCTCAGAAGTCCTTCTTCCCTCCGAGGCCATGTGTGAAGTCCCAGTGGGCCCGCCACTCGTCTGCCCCAAGCAGCGCCCTCTGTGTGTCCCAGCCCTGTAGCTCCACCTGGTGGAGGAGTGCAGGAGCCATGGCCGCCACCTTGTAGGAGACCTGCAGGATCTTGTGTATGTTGTCTGGGGAGAAGAGTGAGTGAGTGAGTATGGTTTTATGCCGCTTTTAGCAATATTCCAGCAATATCACAGCGGGGGACACCAGAAATGGGCTTCACACATTGTACCCATGTCAGGAACACTTTAACCACTAGGCTACCCGACCGCCCAGCTCATAAAGTATTCAGGACTCGTGTGGTCAGTATGACAGTTACACCATTGCAGCTCATAAAGTATTCAGGACTCTAGCGGGTATTATGACAGTTACATCATTGCAGCTCATAAAGTATTTAGGACACTAGTGGGTATTATGACAGTTACACCATTGCAGCTCATAAAGTATTCAGGACTCTAGCGGGTATTATGACAGATACACCATTGCAGCTCATAAAGTATTCAGGGCTCTAGTGGGTATTATGACAGTTACACCACTGCAGCTCATAAAGTATTCAGGACTCTAGTGGGTATTATGACAGTTACACCACTGCAGCTCATAAAGTATTCAGGACTCTAGTGGGTATTATGACAGTTACACCACTGCAGCTCACAAAGTATTCAGGACTCTAGTGGGTATTATGACAGTTACACCATTGCAGCTCATAAAGTATTCAGGACTCTAGTGGGTATTATGACAGTTACACCACTGCAGCTCATAAAGTATTCAGGACTCTAGTGGGTATTATGACAGTTACACCACTGCAGCTCATAAAGTATTCAGGGCTCTAGTGGGTATTATGACAGTTACACCATTGCAGCTCATAAAGTATTCAGGACTCTAGTGGTTATTATGACAGTTACACCACTGCAGCTCATAAAGTATTCAGGACTCTAGTGGGTATTATGACAGTTACACCACTGCAGCTCATAAAATATTCAGGACTCTAGTGGGTATTATGACAGTTACACCATTGCAGCTCATAAAGTATTCAGGGCTCTCGTGGGTATTATGACAGTTACACCATTGCAGCTCACAAAGTATTCAGGACTCTAGTGGGTATTATGACAGTTACACCATTGCAGCTCATAAAATATTCAGGACTCTAGTGGGTATTATGACAGTTACACCACTGCAGCTCATAAAGTATTCAGGACTCTAGTGGGTATTATGACAGTTACACCACTGCAGCTCATAAAGTATTCAGGACTCTAGTGGGTATTATGACAGCTACACCATTGCAGCTCACAAAGTATTCAGGACTCTAGTGGGTATTATGACAGTTACACCATTGCAGCTCATAAAGTATTCAGGACTCTAGTGGGTATTATGACAGTTACACCATTGCAGCTCATAAAGTATTCAGGACTCTAGTGGGTATTATGACAGTTACACCATTGCAGCTCATAAAGTATTCAGGACTCTAGTGGGTATTATGACAGTTAAACCACTGCAGCTCACACAGTTTTCAGGTCTGTAGAAGGCAAAGCAATGGTTGAAAGAGTGGTGTGTGTGTGTGTTTGTTGTTTAACGCCGCACTCACCAGTATTCCAGCTATATGACGGTGGTCTGTAAATAATCGAGTCTGGACCACACAATCCAGTGATTTACATCATGAGCATCGATCCACATGTGATAGTTTAGAACTATCTAGGATATACAACTATGCTTCCCCTACATCTTGGCAGACCCGTGAAGATCCGGGGTAGAATAGGTCTTCAGCAACCCATACTTTGCAAGTAGGTGACTATGCTTGTCGTAAGAGGCGACTAACGTCGGGTGGTCAGGCTCACTGACTTGGTTCATACATGTCATCCATCCCAATTGCATGGATCGATGCTCATGACATCAATCACCGATTTGTCTGGTCCAGACTCGATTATTTAGACCCTCGCATATTGCTGGAATATTGCTGAGTGCGGCATTAAACAACAAACCCTCCAACTAACCAACCCTACATCTTGGCAAGTGTTACGCTCACCTTCCATCATGCCAGCAGCAATTTCCTGCATTTCTATACTGAGGTTCTGAAACAAAAATGAGTATGGACAACAGCCATTGAAAACTATTGTTATGGGTAAGTGTATGCAAATACCAACATTCCATTTATCAAGTATATATGAAGTTCATCATGGTCATATTCCAGTAACACCTCACATATGAGGCAAGCCTCAATATCTCAAACATCATAGGTGTGATTACATGTCTAGTAGCTTGTACATTCGTCACCACTCACCCCTTCGCAAGAAGACTCGTCCCCCTATCGATGAATCTTATGTGCGCAATTATGACAAACCAATCAGAATGTGCATATGATTTCAAATACTCCGTCAAAGAATCCCTTAGTAATAGTTTTTGATTTTACATATGTCTAAAAATATACTCAAGACACAGTTAAAAGTTTTTAATCATTCTGTATAATTCCGATGTGCTTTAAACTGCATCTGAAATATATATAATATATGGGGAAATAAATGTGAACCATTACGCAACCAGCTGACAATTGTTTTAGGTATGCCCGTTAGCGCTAAGACGGAACCCAGTCGCAAAAATGGCCATGAGAGGGGCATTAGTCGCTGTTCGGCTTGTCCCGTAATAACACGAGTTAGTCACGAATGGTAGCTTGTAGAAACCCTATTCAACATAATAGTTTAAAATAATCTTTCGCCAATCTCATTAAAATCAGACCTTAGTTCTCGCTACCGCTAAACAAAGATCTGAAGACATCCCATTAGGGGTCATGTCAGAACGACCTTTCATCCGACCAATCAGTGTGTTGCTTACCCGATTATGAAAGTGACAGTCAGAATGTGATTTCTAATCATGCAATCTCGAAAACTTTAACATGGGGTATTCCGAACGATAGTTATGGGTTTAATGACTGAATCCTTACAATCTAAACCATCTATTAGCCATTCCAAAATGGGTTTTTTGTTCAGGTTTCAAATTTGTAATCGAGAATATGTCAAAATATGTCTCGAAGCGTAGTCGCCAATTTGAAATTTGTGCCATAAAGCACGAGAAAGCTGCCTTCTGATTGGTCATTCCATTGGTCGGTCAAAGTTCGCGCAAGGTCGGTCTGACGTGACCCATAATGGGATGTCCTCAGATCTTTGTTTAGCGGTAGCGAGAACTAAGATCTGATTTTAATGAGATTGATCTTTTGCTTACATCATATTGACAAAGTGAAGTGAGAAGCTACTGCACCTGTCTGTCATGGAGGTTATTAGCGACATACTCCAGCACCTCAGCCTGTACCAAACTCTGGATCTGGTCTGTGACAGTGCTGTCATCATGGAGGACGATGTACACACAATCTGGAACACATGACAAGCCTGATAGTGCAGCTGTTGCATGAAACATTCTGCACTTTGTGATAAAAGCATGAAATTTGGCACAGTTATAGGTAATGACATTCCAAATATTTTCAGATATGAGGCCACCTAAAAAAATCCAAAATGGCCACCAAATCCAATATGGCCACCAAGGAAGAATGAAATTCTAGTATATCGCATGTGAACATGACCCACAACCGAAATATATTATCAAAAATGAACATGTTGGAATGTACTTAGCCAACACTACATCTGTTAAGTTAATAAGTTTATCATAATAGACTATTTATGTTGATTTAGGTAATTATTATGTCTGGTTCTGAACACAGCCAGGACGGTCACCTTGCTACATACACAAAGTTTCATCTTAACAAAAACGTTATGGTTTTGGACGACAGTTGATATGGTGCTTAAGTGTTTTCCAGCCACTCAGCAATTTTCCAACTAGTCAAACACCGTTGTGTCGAACTTTGATGTGTCAAACTTACAGTTGTCTCAAAATTAAGAGCTTGGTCTTTCTTCTTTATAATATTTCCTTCAGATATAATTCTGATTTCGTTAAATCTCACGTTAAGTCTTATATGAGCTTGTGATGCAGAAATGTAAAATATGAGCTGTTTTGTTTTATTATGTCTATGTATTTGTACTTTTAATAATACATAAGTGGACACATATTTTGTATGTTAACTGATTTAATTAACTACTGTCACTGTTGCCAATAATGATCAATAATAAAAGTAACTTTGGACATTTATTTCATTTTCTCGTTGTTTGTTTCTCGCATATGTTACATGCTTTTCATTCTTTATCCAAATCGGTAAAAGTATGCCAATTTGTTTTCCAATTTTGTCAAACCTCAGATAACACGAAGTATTAACGTAGGTCCCTTTAACTTCAACTCAACAGTGTTTGACTCAAAGTGACGGTGGCTTGTTAATAATCGTGTCTTGACCAGATAATTCAGTGATAGAATCACGCTAAGTATTTAGATGTGTCCAAAAATGTGGATAAGTAAAAGTTTTCTCTGGTCCCTTTGAGTTTGACACAACTGTTCAACTATATATAAACAGAAACTAGAAGATGAGTTATTTGGTTTTACGCCGCTATTTGTAATATTCCAGGAATATCACGCCAGGGGACACCAGAAATAGGCTTCACACTCTGTACCCATCGGGAATCGAACCTGGGTCCTTGACGTGATGAGCAAATGCTTTACCATGACGCTACCCCACTGCCCATCCACGAGATAAAAATTATTAACATTGTATGAGAGAGAATTTATGGATGTCAACTTCTTTCTTATGACAAACACAACGTTTTGCTTACTCCTTCATCAGGCGTTCATACAAAATTAACATGGAGATAATGCAGTGAAAATAAATTCCCCTATCAACTGTGATTAAAGGGCGAGCGAGTGAGTGAGTGAGTGAGTGAGTGAGAGTGAGAGTGAGTGAGTGAGTGAGTGAGTGAGTGAGTGAGTGAGTGAGTGAGTGAGTGAGTGAGTGAGTGAGTGAGTGAGTTGGGTTTAACGCCGCTTTTGACAGTATTTCAGTTATATCACAGCGTGTCAGCTTAATGTGGGAGGAAAGTCCAAAGTGATGCAGGTCTGAGATGTTTACCACTTCGGTGAAACCCACGAGCATGGGTATGGTGCTGACAAACCTAGAAACATAATCGGGGCGAACCGGAATTCGAACCCACAATCATAGGTTTCTGGTGTGCCCAAGGGACACAGCTCTGCGCTGCAAATCATAGCGCCTTAGACGACAGGGCCACCCGTGCCCCCAGTAAATTAAAGTGAAAAATATTATTGCGAGTTTTTTTGCGAACATAAATTATCCGAGATACAATTAGTAAATTTCCAAGAGAGAGAAATTAATACTATTCGTAGAAAGTATTAACATGTCCAAGTGAAAGAGATGAAATCACATGCTCCGTATTCAGGCTTGCAAAACAAACCTATTTGGGGGCGTGGCCTAAAGCTACCAGCGCAGCAGAGACAACTGTTTTCACTGGCTGTCACATTTGCTGCATTTATCTATCCAGTGATTATTTAGCCATTATACATTTAGTGTTTCTGCTGTATCTGTTAAACAAATAACAACATTGCATACATTGTTGAATGTGTGAAACAACCCTTCATCTTGACACTATGAATAGTTAACATAACAATTAAAGATCAGTAATTAGAGGTTTAATACACACATCCTGTTTGGGTAATAAAACAACAGCTGCCTTCGGCCCTATTCCACACAATAAATGCCTGTCAGGGATTATTCCCCTGAGTAAACAACTGAAGACATCTTCAATGTTGTTAAGGTGACATAATTTGTGGATATGGTAATCCAATGGATGAGCTGACAGAAAAGAGAAACCTGAGGCAGAAGCCCAATTGTCATTAGCTTTGAAATTGCACAGGGGGTCAAACACTGGGAACTGTCTTTACCTCGAGGAAGGAGATTCCCCGCAGTGGCGGAATTTTTCATTTGGGTCGTTTTTTTATGCTGTTTTATGCTATTTCCGTTTTTCAAATTTGGTCAAGCATTTCTGATTAAGTATGCCCTAAAGTATAAAAATTTGCAAAGTTGCTATGTTGACATTGAAGTAATGATGTTTATGGTACTCACTTTTATATGTGTTGAGCGCTAACATATAGCGTCCATGTCTGTATATACTTTCTAACACATCCAGATCATGCATTCTGAAACCAACAACAATGAATATAACCTGGGTACTTCACTGGTGAGTACCTGGGTCCTGGAATAGGAATGTACTCAGTCATACCACAGCGGCCTGTAGTCAGCAATATTACAGTTATACCACAGCGGCCTGTAGTCAGCAATATTACAGTTATACCACAGGGGCCTGTAGTCAGCAGTATTACAGTTATACCACAGCGGCCTGTAGTCAGCAATATTACAGTTATACCACAGGGGCCTGTAGTCAGCAGTATTACAGTTATACCACGGGGGCCTGTAGTCAACAATATTACAGTTATACCACAGGGGCCTGTAGTCAGCAGTATTACAGTTATACCACAGCGGCCTGTAGTCAGCAATATTACAGTTATACCACAGGGGCCTGTAGTCAGCAGTATTACAGTTATACCACGGGGGCCTGTAGTCAACAATATTACAGTTATACCACGGGGGGCCTGTAGTCAACAATATTACAGTTACCGTATTTGACGTAATAAGCGCCCAGGGTGCTCTCAAAATTAGAAATAGGGGGCTCTTATTAGAAAATTATTATGGTGAAAAAGACAGAGTTGAAAGATAAATTTCGTGGTTTATGCTGACAGCCTGAAATGTTTATATACGAGGGATACATTTTTCCAGAATTTAAATACCCATAATTAAGGGTGCATATAACACACGAGTACGTATTATACGCGAATAAATGTGTTGTGTACATTGATCAATCGGAAGGGGTGCTAATTGGTATTGTTCACTAGCCAACATATTCGCAAATATTGCCGTGGGCGCTTATTAGAGCAGGGCGCTTATTACGTCGAATACGGTATACCACAGGGCCCTGTATTCAGCAATATGAGCCTTTATAAGAATATATAAGAGTAGTAGCCTTTAGCAGTTTGGGCTAAATCATCAGGCCCTTAAGGCAACCAAACTATTACACTATCTTGGCGTTCTTAATAAGATACTTACTTTTTACAAACATCACTTAAAGATGACCCCAGTCTTATAGCAATCTTTCTTTTTATTGCTAAAAACAAGAAAGACAGATGATGAAATAAACTATTTTAGTATGCATTTAGTGATAAAATACTGTATTTATCTAAAAAACATGAAATGGACGAGTCTTTCAGCGCTTGTACAAGTCCAGACTTCTGCCAGTGTTGTAGGGCTAGCTCAGACATTATACCGACCCAAGGCAACCAGTCCTTGTTATATCTCCTAAATGCCAAGTACCAGGCAGGGTAACAACAATTACCACCAATAACGTCTTTTTGTATGATTAGGACAAGGAATCAAACTACCGACCTTTGGCTCACCAAGCATAGGCTCTATCAACTAAACCATGGAGGTAGTTTTGAAATATTTACTATGGCAACATGTTAGGTCCATCTTGTCACTGCCAGCTGTCTCTCAGTACCTCCTTGTGTTTTGCATCTGTACAAGCTAACCAGCTGACTTGTATAGGTTTTACGAAATGGTTACTAGCCAATCAGATTGCAGGCTGTTATGACAAGTTATGACACTACGCCTATGACTCTTGTTTCCACATGGACTTTGGCTTGATGTCCGCCACTCACCAAATATGACAGGTTCCTGTTTGTTTACTCTCCGGATGGATGGAATCTCAGCTGACTTGAAATATGACTGTAGTAGAATATGGAGACGGGCTTGATTTAACGTTTCCATGACAACTGATGTAACAGCTGAGTAGTTGGCATACAGATGAATGGCAGTAAATACCAGATATAACATCCATATCACGCTGAAACACAGAATGTAACATCCATATCATGCTGAAACACAGTATATAACATCCATATCACGCTGAAACACAGTATGTAACATCCATATCATGCTGAAACACAGTATGTAACATCTATATCATGCTGAAACATAGTATGTAACATCCATATCATGCTGAAACACAGTATGTAACATCTATATCATGCTGAAACACAGTATGTAACATCCATATCATGCTGAAACACAGTGTATGACATCCATTTCACGCTGAAACACAGTATAAAACATCCATACCATGCAGAAACACAGTATATAACATCCATATCATGCTGAAACACAGTATATAACATCCATATCACGCTGAAACACAGTTATAACATCCATATCACATTGCAACACATAACATCCATATCACGCTGAAACACAATATATAACATCCATATCACGCTGAAACACAGTATGTAACATCCATATCATGCTGAAACACAGTATGTAACATCTATATCATGCTGAAACATAGTATGTAACATCCATATCATGCTGAAACACAGTATGTAACATCCATATCATGCTGAAACACAGTATGTAAAATCTATATCACGCTGAAACACAGTGTATGACATCCATTTCACGCTGAAACACAGTATAAAACATCCATACCATGCAGAAACACAGTATATAACATCCATATCATGCTGAAACACAGTATATAACATCCATATCACGCTGAAACACAGTTATAACATCCATATCACATTGCAACACATAACATCCATATCACGCTGAAACACAATATATAACATCCATATCAAGCTAAAACACAGTATATAGCATCCATATCACACTGCAACAGTTATAACATCCATATCACGCAAAAACACAGTATACAATCTCATTAAAATCAGATCCTAGTTCTCGCTATCGCTAAACAAAGATCTGAGGACATGCCGTTACTGGTCACGTCAGAACGACCTTTTATCCAACCAATCAGCGCGTCGCTTACCAGATCATGAAAGTGACAGTCGGAATGTGTTTTCTAATCATGCAACCTCGAAAACGTCAACACGGGGTATTCCAAAAGACAGTTACGACCCGTACAACTGATTAGTCAAAATTATCGTCTATCTCGCTTCAGTGGGATAAAAATTTGAACGGAGGAGGCGTTGAACAGTATGTGGGGAGCATTGCTATACAATCTCAACCATATATTAGACATTCCGGAATGTTCGTTCATTCAGTTTTCAAAATATTAATAGAGAACTGTGTCAATATATTTTTAAAGCGTAATCTGAAATGGAAGTTGCCAGTTGCAACAAGTGCCGTAAAGCTCGAGAAAGCTGCTTTCTAACTGGCTGATGGCGATATCTTGTTGGTCATTTCAGAGGTCGGTCAAGGTTCGCAAAAGGCCGTTCTGATGTGACCCATAATGGGATGTCCTCAGATCTTTGTTTAGCGGCAGCGAGAATTCAGATCTGATTTTAATGAGATTGACACAGTGTATAGCTTCCATATCACACTACAACACAGTATATAACATCCATCTCACACTGCAACACAGTTATAACATCCATATCACATTGCAACACATAATATAACATCCATATTACACTGCAACACCATATAAAACATCCATATAATGTTGCAATACAGAATATAACGTCATATTTCACCAAAAAAACATATATTAAACACCATGTCACACTCCAACAAGATATGATTCCTCTACATAACAATGGAGCCCAGAAAGTAAAGAGAGAATACATGATATTAATAATAAGCTGTTTTTTTTCATTTACAAACACACAACACAAGAATTTACCAAGACAAATACTTACAACTGATGACCAGTTACCATGGGAACCAGCACAAGATTACATATAAGGGCTGCCAGATTTACAAGTGTTTCCTGCAAAAATACAAAAAGACTATCTCATAACCAACAGTTACACTGTGAGAAACAGCTTACTGTAACTGTCACACTTTGATATAAACACTGAAAACACACACACACTATTCTCCTTATCAACCAGTACCACCATCATCTCACATCACAAGGTGTAGGGTGTAGAAACCTTGCCTGGACCATCCTACCAACAGCCTCTCCTATTGTTGCTCGAACCATTTCTGTTCAAACTCAAATTTGGTTTCCATGACAACCATATCTGAAATCCTATTTTTCACAAGTGCTTCCCAATGAATGCAGATGAAACGTTGTAGCAGGCTTGTTGTCAGTGGGGTCTAAAATATGCCATACAATTTTGCAACTACTCAGACAATTATTACCCATTACAGCATTTTCACTTTGGAAATATGCTCTAAACATGTAGTAAAGGTATAACGGTTGAGTCAAGTTAAAAATTTATGATTTTGCAGTAAACAAAATATGTTATGCCTCACTTCCAACTAGATATATGCCAAATTTCAAAATATATGGCAATTAATGGGTTTTTTTCATTTGGCTGCCACAGTGGTCATGTTCAAAATCAGATTGGAACATCGTGAGCAGTGTTTAAGAGACACCACAGCTAGGATCATTCACCCAGGATTTCAGCTGCACAGACCTAGAGTTGCTGTTTCAGGGGAGATGGACAAGCGGTGAAGTAAGATTTTTGAGCATGACTCAGCCATTTCTTCATTTATCATTATGAAATTTGACATGAAGCAAGCATGTGGTATGCAGAATAACATGTTGGTTGGTTGGTTGGTTTGTTGTTTAACGCCGCACTCAGCAATATTCCAGCTATATGACGGCGGTCTGTAAATAATCGAGTCTGGACCAGACAATCCAGTGATTAATATCATGAGCATCAATCCATGCAATTGGGATCAATGACATGCATCAACCAAGTCAGTGAGCCTGACCACCCGTTAGTCGCCTTTTACGACAAGCATTGGTTGCTGAAGACCTATTCTACCCCGGATCTTCACGGGTCCAGAATAACATGTAAGACATTTTAGGGTACATTGTGAGTTTTGATCAAGTTGTGACCTTTGTTTTCAATATGGCCACATCTGTGCATAGCCATGTTTCAAATCGAATCAGTATTCTGCGAGGACAGCATAACTGGCTCCACAAGCCATGTAGTTTCATCATCATAGATGTGGAAAATGCAAAAGTGAACAACAACCGGATGACAGATTTTATGCCTCAACATGAGCTCACTTGACCTCCCTTGTTACGTCAGTTCCCAACAAAAATAAAAAGACGTCCCTTCTGCCTGAGGAACACTTTATTATCTATGCAATCTTAGCCATGACAGTAATATACTGCTCCACTTTAGATAGGGATATTTCTATCTTTCGATGAAACTGATATTTATACTACATCAAGTGTATACATATTTAAATAAAAGGACATAACTGACAGTGACGTCGCGATTCACTGGTACATCAGTGCATCGTCTGCAAACTTTGCGTGTTACAATACCTGATACACTTAATTGGGGATTGACTCACATTTAACCTCATATCAATTGTACATGTTGATCTCGCATCGATATCGATAAGCAAGTACAAACTATTTTTTTAATTCCTCATAACTTTCTTGGTCGTCTTTCGGATATGAAACCAGCTCAACAACAAGAATAACCAGCTTTTCATTATACAGCATGTAAACTTTAGTTCTTATTATTTTCTCCCACTTGATGATGACTTGACTCAGGCGTCATGTTGATGGGTATTTAACTTTATAAGTGAGTCTATGGACTCTATTCCCAGTCTATTGACTGGGTTTTCTTCTTTTATCAAATACGCCGAAGACCAGGGTTCAATTCCTGACATGGGTACAATGTGTGAAGCCCATTTCTGGTGTCCCCCGCCGTGATATTGCTGGAATATTGCTAGGAGCGGCATAAAACCATACTCCACTCACTCACTCTTTTATCATATCATGGCTCCTGATATGTATCGTACACTGTGACACCTGTACCGTGACATGCCTAATATCCCTATCAGCATCAGCAGCAGTTCCTCATCTGTTTCACGTCCTTGAAGCAAGAGCTTATTGTGTATGTTCTGGTCCATATCAATGACTACACAAATATCAAAACAGAACAATTCATTTCAAAAGATCTATTCATACAAAATATTTCAAATCTGACACCATTTGATCAACAAGGTAACATTACCTGGCTGCCATCTTTAGCTGACACGTCGGCCATGTTGTTTCTGCGAGCCTGATGCTGCGTGAGAGCGGCTCTAGTGGCGCCCCCTGCCACACCAACCACCGACTGCAAGCAAAGCCACCCTGGTGTTAGACACAGGCGTAATTACACAATAACGTGTTTCATTCATCTTCAAGTGACAGAATCTCGACATCTGCTACCTTCCACTGACCTTGCACACGCCTGCTACACACACAATGGGTGTGAAGTACTGCCGGGGGAAGTTCGGCGCCAGTATTTCCAGGAATATTGCGAAGTCATTCAGGATATCCGCAAACAACCTGTCAACACAGTAGACATGGTATCACATGGTGTATCCCTCATCTACAGCCTTCATAAAAGTCCTTAGGGAGAATCCATTTCATTTCCATCGGGGATGGGCGGATTTTTATATGAACAGTTTCTTGGCAGTGGTGAAAAAAATTGATATACCCCCCCCAAAAAACGTCAAAATTTGTGTGTTATTAGTTAAAATAAATCAATTGTTTGATGGATAAATAGTTTGGAAGAATGGATTGTTCTAAAAAAAAATCCCCTCACCCCCAATAAACATTATCAAAGCATAAAAGTCAAATGAATGCTCCCTAAAAGTAATACAGGTTTACTGCCAGAACGATTGACCAATATACATCTGTTGCGCAAGAAAATGGGCATCTTTGAGTGTTGACTTTGAACCATAATTTGAAAATTTTGAATATATTTCAATGTAATTCAAATAGATCCATTGTGACACAATGTGTGAGTCTCTGTATAAATATAAATCTGATTTGTATCTATACACCTGTTAATGTGAATAAGAAGATTTGAAAAAATAGAATATACATGGTATATGGTATAGTACGATTTATATCACAACTTTTGTATGAGTGCACACTCTTTATAGTTACACAGTGTAACTAAAGGAGAAAAGTAGTGACTGTGAGTGGGTCCCCCATTTTGAATAGTATTTCAGATATGTCAGCATGTGAGTGAGTGAGTGAGTGAGTGAGTGAGTATGGTTTTACGCCGCTTTTAGCAATATTCCAGCAATATCACGGCTGGGGACACCAGAAATGGGCTTCACACATTGTACCCATGTCAGGAATCGAACCCGGGTCTTCGGCGTGACAAGCGAACTCTTTAACCACTAGGCTACCCGACTGACCAGAATAACCTAAAGTGAAGTAAGTCTGACATTTACCACTTTGGTGAAACCCATGAGGTCATGTATGGTGATGAAAAACCATAAATAAAAATGAACTCAAATCTGGGATTCAAACCCAGGATCCTGGCATGCCTAAGGGACGTGATTTCAAGCTGAAGTAACAATTGGGCCACCCATTCCTCCACCTACAGAAGTAAAGTGTAATACAACTATGATTTCACTATCACATCAGCACTTAACATCTAATACAGGCTCCAACAAATTGATTATTTACATTTCGGAGATTTTTACCAAATGTGGAGAATGTCAACAGTTATTCCAACATGTTCTAAGATTATTCGGTATTTTCAATTTCTCATGGAATATCAACAAGTGGACATTGCTGTCTTCATGGTTTTTACTTATTGTTATGGCTATCCACATTTTTTGCAAGACAATGTTAGGCAAGGTAGTAACTAAATTGAACAACCTTTTCACGAAGAAAAGTATCATGAGATACCCAAACAAAAAAACAAATCATTAAGTCTTAGATCATACCTCCATCTTTTTGCATCACAGTCAAGATTTGTGCTGGAAACAAACAATAACATGAAATAGACACATGACCCAAATCCGAGCTTACATGTTGCATTTCATAAAGTTATAAAGACATTTATAAAGAGATTGTCTGACAGGTGAGCATGAGTATGGTTTTATACCACTTTTAGCAATATTCCAGCAATCAGGTATGTGAGCAGGTTTTCACGAAAAAAGAGGAAAAGTCTAGGGGGGTCTGGGATGCCCCCCCCAAAATGTTTTCAAACATTTGATTGCATTTTAAGCAATTTCGTGCAGTTTGGACAATATTCACACCCTGAAATATAAAAAGTCAATGGCAAAAATCAAAAAGTTAAATAAACAAAGATGGCGGATGCAGTAAAATTTTGAAGTTACATCAGTACTTTTAAAAAGCTTCCGCACACCCGGCTACCCGCCAGGTCTGGTAGCAATACTGCCATAAACTTCATCCCCCATCCCCCAGACACAAGGACAAATGTCACAAGCGTGCAATGTCTGACCCTTTCCCCATGTTGAAGCACATTGAAAAAAACTAACCTTGTACTCACTTACCTTTTGTTGAAAAAAACAAAACTCCATTGCAAACACAAGACATTAGTACAACATATATCCCTGTGTTATGGGTTTTCGGATGTTTTCTCGCTAATCACATGAACAACTGTAAATTCACTTATAGGCTAAAAGACAACTTTATCTTAAAAACAAGCCATCATCTGAGTATTTACAATTTGTGTGTGACGCCACACCCCACATTATAGTGCAAGTATTCGTGATAGAAAACGTATGATTTCCAAAAACCTATGATGCTGAAAGTTCTGATCGAAAACAGGACAATCCGCGACGGTTGTACGGTTTTCAATAACATTTTTCAGTGTTGTTTTTTTATCTTCGATTATATTTTAACGTGAAAGATGATTTTTTCCGAGGACTACTGATTTTAAAAAACTCAATTTTCCACATTTCCGCGGATATTTCTACCTCCAGGATTGACCCCTTGACTACACCAAGATTGACCTCTTGGCTACCCCAAGATTGACCCCTTGGCTATCCCAGGATTGACCACTTGGCTACCTCCAGGATTGACTCCTTGGCTACCCCAAGATTGACCCCTTGGCTACCCCAGGATTGACCACTTGGCTACCTCCAGGATTGACCACTTGGCTTTCCCCAGGATTGACCCCTTGGCTACCCCAAGATTGACCACTTATCAACCTCCAGGATTGACCACTTGGCTTTCCCCAGGATTGGCTCCTTGGCTACCCAAAGATTGATCCCCTGGCTACCTCCAGGATTGACCACTTGGCTACTCCAAGATTGGCCCCTTGGCTATCCCAGGATTGACCCCCTGGCTACCCCCAGGATTGACCACTTGGCTACCCCAAGATTGGCCCCTTGGCTACCCCAGGATTGACCCCCTGGCTACCTCCAGGATTGACCACTTGGCTACCCCAAGATTGGCCCCTTGGCTACCCCAGGATTGACCACTTGGCTACCCCAAGATTGATCCCCTGGCTACCTCCAGGATTGGCCCCTTGGCTACGCCAGGATTGACCCCCTGGCTACCTCCAGGATTGACCACTTGGCTACCCCAGGATTGACCCCCTGGCTACCTCCAGGATTGACCACTTGGCTACGCCAGGATTGATCCCCTGGCTACCTCCAGGATTGACCACTTGGCTACCCCAGGATTGACCCCCTGGCTACCTCCAGGATTGACCACTTGGCTACCCCCAGGATTGACCGCCTGGCTACCTCCAGGATTGACCACTTGGCTACGCCAGGATGATAACAGAAGAATAAAGCAGCCTCACCCCTGTATCCAGGCGAACACGATGCGTCCCAGCATCCCGGTCCCATCTGCAGTAACAACAGTACCATTCACAAGGTTATAACAACAAAAGCCTTTGGTTCGGAACACCTACCCAACCCTGCTTAAGAGCTGACACTGAAATTATTTAATTGACAGCTTTAACATTATTGCCCCCACCCACCCCCCCCACCCCCCCAAAAAAAGGACCAGAAAGTCCTTCCCAACCTAACCAACTTGATATAACTGGGTTATGTTTATTAAAATAAATATTCTTCATGATGGCCAAAATAACTACTGTAAATCGTGAAATTAATGCGACTCCAAAAGAATGCGACCACTGACCCCTAGCCAAAAATGCGACTGAATATGAATGCGACACCCCCCCCCCTTTCAAGAATCAGTGGATCTATATGTAAAGAAAATGTCTTCTGTCAGGTATACAGGAGAATCCTCACCTTAATCCAATCACACACCAAATAGCACCACTAATTAGCGCTGAGTAGACTTCTTCCACTAAAACAATACATAGTGTTTTCCTAAGAACAACATATACTTTTTGTGTATATTCTGTACTCACATAAGTGAGTAGAACTCTTGTCTTAGCCCCAGCACTGACAATTCACAGGATGTAAGGAGTGCTTGAATGACATTGTTTATATACTTGTTACAAGTGCTGCTCAATAAACAGTGATATGGAATACATAGTTGTTTGTTTTTAGCGTATGTCTAAGTTGGTTTTTTTGCTAACCAAAATGTCTTATTGTTGATATAAATGCGATGTTTATTAATGCGAGCAAAGACCACTCGCATTTTTCGCATTTAATACACGCTCGCATTAATTTCACGATTTACAGTATTTACTTCATATTTTAACCTTACGTCTTCTGGCCAGTTGATTCTGACATACATAACATCTGCTCATAACATAAATAACAACTGCAAAACATCAATAGCAAATATAACAAAAGTGGGGACTATTCTTTTGATTAGGAGTAATTGCGATTGTGTAATGAAGAGGATTTCCTTCAGGATATCCTTGCTACTTTGTGTGATACTGAATGTCACTTGTTGTTTCTTCAATACCTTTCAGCAGCCAGGTCATTGTAGCAGCAAGCACCGTCGCAGTTTGGTCTCCTACACCAACTCCCTTCAACATCGCCTGTGCAGCCATGGTACCCGTGATACTGCTTGCGAAAGCCTGGACAGAAACAAGTCATGGAGTCATAATTTACACATACACCACTTAGATGTGTTTTCCGTTACTTCATTACAAAAATGCAGGGGACTTTGAGAAATGTGCCTTTAAAATGTGCGAAACAGAAAACACTGAAAGACTATTTTAAGTAGATGAAGCAAGTTGTCAAGACAGTAGCACCCGCATTTACACGAGGAAACGTGTGTCGTTGATGTGATTAATTCAGTGAGTAATGTCTCTATTGTTATGTATAAATGGGAAAATTATTATTATTTTTGCAATGTCATTAATTATAAATTAATGAATGAATGAATAAACAACATAACAATATAAATATTTCGTTTTTAATGATTTTATTACAAGGTACACAGGGTTATTATCTATCGTGAAGACGTCCGATTTTCGATCACAAATCACTTAATTTCGTTAATCCGACATGCTCGTTAATCCGACACAATCATGTGTAACCAACGATGTCGGATTAACAAGACTTGACTGTATATTACAAGTTACATGTGTCGAAAGTGGGGTGTACAGCGATTTGCTAGCTGAAATGGATTGTACACCAAAAGATCAAAGACTACATAGAATGCCCTGTACTAATTAATATTTGAAAGTAACCAGTTACTTTAACATTGTTTAATTGGGAAGGTTACCAGTAACTTTAATGATATAAACATATTATTTCCATAAAGTGGAGGGATTGGCAGACAAGCAAATTTTGCTTATCTGAATGCCTCTCCCAAACATGATACATATACAAATAGCAATGTATTGAAAGTGACATGATAAATAGCATACATTGTATAATTGGCATTAAAGATAAGTATTGTTCTGTAAGTGTTTAATTACTGGGTTATCTTCCATAACTACAGTTACATTATTATTAACATTCAGCACAACATTGCAGTATCATATAGCAAAGCCAACATCTCAGACAAAATCTCTAAATCGGCAAGAAGATAGAATAAAACTGTGCACCGATTTCAAAATTATAAGATTTGTTACTGTCGTTAAATTTGAATTACCATTTAGAATTGAATTTATATCATAGCCTTTTACGAAATAATACATGTTTTGCCTTACTGTACTGTTTAACGGAACACGTAAGAAAGAAATGAAGTGCATCTTCCGTATGATAGTCACAACAACATCTCGGGCTGTCGGATATAAATCTGGCAAATTTGTTGGTGTTAAGATCACTGCAGCCAAGCCTGAGACGGGAGTGTAAAACCTGACAAAATCTTGATCCATAATTTGTATCAAAGTATATACCATTCCTATCATTGATTTTTATAAAACTTTTAATACTTCCCATGCTTCATAAGCTACTGGCATTGGTGAATTCAATAGGTAGTGAGTTCCAAATATTAACTGTATCTGGAATAAATGATTTCGCATAATTATTTGATTTAGACTGGTTTGCAGCTGTGAGCAGTTTCTCAAATTATAATCACTTGCATCCGACACTTTATTTTTAACTAAGGATGAGAGATAGTCCGGTACTAGATTGTTAACCATTTTATAATTTTTTTAACTAACCTTAATGAATCCCTGTGGAGATTCTGGGTGGCCCAATGGATCATGTTTGATTGTTGTTTAACGCCGCACTCAGCAATATTCCAGCTATATGAGTGAGTGAGTATTGTTTTACGCCGCTTTTAGCAATATTCCAGCAATATCACGGCGGGGGACACCAGAAATGGGCTTCACACATTGTACCCATGTTGGGTCCAGCTATATGACAGTGGTCTGTAAATAATCGAGTCTGGACAAGAGAATCCAGTGATAAATATCACGAGCATCGATTCGCACAATTGGGATCAATGACATGCATCAACCAAATCAGCTAGCCTGACCACCCGACCCCGTTAGTCAGCAGTACATTGGAGAAATCCTCATACCCCTCAACACCAGCCGCAAAGAACATCACACCTCTGTCAACAAACTCAACCTGAAATCCGCCATTTCCGAACACATACTGAAGAACCAAAACCATAACATCAACTGGGAAGCCACCAAAGTCCTGTCTACCAACAACAACAACTGGCGACAAAGAAAACTACAAAAAGCCACTGACATTAGGAGACACCAGCCAGGACCAGGGCACCTTTCTGCCTAGTGCTTGGGACTTATTGCTTTGATCTTTGTCAGTGTTAATTATCTAGCTAGCTTCCTTTTGCCCTCATTGCTATTTCCATTCTTTACCTATCAGTGTTACTTACCCGTTTTCCCATTGTCCATTACTAATCAATGATAATTTAAGGGCTAGCTTCCAGTTGTCCATATATAACCATCAGGGCTAATTACTGTAAACTGTTGGCTTCCATTGTCTTTTGCTTATCACCTATCAGAGGCAATTGTTTGTTGGCCTGCCTTGTTAGTTTCCACCTTTTGTTATCTTATTACTCATGTAATATGCCCTCTAACTCATAGCATTAATTCACTTGAAGAAGGAGTAAGCATATACTCCAAAACGTTGTGTTTCCTCACAATAAATAACTTGACATCCATAAATTCTCTTCCTAATGTGTATCACTTCTAAATGTCATTCAAAGACTTGTCTGAGTTTGTATAACAAAACAATAGAGAGAAGAACTGACCTGCACTGTGTCCCAGATTTGGTAGGTGACATAATCATCACTCACACTCTCAGGGTAGCCTTGAGGTAGAAACACGGACTGAAATCACAACAACATTGTCAGCATGGATGGTGCAGATTGTTACAGTCAGACTGATTCACATCCAGCTTCACTGGGCTTCAGTGCAGTTTAAGGGAAGCAGCTGGTTCACCTGTCATCTCTCTGACTCATGGTTCATGGTTATTGTCTCCAAAACTTACTATCTGACCCATTGATACTTTTACTATCACATCTATCATACGGTAGGTTCTACTAAAGTTTGTTGTTTAACAACGCACTCGGCAATATTCCAGCTATATGACGGCGGCCTGTAAATAATCGAGTCTGGAGCAGGCAATCCTGACATCATGATCTTTGACGAATCTTGGGTGAATGAATTTCGTATTTAGTATTTGGGACAATAGTTGTGTAATAGTCCTATGACATGAATACATAATTGTGTCGATTATAAAATGGCTGAACGTGTTTTATTGGTATTCAACAATCAAAATGCTGCGTGATTCTAAAGAGTTCATCTACCCACTCGAAAGAACTGTGACACAGAAGTGTATTTTGGTGATCTGTCAACAACAGACAGCTGACCGTCTGACTTCCTAAAATAGTCTTTTTTCAGAGGTGTTGATCCATAAATTTCCTGAAAAACAATCGTATTCTGCTTATCCTCGTTCATTTCGACAATCATACAACTCTAAATCCAAACTGCATCAATTTCCAAACATAAACAAAAACATTAACGTAAACACTGCCGCGTGTGCAAGGGCGCAGCCATATTGTTTACCAGCGCATGCGTACCAAGTTACTGAATTTGATTGGTTCAGTTGCGAACCGGAAGCGGTTTTGCACCAAATTCAAAGTGCAGTTGCTGTGTGTTTTCTGGTGGATGTGATGTTTGGCCCAAAATGGTGTTTAATTAGCTCTTATACATGGTTTGTATTATCACCATTTTGATTTTAGTAAACGCTTGATATGCACGAGTTGGAAGGCGAGTTCTATGAATTCCATATTTCCCCAACTAGGTGTACAAGACGATGATAAATCGATCAAAGTGACGTCTGCCCAAAGCTTTGTCATACTATTTGTAAAAGCAGTAGTTATATCAAAACGTCCCAGAAGGGAGAAGAAATCGTAGATCATACTGAATGTAGAATGCACTTTGCCAGTCCTTTTTGTTTATGTACTGTAGAGTTATATATCACATTTTGCAACTGATGAATTATTTGTCTGATGCCTGCAGACTGGTGTAGGGGTCTAAACACATGGGCGTGGATGCAGGTCAGGTATCTTTTCTCCCTTAAACCGCCAGTCTCAGCCTTTCAGCACCCTAATCGGCTTCCCACTTTGTTCCGAACATTACATTCCTCTGCCACATATGATTATAGATAAGGGCTATGGCAATACAGTATCCCTACTAGATAATCGCTTGTTGTTTTTTTAACATAAAGGGTGTATATTGGCCCTACCAGGGCAGATTCGTGACCCGTGCAGTGTCTCAAATTGACAGGCCTTCCATTCCCTACTGGCGAAAGAAGTGTCAGTTTAAGTTCTTAAGTTACATGTCTTAGGATTATTAGTGTAGAAATACTAGAAACTGACTTGCCAGGGATCAATGTTTATATCTCCAGTGTGATAGAAATCTCTTGTTACTGAATGTTTATATTTGTCTGAGGAAAGAGAGGGCCTACAAGGGCCTAAGGCGCTTTTACCACCTTCACCATGTTCACATGATCATTAGGGTTCTAGCTTGCCACAATATGTTGCATCCCTTACCCATAAAAATTAAGAAAGGACAAATAATATTGTGATTCAAATTGTATGCCAAAAAATAGGTTTTATTGGATTAATTCAAAACTCTTAAATTGAACCATGTAATCAGCATGATCAGATTTGTTCAGTCAAATGTTCTGACAGTCCATGACAGACTCTTTACCCAATCACCTACAAAAAAACAAGGACACGTTTTGTATTTTATGTTGGTACAATAGTTACACAGAGAGCCCTGTTCTAATGCCTAGGACCCTGAAGGGATTCCAGTTTAGAACTACCCGGGTAGTCCACAGCAACCTATGCTTGTCGTAAGGGCCAACCAAATGGACAAGGTTGTCAGGCTAAGCGGCTTGGTTGATTGCATGTCTTCGTACCACAGGTTGTGAATGGTTGCACATGATCATGATGATATAATCCATTTGATTGCCTGGTCCAGACTCGATTATTAACAGGCCGTCGCCATATAGCTGGAATAATACTGTGTGAGACATTAAAAATGTTAAACACAGAATAAAACAAACTAATACCTTGGACTCCAAGTTTATATTGCTGAGCATGCTGAGAGTCCCATGTTTGTGTAGCCAGCCTCACACTATTTTAAAGGCCTGATGCTCGGCATGAAGGGGCTACAACAAGGACTGGTCGTTGCAGAGTCAGTATACTGCAACTGAGTTGGGTATTCATGTTAAACTGAGGTATGGTATCTCAGTGGGCTAGCACTATAAAATCGACATTAGTCCGGACTATTATGAGCGCACACACACGTCGGTGCTATGTAAGTGCAATAATCTTGGGCTCGACATTAAACCCCATTTCTCCTCACCATGCTCACCTCACTGGATCGAGTGGACATGCTCAGTGGCGTACTTAATAGCTTGTCAACATACCCCAACGGTGTGGATCATTGCTCTTTATTTCAATCACTGGTTAAGTGTGCGGTTTGTGTTGGTCCAGCCTCAATCATTATCAATAATTTACATGCCGTTATCATAACTGATATATTATTAATTGCCGAGGGTGGCGTTAAACAACAAATATGGTAGGTTATCATGGTAATTTATATTGTCTGTTTATTGTTTCAGAATACTAATGATGAGTGAAAGAGAAGGAAAGCGTGCACGTCGACGGAGGTCAATCCGGCTCCATCGTCAGTCCTCTGTTCCCCTTCTCCCTCTACCTCCCACCAACTGCGAGGACACAGAGCGTCCAGAGGGGGGGGCCCCAGACGGCATCGACATCACCTGTATGAATGTGTCTGTGTTCAGTGCATCACAAACTGCACAGGAAGATGATGGGGGAAGCTTCTGGATAGAGGTTAATGAAGATACAAGGCGGACCAGAAAATCGAGAAGATCCAACATTGGGTTTCATGTGATCAAGGATGTGCGTGACTCTTATGATGCTGCTGAATCTACTGGTGCTGCAAGTGCACCAGTTTTGTTTGACAGCTCAGAAAGTAGGGCAAACATGGTGGGTCAAAGTCAGTGTGACAGCCCAGATATAGAGATACCCAGACTGCCGTGTGCCGAGGAGTCACCTAACTTCATAACACCAACCATGTATCACACGTTAACTGAAGATAGGATTCTGGGGAGATCAGCAACTAAAACTCCTGTATTGAGTTCTCATGGTTACAAGGCTTTACCATGTGTCCGGACTCCATCTCAAGAATTATTTGACGGATTTGACGATGCATTTATGCTTGGCACACCAGTCAGTGGCCAGGAAGTTGACCAGGGTTGTCCCCCTTCCTGTGAAGATGATAGCGAGGACAGTTTGCTCATTGGTACGCCTGATCTTGCAAAGTTTCAGAAAAATATTCGCTTCAGGTGCTCTCTGGACTTCTCAGAGCTTGACCGTACACCAGTGAAAGGGGAAGATGTTTCTGCAGATGTCTCCCAAGATTCAGTTCATGAGTCGCCCCTTGTGGGTTTTGTGTATGACAAACTGTCTGCCTCAGATTTAGTGAGGAGAAAAAGAGCCAAGTCACATCGCTATAGCAACGAGAACACCAAAAGTGATTACTCTCAGGACCGAAGACTGAAAAATGGTACTCCAAGGCGTATTGTTGACGACATCAGCAATAACACAGATGATCAAGATGGTCGAGAAGTCATCTTTAGCAGTCCTGCAGTTGACCCAGGGACTACTAAGAGAACTTTAATGTCCGTGGGACATGTAAATGTTTCGATGCGGAGCAACAGGTCGACCTCCACCACCTCCTCCTACACCAGCTGTGTGGAGGACAATCTCAGTCAGCCCAGCACTCACTCCTTTCTCCTGGACTCACCAGCGTATGCTTCCCCTTCAGACAAAGGTATGGTAGATTCACCCAACACTCCTGCTCCTTTGTTTGAAGAGTCAAGTGAAGACACTAAGTCAACACCCAAAACACACAGAACCCTAGATACACAAGTTGCAACACCTGTGACACACAGAGACCCAGATAAACAAGTTGCGGTTATCCCTGAATGTTCTGATACAAGAGATCCATTTACACCAAGCCCCATTCCAGTCAGTACTGACTGTATGGAGAGTGAACCCATTGTCAGGGTATCGGAGACTGGGGGAGATTCAAAAAGCAACTCAAACACGGCTGCTGAGGAGGGGGAAATGGAACAAATGTCGTCCACTCACCCTGAACCTAAAGGCAAGGAGCGAAGCATTACTTCTGAAGTGTGTGACTTGTTCCGTAATCTGGCAAAGAAATTTTCAAGCAGTGGAAAGAAGGGGAAGAAATCAACTAGCTTGAAGAAGCCCAAGAACCGGGGAAGGTGGAGGAAGAGAGAAGATGCTGGCACATCAGGTTCTTCCGCTGATGTCGTGTCTGGTTCTGCTGAAGAGTCTGTATGGTTCAGTTTCAGGAAGGGGCTCTCAGAGCAGCCTACTCCGAATGTGGAAAAACACCCAGCTGAAGGTGTATCAAAACAGTCTCTAGACTTCAGTCCATTCCTTGCCTCTGGCCAGAACAGCGCCAGTCCTGATGAGCGAGCTGAGCCACAATCGCCAGTCTGGAAAGTCCAGAGTAGTATCTCTAGTAGTGATGTAGTTGTTTGTGAAAATTCAGCCTGTGTGAATTCACCGCTCCTTAAAGAAACAATCCTTCTGGAAAAATGTGTTAATGTTGAGAGTTGTGAAGCAGTGGTTGATGAACCAGCTCAAAAAAGGCGGGGAAGGTCAAAGCGGAGATCAATAGAAACGACTGTTCTTCAAGAATGTGAAAACTTAAGTGTAAGCGAGCCAGAACCAAATAAAGAGGAAGTTGAAGAAACGTCTTCACTTCGAAGGAGCAGGCGATCCCGCAGGAGTTCCCTGGAGATTTTCCGCTACCAGTCACACACTCCTGATGATATTGTTGTAGAAGATCCTCCATGCACAAGCAGTCCAGAAGAAGCTTCTCCTGAAGTACAGCCCAAGAAGACAAGGAGTCGCAGAAAAGCAGCAGCAGCTTTGGAGGAAAACCTGGAAGATCTGTACAGAAACAAGAACTATAAAGCCCCAGGGGAACGCATGTGGGAGACATTGTTTGAGTCTCCAGATAAGTCCAAGAAGCCAGAGCTAATCATGAGCAGGCGCAAGTATCGGAGGTCCCTTGCTTTCGAAGTTGTCCCCCCTTCCAAGATAAAACGCCGCCTTCAGAGGGCCATGTCTCAGGGCTGGGACGTTACGGGGAGGAAAAGGAAGATCGTTCAGCTGGAGGAAGTGAAGATGAAGATTGCTGCACTTAGTGCAGAGATAGAAACAGATCACGAAATGATCACCATGTAAACAAGTAAATAACATTTTATTTTTTCATGCATTGTCAGTAATTTAGTCTTTTAATAGAGAATATGCATAAAAATACTTTGTTGGTTATTTTTTCTCATCAACTGAAGGTCATGGTGAGCTCTGGGGTTCGGAATTGCCATACTTGGCACAAAGCCCTGCATGTCAGACAGAGCCACAACTGCAAGGACTAATAATTTTCTCCAGAACTGTAGTTACATTACCATGGTTACATAGATTTGTCTTGGACCTTAAACTAATTGCACATGGCCGGCAGATAATTCAGATTTGGAGAAAAGTGTTATTTTGTCCGAAATTGGGAAGTCCTGACTTTCTGAAAGTAAATTTATTTCAATATTGCATATGTTTATTGAAGCTTTGAAAAAAATACTTGGCTCATACATTGGTTCAGTTATCACTGAAGTACAAGTCACCTTTGCACAGCTAAAATGTTTGCTATTATAACCTGAACAAGAATAAATATGAGGTAAATCCTTGGGAATTGGGGATACATGTTTGTATTAAATGTTTGTGTTGGTTATATATTCATATACAAATATGTACCTCAGGTATATTCTTGTAGCAATCTTGCCAACATCAGCCAGTGGTAATGGTTGTCCTGAATGTCCCCACTGTAATAGGTCATCATTTTACCAAATCAGGTCCTGTTCCTATGGTTACCTCTGGGGCACCTTGCCTGGTGACAATTCACCAATTTATTTCCAGGGTATAATTCTGGCCACAAGTGCGCACATTATGAACTCCTGAGATATTGCTAAAACGTTCAATTACTGAACCTGCTCAAAAACAGAATGTGTTATTGACAATTACCTCTATCAAATATATTTTTAGGATCTTTCACAAACATCCCCCCTCAACGTAAAATTCTCAATTGTTTCACTTCGCCTCCCTTTTACATGACAACTACTTCGATGACCCTTAAGTCAGTCAAGGTGGTTGGAACGCAACGCTACTCCAGATTTCATATACTCCAAAACCATGGATCTTTCTGATTTCTGAATATGAGGATCAACCAAAAGCATGCATCAAGATTCACCCTTGTACTTCACATGGCTGGAATATTGCCTAAATAACCCCTGATTTATTATACCCCGGACCTGAAGAGGCCAGGGGTATATAAGTTATACCAAGCAATTCCGTCAGTCCATCCTAAGGACATTTTTGCATGTGACCTATAATTTGAAAACTACTGCATAGATTCTTTTCAAACTTTCTATACCAACAGAAATGCAATGCAAAGTTTGATTTCAATATTTGGATTTTCTGAAACAATACTGTATACAGCTTTTTTTCATGTTTTTAATTAAATCCTTTTTTTTTTAAACATTTGTGCGATCTGTAACTTGACAACTACTGCATGGAGTCTTCAAATTTAGGGAACAGTTTCCATTCAAATAGATGATGTGCAATGCATTGTTTGAATTTGATATGTGTATTTTCTGATTTTTTTAATATTATTTTCATGTTTTGAACTTACAAATATGTTCGAGTCGAGGTCAGGGAATTAGTGAACCCTGCTCACTTTTTGCCATGTTAAAGTTAAGTTAAATATGTACTGGGAAGTCAAAAGCTCTTATTGGACTATTAACATATAGTTGATACAGGCGTTTAAGATTCCTCTTGTAAAGCCTTGATTTTTAATGTCAACCTTGAAAAGCCTTGAAAATCACCAAAATAGCTTGAAAAGCTTTAAATTTGTACAAACTGACATATCCTGATGTTCATACTCATTTTAGCTATTGCGAGTTCAATAAAACTGTTGACAAACTAATATGGCCAAAAACCCAACTAAAAAGCCTTGAAAATGTTCCAGATTTGTATGAACCTTCAATAGTTCTTGTTACATACCAGGAACTGGGTCTTGCAAGAAACATAACAGGTCATTCCAGATGTTCACCCGTCTCAGACTAGTGGCCATGTGTAACACTGGTGTGCTCATCAACACAACCATAATGTTGAAACATTGCTGAAATGGGTTTTTTTACAGATTCTCACACAACTTCAGCAGCAGACACTCATGGTTATTCATCTTGTACAGCATGAAGCAAACCTTCAGACTTGTATATGCACGACTGAATTTACCAAATTGCACTACGACCTATGTTGGTGTTGGTTAGTTGTTAGATCCCCAGCTATGTCATATCAAAAGATGGTACTTGTTTCATTGTTGTCAACTCAGTGAGCTAGCACTGTAAAACTGCACTTGTCAGGACCAAACGTACGCACACACAAGTGCAGTAATCACACTGTTAAATGCTGTTTCACCTCACCAATAAACCCCAAAAAAGTTATGCAGATATTTTTATTAAAAAGTATTCAAATCTACAGTTGATTTTGATGAACATATCAGATACTAATAAAAAAAATAATGTTTCAGAAAATTGAGACACTCCCTCGAGCCCCAAAGTTTACCTGGGGGTAATTTTGAAAATGGCTTCATGGGTTATAGAGAAAATAACCATGTGGCACAAAGACCAGTGAAGAGCAGTTTCTTAACAATAGATTAACTCTTATCAAGAAAGACCGCCTCCATGGCCTCGTGGTAGAGCGTTCGATCCCCGGCAGCGTCATACCAAAAGACGTTAAAAGATGGTACTTGTTGTTACCTTGTCTGGCGCTCGGCATTAAGGGGCTAAAACAAGACCTGGTCGGCTCGGAGTCAGTATACTGTGTCTGAGTGGGGTATTCATGTTAAACTGTGGCATTGTATCTCAGTGGGCTAGCACTATAAATCGGCATCAGTCCGGACTAGTACAAGCAGCTTCACAAACACACACACGTACATGCACGTCGCTATATAAGTGCAATAATCTTGGATGCGACGTTAAACCCCATTTCACCTCACCTTATCAAAAAAAGACAAACAACTGTTTTGGGGAACAGGTCAATATTTTATTGACAATAAATTCTTTATGTTAAAATAATGTAAAAGTACCTCCCTTACTAAAATGTACAACATGAAATGATATTAGCTGGTTTCTATTCTATGAAAGTTATTTCAGTGTCACTGCATTCTTCATTTTATCTTAAATAGCCCGGGGGCACGGGTGGCCCAGTCGTCTAAGGCGCCGCGATTCGCTGTGCAGAGTTGTGTCCCTTGGGCACGCCAGAAACCTATGATTGTGGGTTCGAATCCCGGTTCGCCCCGATTATGTTTCTAGGTTTGTCAGCACCATACCCGTGCTCATGGTTTTCACCAAAGTGGTAAACATCTGAGACCTGCATCACTTCGGGCTTTCCTCCCACATTAAGCTGACACGCCGCGATATAACTGGAATATTGTTAAAAGCGGCGTAAAACCCAACTCACTCACTCACTCACTTAAATAGCCCCTTGCAAACATGGCCCAGACAATTTGGAGAAATTGGACCCAAATTTTAGACGAACAAAAATAACCAAAAAACTTAGGGTTTTATATCACACATAATTTCCTGAAAAACTCGCAAAAGTGTCATAACTTATGCAATAAATTTGCTAAGGAAATCTATATTCAGACTGAGTATTTACAATATATTTTCTTTAAAAATACTGACTGCCTCTCCACTAGTTTTCCACAAGTTCCCCATTAGTTCTCCAATAGTTCTCCACTATCAAATATGAAACTTTTGAACTGCTCAATCTGAACCAGAACGAAATAAATCGGCCCTTTATCACTGATATCCTATTCTGGTGTCCCCCGCCGTGATATTGCTGGAATATTGCTAAAAGCGGCGTAAAACCATACTCACTCACTCACTCACTCACTCACTAATATCCTGCTTCTGAGGCCTGTGTTTTTATGTTACTCTGACAACCCTCTCTTAACACAGTTCTGAAACATGACGCAGGATCACTTCTTTGACTTTGAGCTGTCCTGAACCACAATCTTCCTGAAGGTCATGTTGATCCTGACCCCTGTAAGGTTTTTCCTCTGGGGAAGGGAGTGGTACCAATAGCTGTTTGTGGGGTGGTTTATCATCAGAAGAAAGCCATGCTGCAGCTCAATCTGGACTGGTTTGATCTTAGGTAGTATGGGTATAAAGTCCTTTATGGGTCTACCGAAGATGCACATCGCAGGGGATAACTTGGTGTCTCTGTCTTGAGTGTCCCTGTATTGTAGCATTGCACGTTGGAAGGCCTCAGTGTCAAGTTCCCCCCCATTAGGTCCAGTGTTGTTCGTTATCAATCTTTTGACAGTCTTGACACCGACCTCTGCTCGGCAATTGCTGTGTGGGAAGGCAACAGATGACAGGCGACGATGCACACCCCATGTTCGAAGGAACTCTTTGGTAGCTGAGGCTGTGAATAGTTCTCCACCAGTTTTCCACCAGTTCTCCACCAGTTCTCCACCAGTTTTCCACCAGTTCTCCACCAGTTCTCCACTAGTTCTCCACCAGTTTTCCACCAGTTCTCCACCAGTTTTCCACCAGTTCTCCACCAGTTTTCCACCAGTTCTCCACCAGTTCTCCACCAGTTTTCCACCAGTTCTCCAATAGTTCTCCACTAGTTCTCCACCAGTTCTCCACCAGTTCTCCACTAGTTCTCCACCAGTTTTCCACCAGTTCTCCACTAGTTCTCCACTAGTTCTCCACCAGTTTTCCACCAGTTCTCCAATAGTTCTCCACTAGTTCTCCACCAGTTTTCCACCAGTTCTCAACCAGTTTTCCACCAGTTCTCCACCAGTTCTCCACCAGTTCTCCACCAGTTTTCCACCAGTTCTCCACTAGTTCTCCACTAGTTCTCCACCAGTTTTCCACCAGTTCTCCACCAGTTCTCCACTAGTTCTCCACCAGTTTTCCACTAGTTCTCCACCAGTTTTCCACCAGTTCTCCACTAGTTCTCCACTAGTTCTCCACCAGTTCTCCACCAGTTCTCCACCAGTTCTCCACTAGTTCTCCACCAGTTTTCCACTAGTTCTCCACCAGTTTTCCACTAGTTCTCCACCAGTTCTCCAATAGTTCTCCACTAGTTCTCCACCAGTTTTCCACTAGTTCTCCACTAGTTCTCTAATTGTTCTCCACCAGTTTTCCACTAGTTCTCCACCAGTTTTCCACTAGTTTTCCACTAGTTCTCCACTAGTT